CTACTTTGCTATTCTTAAAGTAGCTGGGCCCGTTTCTAAATTTCTATATAAGCCTGAAAAAATGTGGGTGCTTCCACGATTAGCAGAGATGACATGTTCACTCTCATGAGGTGTAAAACATTTCTTCTAAAATTCTAAAGCATTCTTTTAAAGCATTCTTTAGTACTTAAAGAGAAAGCCAGTATTCATTTTTGGAATATCATACAAATAGGGCTACCAGATCTGCGCTGCAAAAATCTGAAAGCACACTAGATGTCAGCAAAAAATTAACATGTTCTTTATTCCTTTGCTGCCATCTTTTGATCTAGATTCTTACCATTCAGATCCAGCAATCTGTCAGCTCTCTGATGTTGGTAAGGTCAGCAAAGAGATACCACAATAATAGTAATTTTATTAAAATAAAATTTTATTATCCTATTAACTTATTGTGTGTGTGTGTGAGAGAGAGAGAGACCATAACTATATTATTTAACTTTATTTATTTATTTATTATTTAACTTTATTAACTGGTTAACATTATTTAACTGGTGGTGTCTGTAAAACTCTTGTCCATACAATGAAATGAACAAACAGTTTGGGGAAACATTTAAAGCAACTGAACATAGCAGTTCAGTGACATGGCTGCTTTTACAATTTGGAGAGGTCTACTCAGTTCATTCTACAGCAGGGGTGTCAAGGCTTGTGGGCTGGATCCAGCCCGCAGGGCCGGCTGGAAATATCAAAGCACAATCTGAGGACCCAGATTGTGGGGGCAATAAGATGACTTTGTATAAATATACGGGGTATTTACAAGACCGCCTTCTGCCACCAATAGCCTCCCACCGGCCAGTACGCTCGCACAGAGTGGGCCTCCTCAGGGTGCTGTCCGCCAGACAGTGTCGGCTGGCAACCCCCAGGGGGAGAGCCTTCTCTGTGGCGGCGCCCACCCTCTGGAACAACCTCCCCCCAGAGATACGTACAATATCAGACCTCTGGATTTTTCGTCGGGCCCTGAAAACTTATTTATTTCAACTAGCCAGGCTGGCTTGATCCCACAGTTTTGGGTTAAATTTTAATTGATTTTAAATTGGGTTTGTTTTAAATCGCGGCCAAAAATATTTAATCATTTTAAATTGTTTTTAAATTTTGTATGTTCTGTTTTTATTTCGGCTGTTCACTGCCCTGAGTCCTATTGGAGAAGGGCGGTATATAAATTGAAATAAATAAATAAATAAATAAATAAAAAGTCTGAAGGCTATTACTTAATGCATTGTAAGCCACCCTGAGTCTCTGGAGAAGGGCAGCATATAAATTAAAGCAAAAAAAAAAAAAAAAACCACCAGCCCGCGGTGCCTCTGCCAGCCAAAATGGGCCACAGAGGGGGTCGCGCTAGGCCCCCGCATGGTCTGTTTTTGGCCTTAATGGTCTCCTGCAGCACTCTGCCGGCTGAAAACGGAGCTCAGTAGCACTGTGCACAGCCTGCCCAGGTTCCATTTTCTGTCTCCACGGCCTCTTGCAGCATTCTGCAGCCAAAAATGGGCCATGAGGGAGGCTGCCATTTTATTTATTTATTTATTTATTTATTTATTTATTTATTTATTTTTAAAATTTTTATACCACCCCCTCTCCCGAAGGACTCGGGGCGGTGAACAGCCAAAATTAAAAACACACAATACAAATATTAAAATACTTTAAAATGAAATTAAATTTATCTTTGGCTTCCCCAATTTAAAACCCCTTACCCATAAAATTCCCCAATTAAAAGATTTTTAACCCAGCCCGGCTTGCTGAAATAAAAAAGTCTTCAGGGCCCGGCGGAAGGTCCGGAGGTCCGGGATCAGTCGTATCCCTGGGGGTAGCTCATTCCAGAAGGCGGGTGCCCCCACAGAGAAGGCTCTTCCCCGGGGGGTCGCCAGCCGACATTGCCTGACATTGGCCAGCAAAGTGCTACAGGAGGCCATCCAAGCCAAAAATGAGGTGCAGGGGCACATGCGGTCCCCCCACACCCTGTTTTGGCCAGCAGGATGCTGCAGGAGGCATCTGTCCAGACTCTGCCCCTTACCTGCCGGCCTGTGAAAAAGAACTACAATGCTGATCTAACCCTCGAAGAAATCCAGTTTGACACCTCAGTTCTACAGTATTTCTAGAGAGCCGTTTTTATTGATTTGATTATAAGCTGTATCAGCTATATCTTAAGCAATTATTCTGAATATTTGGAAAATATTTGTTATTTTGTGCTAGATGAGCAACCATTATCAGTTTTCAGATTATATAATAATCTTGTGTGCCTATTAATGTCATCCTTTTTATTTTAGCATTTTTAAAGATCAGTTATTCTATTAACTAAACTGCATTATACTAAGCAGAATATAAATAGATGTTCATAACAATATGTTTGAAATATATATATTTTCCAAAACAGATATATATTAAAATATAATATAAATAATATCTAATTTAATAAACATTTTAAATTTAAAAATGAAGTTTATCTATCCTAATATTGTTACAGTAATTTGTAGCAATTTCTTCTGCAGTTTTTGATATTGACCTGTCCTGTCCTGGAATGCCATTTGCTCTGGACGTAGTACTTTTCTATTCAAATTACAGCCACATATTTCCATTTAAATTATAGTTATTCTTTCTAAGATATTAACATGCAGTCATCTATTTTCAGATCCAGAGAGTTTACCATAGTATTTGGGCTTATTGAACTTCTAATAGTATTTATAACATTTTAAAATAGCATATTGTCAAAATTGCATCCCTCCTTACATAGAGGATTGTCCTCTTCTATTTATGCTCCCTGAGTGGATTTTTCAGTGGTTACAGTTTGTTGATAAGCTGCCGCATATATAATGCCAAAGTCTCAAGTTCTAGTATCTGCCATAACATGTTCAGCATTCCTGGACGTAACTGTTGTCATAGTTTGATGTATTGTCTAATATATTTCCTAAAGAAATTTATTACTACATAATAGTTGTACAATTGCAAGATCAAACCAGAATCTCAGTATTAGAATGTGTTTTAATCTAAGCAAGCATTAAAGATCTACATTTAACTAGATATCCAAAAACATCACACCCAGCCTTATGCCGGAAGAAAGAATCACCAAGGATAAAGCCTAAGGGAATATGAAAGAAATGCAAGATAAAAAAGAAAAGTGAACCTCCAAATTAATTGCATTTCAGACAAAAGCATTTAGTTCCAAAATTCAAGATGTCCCATATTATAGAAGACAACATGGAAGTTCCTTTTTTTCCTGCATTACAATGCTGAAAATAACAGATATACTTTATTATTGATAGGGTAGCTAATAGCCTATGTTTTTTTTTTCAAATTAGTGGAACCAATAGCAATTTACCTATGCATTAACTCAAGCTATTCACCCATTCACTGCCGCTACCACTTCTCATTATTGTTTGATAGGATATTAATATTGCATTATTTTCAACATGTAAATTTAATAAATAAATTTTCGACTTAGGCTAACAAATAATTTTGATTTTGCAAACTCCTGAGAAGATTTTGGGGAAACTCAGGGATCCTAGGACCACACTTTAAGAAACATTCCTGCATTGCATGTTACATGGGGTTGCCTTTGAAAATGACCCAACAGTGTCCAAGATATTGGGCTAAGAGTTACTACAATAATATAACACCTATTCCATTGTGTTGGTTACCAATAAATTTCCAAGTTGAGTTCAAAGTTCTGGTTTTGACCTCTTTATTACTTGGTTCCAATGTACCTTGGTGATAGATTTCCTCCAAAGTGATACTGCTTGTCCCATGTAGTTTTCCAGGACAAGGATGCTTAGGGCTCTATCCCTCAGAAGGATCAGACAGAGAATGTCCTAGGTAGTCAGTTCTACTCAGTAATGGCCCCAACATAATGGAATAACTATCCATAGGAGTTTGCTTTTGATTTTGCATAAAGTTGCCAAGGTGATTTTGTTTGAGCACTTTTGTATGTGTGTATGGTTTATATAGACAATCTGCTATTTGTGGCAATTGGGCACCAGGTGGTTGCTACATTACGATAATTTTGAATACTGTGCTAATTCATGCTGGGATTTTCATTGAATTAATTTATGATGTTCATAAACTATCCAGAATCTAAGTTGCTAGATTGTGTAGACATGAACACAATTAAATAAATCAATAAATACATAATAATCTTCAAATTCCCTTCAAGTCTAGGTCCCTATGATGGAGAGTCAACATTTAGTGAGTACTCAAAGCAAGCATTTAGTATCTGGGAAAACAAAATCAACCACATTGTGGATTCATTGCTTTGTGTGTCATGTAATAAAAGTGCATTGTCAGAGATAATTAGTATGGCAGACACAGTTCTTTCACTAATGCTTGCACATTTGCTAGATCCTTTAATTAGCAGCCCTGTTGAAAGTCTGTAATATGTAATGAGAGAACGAATACTTCTTTTTTAAAAGCAGAGAATACCATAAAGGCTTCTTTCTTTCTTTCATCCTACCTCCTTTTCTGTAGCAATAGCAAGCTAATTCTTTTTAATGTTTAGCTTATTAAACTGGCCACTGTGAACTCATCTGTACTACAGTGAAATTACAAGTTACATAGATGCCTGTGGTTAATATTGTATTATTATTTTGTTTTTATCAGCAATATAGATAATCACCTTGTCTCAATTACGATATACAATATATTAAAACAAGGTAGTGTGCTGTTGCAAATGCTAACCTTTTGTGAGTGCATACTTTAATTGGATAACTGTATACCATACCCGCTTATATTGTTCTTCCTGGTCCTCCAGTGTGTTTTATCATACACGCTTGGTCGTACAGAATAATACAACATATACATTATAATTTTTTTGACCTATACCCTCACAAGAATAACATGCTGGTTTGATTAATAATTTACATCTAGCCTCTTGTATTATTCCAATCCTCTCACTCTTTTCCAATGCTAATCCTGAATAAAGATTTTTTAAAAAATATTTTAAATAGCTTGCTATCGTTCTCTCTTTACCTCTGAGACAGTACCTGGCTTAATAAGGTTCTGGTGCTTGCAGTGAACAATGGCAGCAACTATCAGTTCTTTCAGGAGATGAAGAACTTTGCCTGGCACAATATGTCCCCTGGAATCGGCGTCATCCACAGCACTGAACACATCTTCTTTGGTCCAGTTTTCTAGGTTGGTTTCTTGCTTGGATATCCCTAAACAGCATGGTCCTGGCACCTGGCAATTCCTATGAGTAACATTCTCAGAATTACTTTGTTCATCTGTACATGGTTGCATCAGGAGAACCTCAGCATTGACACATAAGGGAACCTCCATGCTAACTTCATCTTCTGCAGCGGAGAGGGAAAATTCCAAGGCTTCTAAGTTTCTTGAATAATCCACTATAACTCTAGGATCCATTGTCTTGACTCTTTCCAGTACAATAAACAAAATGTTTTCTGCCTTTTGAAAATGCTGCACTCTCTGATATTCACGGGACTGAATCACCTTAAGATAGCTGTGCCAGTTAGGAACCTTTTCTGCCATGATGGAAGGTTGGCAGAGATGTAATTCCTCCTGTAAATCCTCTTGTTGCCCAAGGTAGCTCTGGAAGCAGACAAAAACATTGGTACAGCCCTGAAAAAACCAAGATATGCATAGGGGTGGGAGGGAAAGGTGTGGCCAGGAGGACTAGAGCAGGGAGGAGCAGCATACGCAGTAAAATTCCACTCATGCATTAAAAATACTCTCCTGTTTCCCTGTTTCATAGTTGATAAAGTGCCAAGTTGTTTTAAAACAGTCAAACTGGTATGTTTAGGTGATACAGCTGAGGCATCCGGTTGTCTCAATATTATTTTCTGGTACATCAGACATGTCCTACCCAGCTAGCCTGAAAAACTGGGTTTACTGGAATAAATCCATACAGATTAAAATGGGACTAATCCAGCTGTGTTGACCCAACGTTCAATTCCCACTTGGTCACAAAGTTCACCACAACAGTAGTCACCATCTCAACAGACTTTGTGGTGAAAGAAAATCGTATATATCAGCTTAACTCCTGGGTAATATGGGCTGTCCTTGAAGTTTCAGTTGATCCAGAAGGCAGTAAAGCAGGTAGTTATGGACACAGCTTGTTACACCCGTATGACACAATTACTCAGCAAACTGCACTGGCTCCCAGTAGGCTTCTGGGTGCAAGTTTTCACCTTTAAAGTCCTACATGACATGGGGCTGGATTACTTGTGGGACACCTTCTCCCAAGACCATCTGTCCACCTCACACACTTCCATAGGGATTGCACATTCTATGTTATCTCTGTTAAAATTTGCCATCTTATTGGACCTTTTTGATGGCTGTCCCTTTGCTCTTTAATGGTCTCCCTCCCCTGCCCTGATACACAGTAGTCATCCCAAATCTGCTTGCTGTTGTATAAACCATCAAAACCTAGTCCGCCCCCCTCAGGGATTGGAGTTCATTTGAATGGAATCCCCTTTTGGTTGTTTTAGTTATTGTGTTCAATTGCCATTTTATATTTTATATGTTGGGTTGGTTTTTTAAAAATGTTGAGTAACTATGGGGTTTTTTTTCTTTTTACTGTTCGGTTTTTGTTGCATGTCGCCCAGTCTCATTGTTTGAGTTGGGCACCCTATAAAACCATTGAATAAATAAATGAATAAAATGAATCATTGAACAAATCAACTCAGAAGTCTCATTGGAACGACAAATAACCAGGCCTAATTTATCCTGTGTTATACATATTGTGTAAAGACCGAATTCTCTGGTGAAGGTCCTAATGTTGGGAAAGATGAAAGGAGAAAGGAGAAGAGGATGATTAACAGCAAGGTGGATGGTCTCAGTTACAGTAACAAAGAGTGCACTTCTGAAGATCAGAAAGACCAAGATAGGGACAGGCCATCCTAGACAAAATTTATGTGCTTGCTAGAAGTCAACAACTTAATAGCACATAATCAATCAATAGGTACTTACAACATATATCAATGTAAAAGAAACTCAGATACAGAACAAAATTAAATCTACTAAATTTCTTTTTAAAAAGTTATGTAAAAAGATCATAAGAGAAACAAGGTCTTTTAGTTCTGAGAAAACAACTCTAAGATTGCATTATATCACATTGTCTTCAATAATGTTACAAAGTGATTTGTATAATGTACTTAAAATGTTTATCTTTTTATGTGTTGTTTTACATTTAATTCAGGAAAAGTTTTGAAGAATACAGCCTCATAACATTGTTGATTCTATGAAAAAATTACTCAAGTGCCACACTTTGATGTATTTACTGTATTTTTTAAAAAACGAAATATCAAGAAAAAGGAAATACTGTCTATAACTGATTCCTTGGAGCAGCCTTTTCCAATCTGCTATCTTTCAGGTAATTTGGACTTCAGCTCCCAACAGCTATTGCTTATGCTAATAAGACTTATGGAAATTATGGCTCAATAGGAAACATATGGACCCACACATGCTGCCTTTTTTAAAAAAAATTTAAATGAATGCATTGCTGGAGGTACGCTGATTTAATATTTATATTGAAAGGCACTTCACAAATACTGCTAATAAATTCTTTACGAATTGTCTACATATTTAATTATCCCTATCATAAATATGGAAATAAAATGTAGTATGATTAATCAAACATATTTCCTAGAATATCCTGCATAACTATGACGCATTAATAAGGAAATGAGATTAATGTTGCACCCAAAAAAATGTAAAAAAAAAAAAAGATTCAATCGCTAAAGTTTTCCGCCGAAATATACTGTCGTGTAGAACAGTAAAAGGTGGAATGTTTTGTGGATGTGATTCTTGGTTCCGATTGTATTCTAGAGAGCGTCCAATTGTCCTGTGAACAGAATATCTCCCATTTTCTCTGCAGCCTGACCTAGGAAAACAGTTCGGTTTGCCGCGTCTCTTGTCACCGTGGCAACCCCGGGGTGCATTCTATTTCTATGACAACATGAGGGACTCGGCGTTCTCACTGCCTTAGCAACTTGAGCCAGGTCTCTCAACACACCTCCTCCGTTCTAAAAGGTAGCGAAGAAGGATCAACAGTCACTGACACCGGATTAGTTGGGACACAAATATGCATGCACTTCTCTTGTTCTGCATGTAGCGAGAAGTCTTGCTAGGCTAGCGTTGGTTTCCCTCTTCGGGCTCGGCCCGGTTTTGAGCGATGAGCGAGGGAAATGTGGAGAAGCCTTTAAGGTTGGAAGCCGCAATCCAGGTTAGTGAAAGAGCAGCTTTTTAATACCTCCCCTCGAATCCCTGCATAGGAGACAAATTCCTTGTGTGTCTAATCATGCTTGGCCAAATAAAGTATTCTAACTGACTAATTTCAAAGTAAAACAGGACTAAGCTCACCCACTCCTACTTCTCAATATTCCATTCCTAAAGGAACACCTGAGGGGGGGGGGGGGGAAGGAGAGGGATATATTGAATCCTGAAGGCATAATTCAGATGTTCAGCTTGGGTAGTGAAATAAGGAGGGTGGGAGCGTTAGTGTGCTCCCTTGCAGATTTTTTTTTTTTCTGGACAAAATACAGCTGATGGAATACTGATTTTGCTTTTTAAAAAAAGACTAATAACTTTAACTGATTTTATTCTATGGGTTTCAATTTAAGTGGTCCCTGGATGCAAATGCCAGTGTAATAATTAGAATATTGACCTAGGAGTCAATAATTCCAAATTCTACTCTCTCATGGCTCACAGTTTATTGGAGTGTAATGAGCTACAATATCTTTTACCCCAAAAGGGGTTGGGAGAGAATTTAAGTGAAGAACCATATACTGTACATACTAAGATCTAGGGCTTAGAAAAGAGAAATAGATTGTGGTTTCTTAAATAGTTTCAAATTAAATGGAGAAGCTCTATGAACAAGATTAATTTCTCATGCTTTTTCTACATGGAACATTTATAAGAAAAGTTTGATGTCGTGGCCAAATTAAATTGGAATGCAGGAAAGTTGTGTCAAGTATTACAATAGATAGTTTATAGAAACCATGAGGCCATACTTAGTAAAGATTCTGCAGGTCAGTATGTTAAAATAGAGAGTGGTTTAGTTATTTGTAGTATATTGTAAACAAAGTTATTGTAGTTTCTCACTCGATTTATGGAAACAGGGCAAAGGTTTTAGATTAGTAGGCTTTATAAACCCGTGCAATTTTATTTATTCAATAAAGCATGATTAAGTAAATTAACCATAGGTTAATGTTTTAGGTGAACACATTGTTATGCCTACTATTATTATCCAGAGCAGCCATTTAATACAATGTTATTTCTCTTCAGACTCTTTGTAATATAAAGAGCACTGACATTTATTGCAAAGCCATAAGTTTTGCCAAAAGTTGCATGCCCTGATATTTTAAAATATAATCAATAACACCAGTAACAATTAGTATTTCTTTTTTCTTACGTGGAGTAAAGTTGCCTTGGATCTTATGGAGTTGTCAACATTTTAAATACGCTAGAGGGCAGTAAGATTTAAGAATTGAGATTAAGAACAAAAGAGTAGGGAGTGCAAGAAAATTGCTTTCCAAGTAACCAAACAATTAATAGCATTCTTTTATGCAAGTTTACTCAGGAAGCACATTGTGCTTAATGGGACTCATTCCCAAATATGTATAGAAACTATTGCAGCTCTGGAGTGCAATTTCATAGTGCTTTAAACTTTGCAATGGTTTTTACTGAACTTAACTAGACTTCTCAGTGAACATCCATAGAATTCAGATGCATACAATTCAAACTTCTCATTCACTGGGTACAGTTCCATTGGGAATATAAAATTAGATAACCACAGAAGAAACTAAATCCTCTCCTAGAATAATTTTCAAAACAAATAATAACCCTGGAAGTTACCTTCTAATTTTAGCAGTATTTAAAAATTGTTTAGAAAGGCAGTTTTGGATTCTTCCCACATATTCCACTTTAAATAAGTGCAAATAAGTTGCAAGCCTCTCTCTATATATATTGTTCAGAATAAACATATATAGGCTAGATCTGCTTAAACATTATTCAGACTCCACCATTATATTGTATAAACTCAGGAACTGCTAATAAAGCCAGCATTTTCAATAGAAATAACATAAGCAACCTTTAGCTCAGTGATGGCCAACCTTTTCCAGACCGAGTTCCCAAAGCGCACATTCACGTGCGAATGCACATGCCCCCGAATCCCAAAATGCAATGTGTGCACGACCCCCGTGCATGTCCCTGTCCTGCGCATGTGCATGCACCCCCCACACGCCCCCATGCATGCACATATGCCCCCTGTACACACCTGCCCCCACACATGCGCACACGCCCCCTGCACACTCCCCGCCCCCCCCACACATGCGTGGCAGAGACCCAAACACCAGCTGGCCGGTGGGAGGTGAACGTGCATGCGCGGCGGAGCTGAACTGGGACGACTGCTCGCATGCCCACAGAGAGGGCGCTGTGTGCCACTTCTGGCATGCATGCCATAGGTTCGCCATCACAGCTTTAGCTAATTGTGAAGGACTCCAAAGGAACCCATTCATAAATACAGTACTTAAATTAGATTGCTCTTAGAAAAAGGGGACAAGAAATCTTTGAAATGTAATTGAGCATTCTGCTGTACATGTAGTACAGGTAGTCCTCGACTTACAACAGTTCACTTAGTGACTGTTCAAAGTTACAATGGCATTGAAAATGTGATTTATGACAATTTTTCACACTTAATGACCATTGCTGCATCTCCGTGATTTACATTCAGATGCTTGACAACTGACTTACATTTATGACAGTTGTAGTGTCCCGGGTCACTGATCCCCTTTTGCAACCTTCTGGCAAGCAAAGTCTGGGAAATCAGATTGACTTAACAAATGGGGCAAGAAAAGTCATAAAATGGGCAAAACTCACTTAACAAATTTCTCACTTAGCAACATAAATTTGGGGCTCAATTGTGGTTGTAAGTTGAGGACAACCTGTACAACTCTTTAACATAACAGCCAGTTTATTATTTCTATCCAAAAAGGTACTTTCAAGAGTAGAGTATAAAACCTTTTGTGCTGTAACTGGTTTTTCCTATCTGAAATGTAATACATTTGATATTAATGATGTGATCACAGTTATTATTAATCTATATTGATCGTAGAAAATAAAATGTCAGCTTTCCAGTGTGCTAATCTACAAACTACCAAATAGCATTCTAGCTATTTAGCATGTTGTATGAACCTAAGTAAGAAATAGTTCACTTATTGTTCAGTGTAACTAACAGAATAGGCTAATTATATAAACTATGACTAAGTGAACAATTGGTAAGTATGTCATGGGAACATCACCTCAAAGTTACACAAGGTTTATATTTGTGTGATACTTATTGGTGGATACACTTTCTTTCACTTTTTGTGAATGGACAGTGTTGGCTGTTACTTCAACCCGATTGATTTTTTTCCATAGCTGCCCCATTTGTGCCAGCCTCTCCCACTGCAAAGAGAGCAGTTCTCTCCATGGTCCCTTTTCAGAGGCTCTGTGGTACAGCTGTAACTCATTACCAAGCTAATTTTTTTTTAATCCGTGCCTTTGCTGATAGGCAGCTTGACTGTTACAGTCATACAACTGGCATTTTTGCAACTCTCACATTTTTTATATTCAAGCACAGCATCTGTTATGTTAAAAGGCAGAAAGGCTAAAATGATTTAGAATAAACGGTACAATTTGCTAAAGGGAGATGATTCCCTTACAAAACTATGTATTCCTCAGGGTTCTTTTTCCTGCAAGTTTTACAACTTTAGCTATCATGTGTATTATGTTGTTAGTGCAATGTTTCTCAATCTCAGCAACTTTAACATGTATGGATTTCGACTCCCAGAATTCCCCAGGTCCACACATCTTAAAGTTGCTGAGACTGAAAAATGCTGGTGTGTTGTAGTATTTAATTAGATCATAACCTTTGGGTTGTTTCTTTACAATTATGTTTCTTTTACTCATATTTGAAATACTTATATTTACTCATATTAAGAGATCAAATAAGATGTTCAATCTGTCCCCATCCCATACCAAGAATGACACCTAGAAAATATACATTGATTTTACAGATGGGTAAATAATTACAGTTCTTTTTCATGATAGGACAATAAGTAGATAATACATCTATGACAACACATATGCATGCAAACACAATGAGTACATTCCTAATACAACAGGCTTCTAAGTTTCTCAGGGATAGTATTATGTCGACCTATTGAGACAAGTGAAATCTCCAAAATATAGCAGAGATCAGACCTGGATAACAAACTACACCTAGTTTGAGTCCAAATTTGCAATTACAGCAAAATAAACAATATTGACAGAGAATTCTAGGATCTAGGGATGTCTGAGTAAGAAATCAATGAACTGTTGATTTTGCATATATCAAATCCTTCTCTTTAGCCTCTAAACACAAAACACAACCATTTTTCCCCCCTGTTCCAATTTGTTAATAAATTACCCCAGGCATTCAGTAATCGTAAGAGTAGAATAATGGCTATGTTTGTATGCTAGTTAGCAGAAGGAGATGCATTTCTTACCTTTGTCAGATGATGATTTCTAACTTGTGCTTGGGATTCAATGTATTAAACTACATTCAGTGAACATCTGGTTTGCTATATTATTTCTTTCACACTACATACAGAAAGGCTTCCCTAACATTTCTCTTCTGATTTTTAGATTCTCCCTTTTTAAAAATCTTTTATACTATCTACATCTCAGTGTGTACCCTTTTACACTTTACACGTTTTGAGCTTTTTACTTTATTTTACTTCCTAATAACTGTACTCCAATCCCTTAGGCTGGCCTATGATAATAAAGACCCAGCTTGATTTGTTACCTTTATCACTTTAAGGGAGGTATTAGAAATCCAAGAAACGGAGAGATCATTAGAGACAAAATTCAGAATTACATAAGCACATAAAGCTCATTGCCAACAGCCTCTTGACTTTTTTTTTTAATTTCCAGGAGAGACTTTTAAATACAGAAGTGGTTCAGTAGGTCTGTGTTTTATTTATTTATGTATTTTTAAACTTCAAAGGCAGCAGAAATTACAATAGTGCCCAAAATATTCTTGCCCTATAAACCAGGGGTGGGTTCTACTTACCTTTACTACCGGTTTGTAGCGGGGCCGTGCATGCACGCTCTTCTGCACAAGTGCAGAAGCGTTTTGATGACGTCGGGGTCGGTGGGCAGAGCCTCCCCTCAGTTTTACTACTGGTTCTATAGAACCGGTGCGAACCGGGGGCAATCCACCACTGCTATAAACACAGTAGAGCTGCATCAATGAAGTATCATTGTTACAGCATCATTTCATAGACAGACACCTGGATACCTTTGTCAACAAAGTGAGAAATGTTTCTATTCACTGTAATCTTCTTAAATACCAAATCTCATCTTACTTCACAAGAGAGTCATAAATTGCTAGCATCTCTTGGGATAAATTAAACTCTTCTTCTATACTTGTCCAGAACTTTAAAGGCATAACGCACCAGGGAATAATATATTTCAAATAGCAACAATATTGCTATTTGACCAGAAAATACACTCTCTGAAATTTTACAGATAAAAATAAAGTCTAGAGCATCATTTTCAGTAGTGATATGTTGATATAATTTCCTGACGGAATACAACAGAGAGAAGAATCCCAAATGCCAGGAACATTATTTCATTAGAGTCCAACATGTTATAGAAATAAATTCCTTTTCAAAAATAAAACAAAAAAAAGCACAAAAGAAAACATTAGTATATAAAACACTTACAATATGCGTACAATAATATACTAGACAATATATACCCTAACTGATTCAGTTTATGTGTAAAATAAGATGGCCTCATGTTTTATTATAAATGAATATATTTCTTTAAAAACAGTGTGCTTATATGTATTTATTTAGCTTAATTACCACAGATAAGAATGTTGCTATAATAAATACCAAGTGAATATCAACAAGGAACATGAACATTCTTCAGTATATTACATGTGTTTTGGCATAGATAAAAAGTTAAAAAATAAAAGATTCCTATAAAGCCAAAACAAAGTACAGTAATTATTTTACTTTGTAAAAATTTATAAATTGGTCAACTGGCATAGTGTGTAAAGCTAAATGAGTTGAAAACAACTCTTATGATTTATACTACAAAAAATTGTGGACTGAAGGGACAAAATATTTAAAGGAAAAGGCGACTTTAAAATCAGAGGTAGATTCTAATGTCTTCATCTGGTCCCTTAGATTATTCTGTGGTAAAATCCATTTGCTTTTTTTTTTTTTTTTTTAGTAAACAGTCTTTTTTCCTTCAAAAATGTTTTAGAGGCAAAGTACAAATCTGTAATATTTTGTCTAGAAATATTTCTCTAAAAGGAACTTAGAGAAATATTTCTCTAAATATTTCTCTGGTAGTTTGGCACTACCAAAAGGTTCTTTTGTACTGATCATTAAAAGTTTAATAGTTACTATTAAATAGGTACTATATGGCATACACAACACGAGGAGATAACTGTAAGGAAGTCATTTGCCCTTTGTGCTTTCTCGTTTTTTTAAAAAATAATAATCTGACTTTTGTCAGGTATCTCATCTAATTACTTACTAGTCCTGACTCCACAAAACACCCCTAACTATGGCATGAGCATGCCCTACTAACCTTTTGTATATGACATATTCATGAGGCTTCCCTTTCTCTCATCCATTGCTGTAGCAAAGTCTTTACACATTCCAAGTTCAAAGTAATATTTTTACTGTGGTTAAGATTAGGGTGCTTCATCAACATGATGATAAAGGGCTGGGATCCGAATGCCCAGATCTTATACAATGTCTAAACTCATTCTTTTCAATGATTTTAGACAAGCTGAATGCATACTAAACAGAGGGTAAAGCTGAGCTATGATGTTGGGTCTACTCCCAGGCTTGCAAAGTTCCCCAGCCTCACCTTTTGCTAGCCATATATTAAAGGTTGCTGACTGGGGAGAGTAAGACTATGCAACTAAATTGCCATGAATCTTGGAGGTCAGATTGTGTAGCACTCCAGCAACCATAGATACCTATATAGAGAGAGAGACCTTCATGCCTGTATATATCTTCACTCATAGTTATGGAGGAATGTTTCCAAGTAATCCATCTTCCATCAATGGCTGACTAAAATCCAACATGTTTTTTAGCCTGGCTTTGATGTTTGAGTGTGTTTCAGACCCTAGAAGATACAGTGCTGCATCCCAGAGCAAGCAGAGATGACAAAGCATTGACTGTGCGAGGGGAAGGAGAAAAGTCTGCACCTGTAACGATCCCAGCCAGAATTCGACAGATTATCACAGAAAGCTTATCTGAGCCATCATCCTCAGGTATTGCCTTAAATTGGGCATCCCTTTAGCAGATAATGTGTGTGGATTCAAGTGCAAGGAAATGGCGGGGAGACTGAAATTCATAAATTGATACTAGGAGTGGATTGACTTCCTAACCGGATATTTTCTGGATGTGATGTTCCAGTATCTCCCAGAATTTCCTTCACAATGTGAATATGAAAAGAGAGCTAGTCATCTATTCTTTCCAATAAAATATTTAATTTCCTCTGGTTCCCTGGCAGAGTATCAATTAGGTCAGGGGTGGGCAAATGTGGCTCTTTTACAACCTGTGGACTTCAACTCCCAGAATTCCTGAGCCAGCTTGGCTGTCTCAGGAATTCTGGGAGTTGAAGTCCACAGGTTATAAAAGAGCCACATTTGCCCACCCCGAATTAGGTGGCTGTTGACTTGGAAAAGTGATTGGATCCATTTCTGTGCTGTCATTCCCAATCACTCCCTAAATGAGCATAAGCCATTTCTATAATAGCCCACAATAATTCTGATTGCACCAAGAGATGAGTAGCAGTCTCTCCAATTTATTTTATTGGTTCGATTTTATATGCCGCCCTTCTCCGGAGACTCAGGGCGGCTTACAATGCATTAAGCCAGTGGTCCCCAACCCCCGGTCCGCGGACCGGTGCCGGGCCGTGGAGTACCTGGCACCGGGCCGCGCAGCGGCCGGGGGACATGAACGCTGCAGCGCAAAGGCTCCTGGGCCGTGCGCAATGGGCCGTGCGCAAAAGCTCCTGGGCCGTGCCCCCACCCCTGCGCGCTCTCAGCGGGCCGCGGCGATAAAAAGGTTGGGGACCACTGCATTAAGCAATAGCCTTTATACTTTTGTATATACCTGCTTAGTAGGGCTTTTGGCCCCCCCCAAGCGTTGTTCTTTTTTTATGCAAAGTCAGCTTATTGCCCCCACAATCCGGGTCTTCATTTTACCTACCTCGAAAGGATGGAAGGCTGAGTCAACCTTGAGCCTGGTGAGATTTGAACTTGCAGTAATTGCAGGCAGCTGGTGCTAGTTAACAGCACTTTAATCTGCTGTGCCACCAAGGACCAACAAGGAAGTGTAGAAATTGGCCAACATTACATCTCAGTCCTATTGTGGAAAGGACAAAACACATGTTGATGCTCAGTATCCATCACATATTTTATAGTCATTAGCAAAATAGTTTTAGTGCACAACTACTTCTCATTTATTTTTTTTACAGGAAGGCTAAAGGAGTTGTGATAAGAGGTTCTATGAAACTGGAAACAGCAAACTCTTTCAGGGGCTTTTCAAGAAGAATGTGTATTCAAAAGCAAGTCTTCATATACCATAGACCTGGAGGCTGGGTTAATTTTTTTTTCCAGGCTTAGTTTTTCTTAGGTCCTCAATTTTGCAAATTTCAGAAACTATGTGAAAATGTCTATGGACATTTAACATCATTTCATGTGCATTTCTCTGTAGGTATGCATTCTTGTGAACATCTTTTCTACTATATTCATTTTCAAACTATTCTATATTCAAATTGTTCTATAAATTGAGGTTGCTTTGATTTAGTCTGTCTAATCAAGTTCTGATGCAACCGATTTATCATCCATTTCTATTTATGTCAAATATTTGCTTAATCCAAAATGCCATCATATTCTTTTTGATGTTAAGTACTGGTGTTCAAATCTATATACTATTGGCATTATGTTGCTAAGAGAATTATCCATGTTCCTGCTTCCTAAAAACAAGAGTATGTGGTGTTTGTGTATTTGCCTAAAGCTACACCTCCAGCTAAAATAATTGCATTGATTTCAAGCCACTAGTTGATTGACTTGCCATAATCTATTGATTAATGTTTCCAGATTTATCAAAAACAGACCTTCCAGCCAATATGCAAGAAGAAAACCGCTTATTGCAGAAGGAACTTTCTCGTCTCGAAGACCTGTTGGCACACACTCGTGCAGAGAAGGATGAGCTGGCTAGCAAATATCAAGCTATTAGTGAAAGAGTAAGAATTAGATATGTAACTTAATAAACTAATTTTTGAATAAAGGTCTATTGATAGAAGTGGGAACCTACATTCGACTAATCATAAGTGTTTACTGGTTGTGAACATATTTCATGTATAACACAAGAGAGGGAGGGAAAGATACAAATGAAGAAGTAGGTACAAAATATATATTGTGTATATATATATTGTGTATGTATGTGTCAGTAGAAATTTCTGCATTTCAACATTTATTTAAAGGAGACAGTAATATAAATTCTGCCATGCCTGGTGGATTGATATGACTGCTAAATGAAAGTCTCATGGGTGGGGGAGCTATAGTATTAAATGTGGTTAGTAATTTAAATAGTATTTTAGTTTTTAAGAAATCAGATTGCTCCAAATTATAGTCTGTGATGATAGTGTCCATTTAATAACTAATTTAGATAGTTTGAAAGAGGAGGTTACAGTATATAAAGTAGGTTTGCCATATTCAGAACATATAAAATGGTGCAGGACAAGAATTTAATTCAAGTTTTGTTTTAACAACCAGATGAATTATAGTAAACACAAGAATATTAAAGAACATCTTTCTTTAAATTAATTTAGAGAAAAAAATAAACTGCTAATAAACTAGCATAGCAGCATAAAGTCCTGAGAATACTTTTTACATTTGCATTTATTCTTTGTTTTTGCTAACAGATTAACTCTGAATTTTTAAGCATTTGCATTAATTGATATAATGGATGTGGCATATATTTATACAATTCTAAAACCATGTTTTCATTTGAATAATATCTTTGGCAGAGCTTCTCCATTTCCATGAATAAATGTGTGCTTATGAGATACAGTGTCTTTAAGAGAAGCTAACTTTTTAAAAAAAATTGTTTTGATCTTTTGAGATGGCATATGAAAAATTCTGTTTGAGTGAATTTCCCATACTGGATAAGCCAAGCAAATTATTTTCAAGAAAAAAGTACATCTGTCCTTAAGTGGGCATAACATAAATAATTGTGGCATGATTGCAGAAATGAACAATTTATTTTCTTTCAAAAGTGTTTCATGTACTAGTAGCCCCTAAAATAGAGAGAGATAGCCTTTATTGTCATTTACCTGTATACACGACGGCACACATTAACATGAAATTCCAATGCCTCCTCTTCCACCGAACAATGCCACCATCCCAAGGATAACCAGAATAATATAATAATGGCAGCAGCACAAAAAATGCCGAGATATACAAAATGACATTATATTAATCACAGTCCATTTTGAATACATAGCGAGAAAAGGAGTCTTGAGAGTTAACAAGTTGACACTATATGGAACAAAGCTATTGCAGAATCTAGTTGCTTCAGATACCACAAAGTCTCCGCCCAGAAGGCAACTATGAAAATCAGTCATGGAGAAGATGTGTAAAGTCCCTGACAATACTACAGACTCTGGTCAAGCAGCGCTTATATGCTATGTCCTGGATAAAAGGAAGTGAACTTCCAATATTTTTTTCTGCTGTCCTTACCACCCTCTGCACAGCATTCCTGACCGAAGCAGTAATACTTCTGAACCAAAGAGATTCAACAGGATACTTTCAATCATCCCTCTATAGAAAGTAGTAAGGCTAGGGGAAGGAAGATGTGCTCTTTTCATGTTATGCAGAAAATACAGTTGCTGCTGTGCCTACTTCACCAGGGTTTCACTATTGAGTAACCAAGCTAACTTACTCATTAGCTGGACTCTCAGAAACTTATACTACTAACCACCTCCATAGTTGAATCATTAATACACAGAGGTATATGTCTTCACCTGCCTTTCTTGAAATCGACAATGATCTTTTTTGATTTTCCACCTTTTAGAACCGAGCTGTTTTTTCACCAAACCCTCTGCCTCCTCTGTGTAAGCACCATGGTTGTCATCCCAAATGAGCCCCATCACTGTTGTATCATCTGCATACTAGAATGGCAAAGTAGCCTTCTTTACATCCAACCAGCCGTGTAGCATTCTACTGTAATGGTAACCCTTTGACGGGAACAACTGAGACTCACATTCTGCAGTGTAAATGTAGAGAGTCAATACTGTGCAAATATATCCCATTGACAGCCCCCTAGGTATGCAAAGGTAGATGAGATGTTAGTTCCATTTTTATATGCTGCTGCTTCTAACTATGCAACTGCACCTGGGCATGGTATATGGAGTGATTGAACATGATACTTTTCAAAGAAAATTTATTTTAGCAAAATCTTTGAAAATTCTTTGAAAGTCCTCCTGGAAACAGACCTGTAATTTATTGTCAAGAAAAGTGGTAAACCATTTTTTTTCACTCATGAAACTGGATCCTGACATATTGTATTTACATAACTTTTAAGAAATCAGCCCCTTTTTTTGCTATTCTGCACCCAGAACCTTGTTTTGCCAATTGGATTACGGCAGGTATTTATCTCTGTAGCTGCAGCAAGCACAACGAGCAGAGGATGAAGGAAGCACAGCATTCCTGCAGATGAGACAGCAGTTTAAATCGGATGAAAAAGCACATAAGCGTAAGATGCAAGCTTTCCAGGATGGGCAACAGCATCAGGCTCAGCTAGTACAGAAGATGCAAAACAAGGTGAGTGATATTACTTCTGCCAGTTGTGCCTGTGACAGGTTCCTTTTGATGGAGCTTATAAGGATTGAATTTATTGGGGCTTTGTGCTGTAGTTCTTCATTAATTTGGAAAATTCTCTGTTGAACATTCAGAATACAGACTCTTAGCAGGTCTGGCTTCCTTCCGTTGCAGTGCCTGCTAGCATAGGAGCAACATTTGACCTGCTGCTATTTTTCTCTCTAGCTCAGTTTATCATTGAGTAGGACAGGCAAGTCATCTGGATTACTCTTCATGAAACTATATTCAATTTTGCAAGCCATCAGAAACCTTAATACAAGAGAGATGAATCTGAATCTAGGATGAGTGATGGATTCAATAAAGGCAAATGTATTGAAAGTTAATCTAAAGGAGAACTTAGTCTAATTTGCATAAGGTTTTCCTTCTACAACAAGAGTTTCAAACAGCGCTCTGCGGGCCGGATGCATCATGCGCTGGCCATGCCCACACCCAGTTTAGCAAAGGGGAAAAACGTCATGATACATTACGTGATGACGCGAGTTTGACACCCCTGTTCTACAAGATCAGAATTGGAGGTGCTTCCTGATCTTTGCTTATGAATGTTCAGGTTTTATTTATTTATTTATTCAGCATATGGCATCAGAGGTCATGCAATCACTGATATACAAATTTAATGTAAATAAAGTATCAGCAAATATACTCTGTGTGTGTATGTGTGTGTGTATCATAAAATCACCATAACATGAAGCCATAGAATTGCAATGGAATAGATGTTATAATTTAATATCTAAGGAACAAGTCGTAACAAGTTAGTAATTTTCTCATGAAATATAATAATAGTTAATAATAAATAATAATATAGTGTTTCTTATTAGTTATTAACGAATGAGCTAATAATAATTAACTTATTAAGCTGATGTGCCCTGTTATATTTACATTTATTATATTTATTTCTGGAGAATGGGTTCATTGTTTTGCAAGTACATCTTCTGCCTCTTAAACCTGTCCCTTCTCTGAAATTAGAGGATTCTGTTAAAAATCCTGCCAGGTTGCTGGAAATGCCTGATAGAGCTCCTGTACTTTCCAGACTTAAGTTTTTGAACTGCCCTATCATTGGTTCCACTCCCTGATTACAGAAAAAACACAAAATATTTACTGCTTTATTACTTTTTAGAAGCTTAAATTCAGTGCTTAAACTAAATTTAATTTAATTTAATTTTAATTTTAATAAAAATAAAAAATATTTTAATAGCGATGATAAAAATTAGTTCTCATTATGAATTGTTTTAATCAGCCTTCCTCATGTTGGTGTAGGAGAAGGAAAGGCAGAGCTTGGGGACAGAGTCAAGAGAGGAATTCGTCTGGAGTCATTAAGTTCCTACAAGTGGTCTAAGTCCAGCCTCTCTTGAATTCAGTTAACTCTTATCTAGCACCAATTTAGTGCTGACCTTTAGTTGACTAGATTCTTGTGTATAGACATACAGTAAATAATAAATAAGCTTAACTGAAACTTAACACATTGTCCTGATTCCTTGCGCCTGACAGTCCCCTTCAGAATTTGAAGTACTCTTTAACCTATAAACTATGCCAGTGGTTCTCAACCTGTGGTCCGAGGACCACTGGGGGGGGGGCGCAATGTCATCACAGGGGTTCCGCAAAGACTTGAAGAAATGTTATGATTTAAATCTTTAGTTAAGTCTTGGGGAGTCTATGGCCATGGTCCATGGCCACAAAAGGTATTTAAAGGGGGTCCGTGGTGAAGAAGATTGAAAACCCCTGAACTATGCTATTTCAGAAATTATGATAATGGAAATGCAGTATGTTTTATGGACACCAAATTGGGGAAGGATGATTTAAATAAATAATTTGCCAAATGAATCATGCAATCTAGATAGATGTGCAAATAGTAGTTTTCAATATGGGTGATTTTTAAGATGTATACAATAGCTACTATGAGTGGAAAAACATATTTTCTATCTAAAAAGCTCTTTGTAGGCTTTCAGAGAAGAATTAAAGAAACAAGGTACCAGCATTGGCCAGTTATAGTACCAGGTCAGCCCATTAAACAAAAAAATCAGTTTGGGCTTTATTTGGAAGCAGTTTCCATAGGAATTTACAGGGTTCACACAACGTGCTAAAAGAAATCAAAAATAAAAACCAAAAACCCCACCCCGCATTATGACTTAGCAGAGTATTTAGTCAGTCTGAATGCTAACTAGATGTTTGGATCTTATGAAAGCCTTCCTTTCATTTTTGAAAAATTTTCTGGAGGAACAAAGAAACAGCCTTCCTAAGCTAATGTTCTTCAGTTGTGTTCAATCAATTCCCATATGCACAAGACATTTGTCCAAAATCTGTACCCCATAGGATATAGAGTGAGGAAAGATCTTTGAAAAGGACTAATTTCTAATATTTAGAGGGTCATATTGCTGAAAGTGAAAGTTCTTCCCTATTGCATCTTCTGCTTAATATCCACACTTGTGGATTTTTCTCCCTCCTAAATCTTTACTTTTTAAAATCTGTGCTACACAGCCAAAAAGTGTTTTTCTTTTTGACATTTTTAAAGGCTTCCCTCTCATAACATATTCCTTGTCTTCTCCCACTTTAGTTTTGTCAGATTTCTGCTTTTCTTCTTACTTTTAATTTGACCCGGTTCTTATCACAATCTACATTTTATATATTGGTCTTCTCCATCTTCCCCACTCCCCACAAAAACCTACAATGTCTCAAATAAATGATTTAGTAGCAATCCAGGGAAGTTTTCATATAAAGATGAATATATTGTCTCTTAAACTGCCTGAGAAATTAGGGCTGGGCTAACAGATCTGATTTCAAGTCTTGCTGCTGGCCAAGAATGGTGGAGCCAGAATGAAAAAAATATACACTGGATTTGATTGCATTTAAAATGTAAAATTAATTGCAAATTGCAATTAAAATATATTCATTCCAGTGGTGAAATCCAAATTTTTTTACTAGTGGTTCTGTGGGCGTGGCTTGGTGGGCGTGGCTTGGTAGATGTGGCTTGGTGGGCATGGCAGGGGAAGGATTCTGCAAAATCCCCATTCCCTCCCCACTCCTGGAGGAAGGATATTGCAAAATCTCCATTCCCACCCTACTCTGGGGCCAGCCAGAGGTGATATTTGCCGGTTCTCCGAACTACTCAAAATTTCCACTACTGGTTCTCCAGAACCTGTAAGAACCTGCTGGATTTCACCCCTGATTCATTCCCTATGTATTTCATAATATGCTTTAAAATTATAATTTTTGAAAAGGTCTGGCTTGACTTGGAATCCCAAGATGCACAACCCTGATCTCCTGGATCAAACTTCTACTTCTTTTATTTTAGTTAAATCATCTTCCCTGAACTCTTTTCTTTCTTTTTCTCTTGAATATTCCGATTACCTAAATCTCTTTCTCCATCATGGTATAGGTACTGCAATATAAGAAAAGATGTGGAGAACTGGAACAGGAGTTACTGGAGAAAACCTCTGAGTCTGAGCATCAGAAACAGATGGTCTGTATTTTATGTGAGGGTTTTTCCCCCCATTAATGATAAAGCATATGGCAAGGGTCCCCAATCCTGGTTCGCGGCCCATTGGGAACCGGGCTATGCAAGCAATGGGCAGGCAGGCAAAGCTCCATTTGCACAAGCAGCGGGCACATATATGAAACCATTCCCTCTCCTCCCCTACCACCGCTGCTGCTGATTCACAGAGCCACAAAGGTTAGGGACAGTGGTGGGATTCAAATTTTTTTACTACCGGTTCTGTGGGTGTAACTTGGTGGGTGTGGCATGGCTTGGTGGGCGTGGCAAGGGAAGGATACTGTAAAATCTCCATTCCCTCCCCACTCCAGGGGAAGGTTACTGCAAAATCCCCATTTCCTCCTGATCAGCTGGGACTCAGGAGGCAAAGAATAGATGGGGGCGGGGCCAGTGAGAGGTGGTATTTACCGGTTCTCCAAACTACTCAAAATTTCTGCTACCAGTTCTCCAAAACTGGTCAGAACCTGCTGAATACCATCTCTGGTTAGGGACCTCTGGCATAGGGCACTTAGACTCTTAACATTGTGCATAACCCTGTTCTACAATGCCATGGTCAATTCAATGGAGTGAATGTTGGAAATTGGCCTAGCCAGCCAAAAATCATATATGGTACACATATTTGTTGTATAATTCATATCATTTCAAGATTCCCACAGGTTTCATCAATGTCCAGTCGTTTCTTCCAGTTAGTGTATAGTTTTGTTAAAAAAAGCTAGCTGAGTTCTTTATTATGAGGCAAATCTTTTACTCAGCCAGCAGCAATGATAATTTAAGGCTAAACCAGTTAAGCAAGAAAAAATAAATTTTCTATGCATGTAGGTGGTACCCCACAGAAGTTCTCTGGGTGGCTCTCATTACAGTTACAATACGAGGTATATAAAATAAACTGCTAAAACTTTTTAAAAGTTCAGCACAAATTATAGGCTAAAAATCATATTCTTTTAAAAGACAAAGTGTATGGAAGGTTGCACTGTGACCCTGTGTTGTTAGACATTGGAATACTTGTGAAGGTTTCTAAGCAGCTGACATTTGCCAAAAAACATTAATATCTGTAGAAAAAGGCATTGCAGCAGCCAGCAGACAGGCAGAGATTTCACAGAACTCTCAAGTATTCAGTTTTCTACATTTATAGGCTTGGATGTTAATGCAGCAATTAATTAATAAATAAAAACCTTGTGAAGTCCAAACCTGTATTTGTAGTACTCTGCAGACAGTTATCCTAGCAAATCTATATGATATATAGCAGGCACCTGAAAATAACAGCCAAATTAATCTTAGTACTCCAAGTCCTTATTGTTCATCCTAGAGGCGCTATCTCAGGTGGTGTATAATAGCTTCCCAACCTGGGTGTTCTATCTATCTTGGATTTCAAGTTCTAGAAATTTTAGCATTTGCCATGATATATTCTCCATGTATCTGGAAGTCATCCAGGTTGGAGACAGTTTTTTAAAAAAATTCAGTTAAACAAGTTATAGTGTTTCTGAAACACTGCAAAACTTTACAGAACCTGAACAAAGAAGCATATGGAATTAATAAGCAAGGATGTTTTTACCCCTGTTAAGGCTTCTTTGGTGCTCTGGAAAAATGTATACCTGATTGAGGCCTTTTTTTGAGTATATTATTATAGTCATAGTTATAAAATTGCCCAAACATCAATGGGGAGTTGAGCAGATTAAAGGAAAAATCTTAAAACTGAAAAAAAAAAAGACAAAAACAAGATCAAAACATACTGAAAGAGGAAAACAAAAGAGAAGTAAAAGCAAATGTTATGGAAGTGAGAAAGTTTGTTCAGAAATCTGTCTCTTTGTGGAACTTCTAACTAAGGTAGCCATTGGAGAATTGTATCAGTGAGGTGACATACAGAGTTATGCAAATTGAAGGCTTTTCCTTGACTTCTGCAAATTCAACTAAGAACACATTTCATTTCTAGAAATTGCCAGTTGATGGCATTTTATAACATACCTTTCCTCTCAATTCTTGAAGCTCAAATCTGTAAAGAAAAGTTTCATGATTTTAAGTAAGCAAATTGTATGGTGTATATGATACACGCAATTGCATACATATCCTAAATCTGCTAATAATCTTTCTGTACCTTAATTACTATTATAGTTCAGTCTGACATCTTTTCTTCTTCCTAGCTACAGACAAGATTAGACTCAACAGAATTACGTTTACGACGCGTTGAACATGACCATAATACAGAGTTGGAGAACACTCTCATCCACCTAGAAAAAGAGCAGCAGAGGTAACATTGGTATTTTTCAGGGATGAATAGCTTATTTTATTTGGAAGATCCAATTCAGGGAAGGATAATTAGTTGCATTAAACTGAAATGTATAACTATTGGCCACTGAAATTTTATGGAAAGTTAGCAATATCCTTTCTGTGACATATTATTACAACTACAAGCAAGGCTTTAACCTCTGATTTAAATTTGAGAGATCTAGGTTCCATTTCTTGTACTTTAAGCTTTCTTACTGCTGATCACATGTAATCCTCAGCTTTCCATAGCTCTCCTGAATGGAATTACACATCATAATTAGGAAGATTCTGTCTCAAGTTAAGAACTTTACCTCTTCCTCTTCAAATCAATGCAGGTCATACCTTGATCAGAAATCCCATTCCAGGAATTTTAGGATTCAAGATGTTATGTTGGGTTTCTGTGGATTTTCTATCACCACCAGGAGAATAGGTTCTACAAAAAACATGCCCATTAACTGGTTTTTGCAACAAGCTAGCTGGGGCTATGAAAATAAGGGGGTGGGGGCTGCGGTACAGGTTCAGAAAGCATTTGGAGGACCCCTGGTAATGATCCATCCAAAAACTGGGGGCAGTTTTCTACCAGCAGCAGATTACCATGCTTAGAATGATGGTTTATAATTCAAGGGCTTTGATACTTGCAGGGGGAAAAAGCAGCTTCTAAAATTGAGATCCCATTTGGCCTTAGAATACTCCTCTTCATATTTTTCAATCAAATATAACCTGAAAAATCAAACATAAACTTACACTCTAGGGAGTTACCAAATATGGAAGAGTACACGGAATAATATATAAGCAGAAATGAGACCCAAAGAGCATTGATATTACTGCAAAAGGGAAAGAATTAACAGAAACTCATGTAAAATAAATGAAGTGGTTGTCAGTAGTATCAATCTAGGCAACTAATGAGAATATATGGGATTATATGAACATGATAGAGGGATTTGTCTGTTTTAGAAGAAAACATTAGAGACACTAAAATTACCTCAGAGTGAGAATTTTGCTATTTGCTATATAATTGAATTGTTAAGCGCCCAGGAAATTTTTTTAAAAATCTCATGAAGTTCAGAAGTTATTTCATCAATGGAACATAGATAAAATTGTTAAAATACAAATAATCATACAAGTGATCATCTGGTAATACTCGCTAAATATAAAGCATTGGTATAGAAGTAACTGTGCAGACAGATAGGTCTTCTAGGTAGGAATGAAAAAAGTACTGAAGCTGATATAGGATTGCCTCAATTAGCCTTAAACACATTGTGTTCACACACATTATTGTGTGAAGAAATAGGAAAGTCTACAGGAGAAAGTTGCCAAGGGAGCTGAACAAGAAGAGAGGACAAAGGCATTTATTTATTTATTTCATTTGTTTACCATCAATCTCTATTTGAAGCAAAATTAATAACCAGAAAAGTATTGGATGTAATTATTTTTTTAGATAATCACGTGAAGATCACGTGAAGTGTTAATACCACTTTATAATGCCTTGGTAAGACCACACTTGGAATGCTGCATTCAGTTTTGGTCACCACAATGTAAAAAAGATGTGGAGACTCTACAAAGAGTGCAGAGAAGAGCAACAAAGATGATTAGGGGCCTGGAGGTTAAAACATATGAAGAACAGTTGCAGGAACTGGGTATGTCTAGTTTAATGAAAAGAAGGACTAGGGGAGACATGAGAGCAGTGTTCTGATATCTCAGGGGCTGCCACAAAGATGAGGGAGTCAAGCTATTCTCCAAAGCACCTGAGGGTGGGACAAGAAGCAATGGGTGGAAACTAATCAAGGAGAGAAGCAACTTAGAACTAAGGAGAAATTTCCTGACAGTTAGAACAATTAATCGGTGGAACAACTTGCCTCCAGAAGTTGTGAATGCTCCAACACTGTTTTTAAGAAGAAGTTTTTAAGAAGATATTGGTTAACCATTTGTCTGAAGTGGTGTAGGGTTTCCTGCCTAAGCAGAGGTTTGGACGAGAAGACCTCCAAGGTCCCTTCCAACTCTGTAATTCTATATTTATGCATTTTCAGCATTTATTTATGATATTTATATATCTCCAATGTTTACAAGCCTGCAGTAATTATGAGGAATTGTGTGATCAGCTGTGAAAGATGAACATGTCAATATCTGAGTTGTTGCTGGTTGCAAGGATTGTATCCTAAGAGCTGTTCTTGCTTAAGCAGCTGAATAACAGTTTATGACTCACAGCAATTCTGGGATGTTTGTATTCCTACTTGCAATGTGTGCAAGCTTCTAGTGGGTTTGAGGAAATTGTCAAAGGAATAGAGCAGTAAATAGCCACACTACATTTAACTTAGTGGAGGTCATTACATGTGTTAGTGAATATAATGATGTTCAACATGAAAGATGATGCATAGAAATGAGTCAAGGAAAATTGTACAATATCCTACTTTAAGAATTCAGTTTTATTTCTCCTGAGAGAAGTAAAAAATTATCAGCACAAACAATGGTGGATCTACAGCAGGCCTGAAAAGGAAAATAATATTCTTTATAGAAGGCAGTCTAGCAAAGAAGCAAGTCCAGGGTTTCAGTCAGAAGCAAGAGACATACATGCTATACTGTTGGAATTGAGCAACTACTATGAGACATTTGGAACAGAAAAATCTACAAAGCCTTCAGAAGAAACAGAGGATTTAGGATTTCTTCATATGGACTAGCAAAAATGAGTTTGATCCAACTTTGAGTTGTTTGATCGACTTACAATAGTTCAATGCACTGAAAAAAGTGACTTATGATCATTTTTCACACTTATGGCCATTGCAGCATCCCCATGGTAATATGATCAAAATTTGGATGCTTGGCAACTAGTTCACATTTATGACAATTGCAGTGTCCTGGGGTCATGTGAGCATCTTTTGTGCTCTTCTGATAAGCAAAGTCAATGAGGAAGCCAGATTCACTTAACAACCATGTTACTAACTTAACAACTGCAGTGATTCAGTTAACAACTGCATCAAGAAAGGACGTAAAATGGGACAAAATTCATTTAACAAATATCTTACTTAGCAACATAAATTTATTTATTTATTTGTTTATTTATTTATTTATTGGTTCGATTTATATGCCGCCCTTCTCTGGAGACTCAGGGCGGCTTACAATGGGTTAAGCAATAGCCTTCATACTTTTGTATATACCTGCTGCTTTCACACCCCCCCCCAGGCGGTGTTCTTTTTTATACAAAGTCAGCTTATTGCCCCCACAAACCGGGTCCTCATTTTACCGACCTCGAAAGGATGGAAGGTTGAGTCAACCTTGAGCCCGGTGAGATTTGAATTTGCAGTAATTGCAGGCAGCTGGTGTTTCTTACCAGTGCTTTAGTCTGCTGCGTGACCAAATTCTGGGCTCAATTGTGGTTGTACTTTGAGGATTACCTATAGTACTATTGTGCCCTTTGTTTTGTTTTCCTGTAGAAGTGCTACCCTTTCCCAGATGAACACTCTACTTCAGGAACAGCTGGAAGAGGTGAAATGCTCAAAACAGAGACTAGCTGGGGAGCTAGAGAGGAATGCTACTGATATGCACAGGCTGAGAAGTGGACTAGAACAGAAGGTATCTCTTTGGTACAAGGCAGGAAGTATTACTTGATTTTTTTTTTGAATGTCTTACTACACTAGGATTAGAGATTAATTAGTTCCATATTACATTATTATAATGCACAGGGGTAATATGTTTATATTTTTCTTTGTGCATTTATTTATTTGGTGATTTTAATCAGTTTAATATTCAAGCTGGGCCAACTGTTTATAAATTCATTTAGTCCCAGGATTCACTCTCCACTTTACTTATCTTACTGTTGCTGTTGAAAAAAAAAAAAAACCTAGGCAAGAGGCATATGGAGTTAATTAAACTCAGCCTTTCTGATACCACTACACCCAGGATACAGTTTTCAATTATAGAAGAATATTAACTATAATATTTATCCAGTTCCATTGCTTTGGGAAATGCTGCAGCCTGTATACACTCTTCTCTAGTAATCTCACAGTGCTAATTGAAGCCTTCTGCACTATGTGCAAAGTAAGCTTTGGAGGTGGGAGTGATTTGGAAGGGCTTAAACAGAGGATTACAAGCATGTTTTTTCCCAATCTAATTCCAATCTGGATTAGGAATTCCACTTTGTTTCAGCTTTAACATGAATTGCATGACTATTAGTAGCATAATTATAATCATACCTGATTTTGTCCTCACTATTATTTTGTAGGAAGGATTGACTTTTCCCTTTTCATGTGTCTCTCTCTTTTTTCAGTGAAATTTTGGAATGATTATAGTTTCCATTTAGCATGTAACGCAAATCCATTTTATATTTAGTTAAGTTCACTCAATATAGACCTTTTGTTTAGAAAAATGTGGAATAGGCTTTAGTCCAACAAATAACTGACTCATCTCTCAGAACGGTCAAATGAATTCACAAATTTATTGGAAATATTGTATAATATGTGAATTTGGTGAATTCAACAAGTTCATGAATTTCAATAGGTTATTCCAAATCAGTAATTTTACTATGGATTTGTTTTTATATGTATACAGTTTTGTTCAACTGTTTAGTGCAATGTTGCACTCATAGTTTTTATAGATTTATGCAACAAAAGCATATATTTCTGAAAAATAAGAAGGCAAAGATAGAGAATGCATATAAAGGGAGAAGACAACTACTTCCACTGATTTAAAAGAAACTACTATTATTTATGTTTGACAAATTAGGCCATAAGCAGAGAAAAGATGTGGACAATTGTTATTTCTTCAATGAAAAATGCTTTCCTACTTTTTGCAGTATGTTGCCTACAAGTTCTTTGTCTCGGGGGTGAAATGCTCCCGGTTCGGACCGGATCACCCGATCCGGTAGCGATGGAGGCAGGTGGTTCGGAGAACCGGTAGCAAAAATCCCTGCCCCCCCCCCATACCCAGCTGAGCCGCACAATCATCAGAGGCTTTTTTTTTACTTTTAAAAACATTTTTTCTACAACCTCTTCGGCTGAAAAAATGCTTTTAAAAGTTAAAAAAAGAAAAGCCTCTGATGATTGCATGGCTCAGCTGGGATTGTTAAAGGCTTTTAAAAGAAAAAAAACCCTTTTTTTCTTTTAAATGCCTCTGACAATCCGAGCTGAGTTGCCTGATTGGCAGAGACTTTTTTTCTTTTAAATGCCTCTGACGATCAGGCAACTCAGCTGGGATCGTCAGAGCCTTTTGAAAGCATTTTTTACAACCGAAGAGGTTGTAGAAAAAATGGTTTTAAAAGTAAAAAAAAAACAAAATTGACCATGCCCACCCAGTCACATGACACCCCCCACCAAGCCACGCCCACAGAACTGGTAGTAACAAATTTTAGATCTTACCACTGCTTTGTCTACTGTAAAGAAACTCTGTAATAAAATACTCAGCTTTATTACCACTTTTTTGTTGGAACAACATGTCTATTATTGTTTATATAAGAGTTGTATTATTAGAGTTATATTTTTGTCTCTCTGATTATTTGGCATTGGTTCATAGATTTTAGAAGTATCATATCACAATATAATTTTTCTATGTGTACATTTTTGGAGAATAAGATTCCTCTTTCCTTTTCCTGCACTAACTAGGTTGATGATAGATTTGGGAGTTTTAGTATATTCTACCCAAATCTGAGTTTTACCTTTCTGGACAATAATCTTGGTGATTTTGATTCCGTGTTAATTTCTGACATTATTTGGAATAATTTAAGCCAGTTGCTTAACAGCTGTGGTGATTCACTTAACAACTATGACAAGATAGGTCATAAATGGGGCAAAGCTCACTTAACAAATGTCTCATTTAACAACAGTTAAATTTTGGACTCAATTGAGGTTGTAAATTGAGGACTACCTGTAATTTATTAGAAACAAAATGTTATTTATCACTTAGAAGTAATGTATTTTTTTCTTATATTTTTATTCATTATTTATATCTTTTTCACGTATACTCTTTCAAGATATTAAATATAATTAATGACAAGAAACCAAGTAATGCATTTTTGATCCTGCTGTTTTCCAAAGTTCATAATATAGGTAGTCCATGACTTATAATGTTCATTTAGTGATCATTCAAATTTACAATGGCACTGAAAATAGTGACTTATGGCTGTTTTCACACTTATGACCAGTGGTGGGATTCAGCCAGTTCACACCACTTCAGGAGAACCGGTTGTTAACTTTCTGAGCAGTCTGGCAAACTGGTTGTTGGAGGAAATCATTAGGGCAGAGAACCAGTTGTTAAATTACTTGAATCCCACCACTGCTTATGACCGTTGCAGCATCTCCATGGTCACATGATTTACATTCAGATACTTAACAATTGGTTCATATTTATGACAGTCGCAGTGTCCTGAGGTCATGTGATCACATTTTGCAATCTTCTGACAAGCAAAGTCAATGGGGAAACCAGTTTTTTTTTTTTTAATTTGACTTATATGCCGCCCTTCTCCAGAGACTCAGGGCGGCTTACAGTGTGTTAAGCAATAGCCTTCATACTTTTGTATATTTATACAAAGTCAGCTTATTGCCCCCACAAACTGGGTCCTCAATTTACCTACCTTAGAAAGGATGGAAGGCTGAGCCAACCTTGAGCCTGGTGAGATTCGATCTTACTTTAATTGCAGACAACTGGTGTTAAATTACAGAGCTCTGTCTGTTGAGCTATCCAGGCTCACTTATTAAGTTGTTTCACTTAACAACTGTGTTACTAACGTAACAACTGCAGTAATTCACTTAACAAATATGGCAACAAAAGTTGTAAAAATGGGGCAAAACTCACTTAACAAATTTCTCACTTAGCAACATAAATGTTGGGCTCAATTGTGATCATAAGTTGAGACCACCTATACTTTGCCATGTTCCCCTTTCCAGGAATTTCAGGAAAATGTAGGTAAATAATCAGTAATCCTATTATTTGCCTGTACTATATTTCCCATAGTTCATAGGTCTCACACAGAATTCTGTAGTATTGTAGAAGATTGTTTTAAAATAGTAATTATTAATAGTATGGGTGACCCCTTTAGCTATTCTCCATCAATAAAATGTTAAAAGTGATGGAATCTACTCTGTGCCAGTCATGTTTTTTCCATTATTCTTTCAGACCTATGATTCCTATCTCAGCAATGAACACAGTGGGATTCTCCTGCTATGGCGTCAAGCAGCCACACTCCGTGGGAACTTTGCAGAGCTTCGCACAACACTGGAGAGGTGAGTGTTGCTTAAATTTACCATTGCTATAAGAATGTTTCTCATTGTTCTGTTGAAAATTACCAGACAGAGGAATGCTCTGAAACATCAGATACCACTGTGCTTATGCCCTTGTGGTAGAGTCCTTTTTTTTTAAAATGGTGTCTGTTTTAAAACACCATTTTGTGTTTTAAATGTTAGTGTGTAAAAGTTAGAAAAGTTATTTCAAACTTTCAAATAATAATATATTTCAAATAATACTTTGCGACCTGATGGTTGTCCTCAAATTAGGAAACGGTTATCCTTAAATCAGATTATCTTTAATAATAGTCAAGTCAAGAAAGTTGACAACACATAGCTCTGAATGTTTCAGCATCCCTCTTTTGAGTAATATAACTGATATATCTGGAAAATATTATGATATATATTTCTAATTTAAAAAGAGAAGGACCAGGTTTCTCGGTACATTACACAAAATAAAACAATAAATCAGCAATTCAAATTATTGCCATTCACTGACATGCCATTCCTGTACCACCTGGAAATGTTAGGTAATGGTGTATATAGAATTCTGAGTGAACAAAGATATTATTCTCTCATTCCCAGGGGACTTGCTGAAGCAGGAACTGATATGGCAAGAGCTTCCCGCCGCCTCCAAACTGCCTGTCTCAATTTGGATTCCAATTTGCGCCTTTCTGAGAATAGCTCTACCTGTTTGCTAGAGAAGCAGCTTCGGGAGAAAGTCCGAGAGATGATTCAGCTACAGACTTCTTGGGATGGAGAAAAGGCAGTTCTAAACTCCAAGTGAGAAGAATACTACTGTCTCTTTGATTTCTAGATTTCTACAGATTATTAAAGGACAAGAAGATTTAAAAGGGCTGTTCTGGGATAGGCAACCTTTTGGGTCTGGGGAAGCAGCTGGAATTTTGAGAACACATTACCCTATAAAATGACTGTCTTAGTGAGTATAGTCATAAAACATCTACTTCCCAGACAATAAATTAGCCCTCCAGGATTCTCTTTCTCATCCCTGTTGAATTTTTATGGGACTCAAGGCAACTGCAAATAAATATATTAGAGGCTGGCACTTTGAAAGTCACATTCTGATTTCTTGACTTTGTTAACGAAAACAGCAAAGATTGTAATGACATCTTAAAGAATAACAGATATATTATTGAATACATTTTTTGATCATAACCATCGTATGCATCTTATTTCTATATCAAAGTACAGATGTCTGTGACTGCAAAACTCCCTTTTCAGGATTAAATTACATACATCTGATTTAGTATAGTTAGATGTATGAAAGTTTATATGATAATAAATGTCTATCTCTAGGCATCTAGTTGAGACAGAAGGCCCAATGAGGTCAGAAGAGCCAGTGGTATAAATGAGCATACTTATGTACCCTGACCTTGGGGACACAGGAAACCAGACACACGCACATACACGCATGCACTAAAACATGGAATGTCCTCAGAGAACAGCATTATCAACAAGAGCCTTTCAATCTCCTATGCTCCTTGTTAATACATGCAATATATCAGGCAGAAAGTAAAAAGTAAATGTTGGAGTGCTTGTTGAAGGACTGACTTCTTAAGTTTGCACTCGTTAAGAAAGAGGGCAGAAGAGGCAACCAGGCCTATGGAAGCTATAGGCTATTTTCATTGCCTCCAATCTCTGGTTCCAGACCTTGGTCCTCTTGAGCATTTGTGTCAACAATACAAAGTTTCTTGCTGGATTTGTTTTTTTCTTATCATTCTGTGGTCTTGGATTACGTAAGATATTGTGATCTAATCGCTTTCAGCTCTTTTTAAGATGATGTGTGAATTGGAACTTTTGTTTCTTTATAATGATCTCAAAGCTATAAATAATGTATCCTTTATGAGTTACTGATTAATCTTCCTGACTAATACATCTTCTCTGTCTGGTTTCTTGTTTTACAGGATTACTGAATTGACCACTTTGGGTGATAAGCTTAAGGAACAGAACACAAAGAAAGACAAGACAATCTCTGCCTTAAAAATGGACATTCAGAAATTGGTACGAATCTCCCCCTACCCTACTTTCTGTCATTCTGTCAAACAAAACCCCATATTTTTACCACCACGAGCATTCTCAAAAAAGGCATAATGATCACATTGAGCCACAATAGTAGATTGATTTGCCTGTTCATATTTCTGTTTTTTCCCCATGTCCATTTCTGAGCAACTGCTTGTCTTTGAACACTAGGAAGCCAGTAAAACTGGAGACTTAGAAGAAATGAAGGATCTGAAAGAGGAAACCGAATCTTTGCAACATACTTTAAAAAGCATCACAAAGGTGTGTGAAATATTAAATCATAATGTATTTTGTAGATAAAAAAAGGTTACCATTTACCTTGATGCATGGTACATATTTTATCTACATTTTTAAAAATGTAAATAAGATACCATTCATTAGAAAATTCTGTAGCACAGGCCTCACTGAAATGAATGAGAGCTATGAAAGAGTATAGTATTCTGCTGTGGAGAATAAGCATTTGGTGGCTGGTATAACATTTTCACAGATTGTGCCCTTGTGTAATAGAATTGAGTTATTTGGGTTGGTTCCTAAAAGCCATCTGGTTTTTTGGCACAAGCTTGCTTTCTGATTCCTAAATCTTAAACCAAGAAAATTGACAGCAATTATTCTATGAGAAAAAAAAGATAGATGTGAACTTTCTACCTGAACATTTCTTTTCATATAGAAGGTCCTACTATATACCTAAAACCATTCCCCTTAAATTGTAAGAATGAATTTCATCCCAACTTTTTTTCACCACTATATAGGGGGTATGGATGTTATTTGACTGACTTTAAACAAGCTTAAAGAAATGATGGGTTAAATTCCCATTTGATATCAAGTAGACAACCATGTATGTTTAGTAACGATAGTATTTTTAAATCCCAAATTTCCATGGCCTCAGATTGCACAGGCCACATATCTCCTTTGTCTCACACAAGTTGATATTGAATGAACAGAGACTATTGCTTCCTTTAGAGGATGCTCTTGAAACATTATTAAATATCCAATCAGAGACCCAAACTCACATTGCTCTTTATTTGCAGATGGGCCTCCACCTTGAGCAATATTCCTTTGCTAGCTATAATAAAATACTCTGGGGCTGAGCTAAATTAAGGATCCAAACATCTGTCCTCTTGAATGCAAAGCAGGGGGCTCTGAAGTACTGATCTGAGATCCCAACATGTTGAATAAATGTCAGTCAAGAGGCAAATATTTGAAAACAAATAGCCACCTACCTCAATATAGTTTCATGGGAAGGTTTTTGTATTATATGTTATAATTTTACAGTTGTATAAAGCTATACCATAGAGAACAATAGTTCAAAAATACTGGAAAAGTAATGGAATTGTCATCCTAATACACTGTGACCTAAGATGTGCTACCCTTATTTCTGGTTGTTAAATAAAATTATAAATTAGGGCCTGCCTTTTAAATATGTTTGTTGTTCTTCACAATGCCATCTGAATTTAACTGGGTTGAATTTAACTGAATTTGACTGAATGAGTCACTAGCACCCAACTCTGACATTCTAGGCAGTACCCATGCATCAGAATCTTTTCAATAACATTCATTTGATTAGGATTTACTTCTTCTCAACTTTCCTTTTAGTTGGCTCTTGCTGAATCAAAGAACATAGGACTTATCTCCAAAGATAATGCCAAAACTGTACCAGAAGAAGACACTCTATGGCACACTTATCCCTTGGGCTTTAGCTCACTTCAGCACCAATGGACAACTCAGTCCCGGATACATTCTCCATCCTGCCAGAATGCAGCAGTGCAAGCAGTGCAAGCCCTTATCCAAAAGTCACAACAGCGCGAGCAGGTTGGATACACTAGTACTTTTATTTTATTTATTAAGCTTTTATCTACTTCATGTCATCTAGGTCTGAACAACTAACATACCTAAATGCAATAATAAGATTAAAATAACAAAATAATACAATACAACCAACATTCTTCCTCCATATCAATTCTCAAATGTTCATAAAGTCAAGTTTTCATTCATTTCAAAAAGCCAGGAAAAGGGGGGCCCATCTGACCTCTGAGGCAGTGTTATTCCAGATAAGGGAGACAGACGGTCCAGCCCTTGTATCCTATGAGTTACAGCCCCTTGGGATATAGGTCCAGATATGATCAAGTTTAATATTAATTAATATATATTTCAAATAATATTAAATATATTTATTTAGGAGTTGTTACTTTATGGAGAATGGATCAGTTATAATTTTCCCCAACTTTGAAATGCAAGTCCTTGTAACATTTGGCTGCAAAGGCAGTTTAGACAATTTGGAATCAATCTGCAGTGCTGGATATAGAGAAAGATGTAAGTGTACTGGAGTAGAAAGAGTTTCACTTGGGGAATTCAGAAACACTTATTAATTCCAATATACATTGATTTATAGTATTTAGTATTTAGTATTTGGACTAAAATATTTGTCCCAGGATTTAGTTTTGTTTTTATAAAATTGAGAAGTTGGAGATGATATTTGGAAGTTGTAACAAAAGTTTAAGGGAAGATGTTTGTAATTCTGTGGTCCATATTTCTTTTTTTTTCCTATAAAAACCACTAGGCCACCATTCTAAATGGTGGCTTTGTTATACATAGCCAAGTGGCTGACCCTTTATTAATAAAGCTAAAATATCCTTTGGAATCAGACATTATAACTTAGAGCAGAAACCTATTTCCTTTTTATAGTAAAATTAAAAACAAAATATATTGAACAAAGTATAAGTATCACACAGACCCTCACAACAAAAAAGTTGTCAATATTCTATTTTTTCTTGTCGATCGAAAGGTCAGCAGTTCAGGGGTTCGAATCCCTAGTGCTGCGTAACGGGGTGAGCTCCCATTACTTGTCCCAGCTTCTGCCAACCTAGCAGTTTGAAAGCACAGAAAACAGCGTTCCGTGCGCCTTAGACGTCTAGTCATGCTGGCCACATGACCACGGAGATGTCTTCGGACAGCACTGGCTCTTCGGCTTTGAAAAGATGAGCACCGCCCCATAGAGTCGGGAACGACTAGCACATATGTGCGAAGGGAACCTTTACCTTTACCTTATTCTTTCCTATTTTCTCTAGGGAACTAGGGGGAGAGTTAGTTTGCCTTAGCTTATTTGTAAATTAAACAGATATTAGAAATATTCTATTAGTGCGCAATGGTCTATTTTAATATATTTTGAGTTGGCTGGGTTTATTTTCTGTCCAAAAAGTAAGGAGCATGATGCTTGTACTTCAATTAATATTTAGATTTTAGTGGCTATTGCTATCCACGCATGAATGCTGGCCATCCCAGATGGATTTTATGAATGCTGGAAAGATATACTAGATCTACAGCTGCTAATTTATATCTTCAACTATAGTGGACTGTAGTAAACAGCTGCAGGAGATAATTTCAGGTAGTAAAGCAGAGATCAGCACTGAACTCTTTCTGCACTTACAGCTGTTCTCCCCAGCTGCTCTTCTTCCAGGCAGGTGAAACTGAAAAGAAGTCCAAATGGGATAGGCAGAACACCTTAGGGATAGAGAAAACATTCAGCAGTCTTTACCATCTCTCTGTGAAATCTGTTCCCACTTCTCACGCATAGGAAGTTTCCTACCTTTAAACTATCCACATTGGCTTAATTACACGCAAAGCCTCTTCCTTCCTGTTTGAACTGTCATGTCCATTTCAAACAGTTTCCATTGTGATATAGAAGTTAAGAGTGTTAGATTAAGATTTGGAAGATCACAATTCAGATTTTGCTGTAAAGTTTCTGGGTAATTTAGCCTGGGTATTGCTCTAAGCATAATGTAGCCTACCGAAGAGATTTGTGGTAAACATTAAAAAAGAAAACCCGAAAGGATAAAGCTACATATTGAACCCATCAGCAACTAGATGGGAAAGGAAATTTATGAATAATAAATTACCTTGGCATTTTTGCAAACTCTCAATTTTCCTCCTTAGACTTATTCCCAATTCCCATTCACATAGACACTCTGGAAAACCTCTCACATCCATTTTGTTGTCTTCTATGTTTCATGTATGTTGAAAGATACTTGAATAATGTCTGTTTCTTTTCATTGCTCTGTATATCTGGGAGAAAGCTATAGATCAGGAAACAATCTATGACTCCAATAAGGCAGCATACAGCCACCAACTACTTTTGGGAGGGGAAGGTCTATAGAGGCACTTTTGACTATGGAGCTAGACTTCAACAATCTCATTACCAAAAATCAGAAGAATAGTGTAGGGAGAAAAATCCAGTCCGGTTCCAATCCAGGGGAAAAAAATGTTGGACATAAATGGAAACTGGCTACAAGGAAAGAAAGTCTCTGTTTATTTGGTTTTCCAGAAACTTCAGTGACCGCAATACGTTTCTTGGGTGACTGACAAAATGGCTGAGTGAGTGGATGGATTTTTATAGGGTTCTGAGGTTTGGTGATTGAGATACTCCAGGGGGTTGTGTAATGTAGTGAGCCTTGTGTCTTTTACTATTTCAATGGTGGTGGGTTAATCCTATTATATCCTGAAGATCATGTCCTATCCTTAGAATTTGGGTTGGGGAATATAAATTCTTAATCCCATCAGCTCTAGCCTGGGGGAGTTTATGGCTGAAGGCGTTTTGTTTCTGAATATATAGTCCCAGTCTTTCTGAATGGATACCAAATCTCCATTCCAAAAGACCACTCTCTTCTGCTTGAGGCTGTTTTCCTATGGCAGAAAGACTGGGGCTGCTTTCTGCCTTTAAGAACATATTTCTCCTTTGGGGAAATATTCTATCCTGCCTCTTTTTAATATTAAGAACAAAGAATATTTTAATCTGAAGGAGGGTGGGCTGTAGTTCGTATAATAGTTTTCCACAATTTATGGGAGGGAACATACACAAAGTATAAACAAGCTGGAAGATCCCAGCCCATTTTCTATCATTGTTGCATCCTCAGTATCCCCTTTGAAATTATAAGTTCCCAAAAGATTATCCATTCCATTCTAGATAAATGCTATTTTATAAAACTTGTCATCTCTTTATTAATATGTATTCTTACCCACTTGCTTCGCTATGTTTCAGTGGAATGCAAAGTTCCTAAGAGAGGAAGTGTATCTCCAAAGTCTAGATTTCACCAATGGAAGTAATATTCTTCTTTTTACTCCTGAACTTTACTCCCTCATACAATTGATGCTAAAGAAAGAGGATGAAAGCTATTTCTCTCCCAAGAATACATGGCAAAGAAATAGCCATCATAACTCCTTTGACAGCCATTATTATCTAGCACATTGTCAGTGAGAGAAGATATAGCTCATCAGAAAGGCCAAGGGACCGATTTTGAGGCTTAAGTTTCAGTACTCGTTTTCAAGGTTTCTTTTAGAAAAACCCAGATCTATTGCTTTAAAGATTTGGCTCATTAGGATGGACGAAGATATTGATTGGAGCACTTGGTTTATCTGTTTAATATGGAGAGGTTTTCTCTCCCCTCGTGTATGCTTTGTGGCATTTGATGCGGAAATAACTTCCTGTTTGATCTCTATGAACAGGAATTGCATGTGCAATTGGAATCCTGCAGAGATATCCTGGGATCTGTCAAGAAGCAGCTTGCCGACTGCCAGCAGGAAATGAAGGCAGCTGATCAACAGCTGCAGGAACAGAAGCAGGAATGTGAAGAGCTGACAAGGGCCTTGGAGGACTACAGGCAGAAAGCACAGCATTGGAAATCCTCAGTGGAAGTTCTAGAAAGGTGAAGGTGGGAAAAAAACAGAGGCTTGGCCTATTACTGTAATCATCCCAAGGGGCTTTGACTCAGTTCTTTTGGCAGTTGCACCAGTTGTGGCCTCATAGAACTTTTTTAGTGATTTGTCACTTACAAAAACTCTTCTCGTTATGCAGATTCCCATAACTTCTGGGGAAGGACTTTGGCACAGTAACAGAGTATCTCTTTGCACACAGAAAATTCCAAATTCGCATTTCCAAACAGGACTGGAAAACTCTGCTGGAGAGCTGTTGCCAGTCATTAAATATAAACAGTATTGTACTAAATCAGAATGAGGCACATACTCCTCCACTAGAATGCTTTTTTGCAACCTTTCAGCTCTGATTTCATTGCCAAAATTCCATGATAAGCTACCAAGCAACAGCCCTTTTTGATGGGTTGCATGCTGGTAGATGTATTTCTTTCTTTCTTTCTTTCTTTTTTTTTTTTTTTTGCAAAATAAAAGGTATGGTTTTTTTTTTTAAATTAAAAAAAGTCCAGTTGTGGGGGGAAAGGTCAAAAATATTGGTAATTCCCTTCTGATGACTTCTTCACATTAATTTTATGTCCCTGTAGTCCTTTGTCACTGAAAAAATACTGTAGGTTGTTAAAATGCTGCAGCTCCTAGTCACAAAAATACTGCCTGGTTCTGAGTTAGATAGAGTTGTTTTTTGACCCAGTATAAAGCACCCCTTTATGTCTGTCCAGGGCATAATTTTAATGATTGAGTTTGGTACTTACTCTTGGGAGGATAAAGAAAAGTGTACTATCAATTTTTCCATGATATTAACATGGAAGGTTCTTCTGTTCTGATGATGTGATTTCACTCTTTAACACTACTTTCTGTTGTGATCATCAGCCAAGGATGTGAACAGTGATGATTAAAGTGATGATTAAGTGCTGGCTTTGGGAATAACATACATCAGCATTTGTTGTTGCCAAAGGTTATCAAATATCTCTGCACACGACCTCAGCAATATTATATTGGTATTATTTAGCTTTGACATTTATAAAAGCATATGTATACAATTAATTTGTTCAGAGAAAGTCATTTGGCAAGGAAAGGTATCCAGTAACAGATAAAGAAGGTATTTACAGATCCTCTAAATGCAGGCATAATGGACAAATGCAACTTCCATACAAATGCATTTTATAGCTGGACAGCAATGCAAAAGACCCTCTTGTGAGTATCAGTAGGATACATCTTCAAAAAGGCCTCTACTGCAGCTCTCTACTGTTAAGATAGTATTGTAATGGTATAAAAGCACACCTAGAACTTTTAAAGGTTAATATTAATGGCTTAAATTGTTCCTCATGAGCAATATTTTACATACACAAGATGGTGAAAAAATTTATTTCTTCCATTTTACATCATTAACTTACAAAATTCATAATGCCCTTAGAGCATGGGTGTTAAACTCATCACGCTGCCCTCATGTGACGTTTCATGACATTTTCCCATCTGGCCCACAGGCTGCCATTTGACACCCCTGCCTTAGAGTGATGCCTTAGAGTTCTGCTTTGCAGAAAAATGTCTTCCCTTATCCAGCACTTCCTGGAATCGCTATATGATAAGGTGGTATCACATGATAGTTCCAGTTAGCAGTGATAGCATAGAGACCCCTATCTGCAATTAGCCTGATGATGCTATCAGGTTTTTTTTAAAAAAAAAAACCTTATAGCAAAGCCAGAAGAGATCTCTGGCTCAGATGATATAGTTTTAAAAGTAAATGTAATCCTTGTTCACTCCCAGCCAGTGAAATTATTATGTTTGCAGTTTTACAACAATCCTTACAAAAATTGTCCAGTCAAAATGGACAAGTAAAGCAGATTTTTTAAAGGGATCTACCTTCCCTTAACATTTGGTGTACAGTTACAATCCATTTGAATTTAGATTGCAATATGTCATAATTCTGCCTTTAATTGAAGTTTAAATAAATGGTCTTTAATTCTTTCCATTTCAGTCACATGATGGTGAAAAATAGTTTGAATTCTCATCTGAAAGCTTGCCTGTTTTTGATATGCTTTGAACTTCAAAAAAAGTTCTAGAGAGTTATTAGAAACAGCAGTTCAAAAACAGAAGAGATAAATAGAACAGCTTTTGAGTAATAAGCATATACAAGAGTGTATGCAGAAAAATAAATTTCAATTCTCCTAATGTCATGATAGAAGAGTGATCCTCAGCATTTCCCTTGGTTAGGAAGTATTGTGAAAATCAGCTGTGCTGGTTTCATCTATAACTGGGATGCCTCTGAGCCCCTTTTGCTCAATGCAGAACTGTCTGGCAGCCAATAAAATCTAATTCATACAATCACTGCATTCTCTTGTAAAGTTCTAACTCCTAGTGCTTTGGTTAAGGCACCAGACTAAAAAGTAGGAGAATGTGAGTTCTAGTCCCACCTTAGCCATCAAAGCCAGCTGGGTGACCTTGGCCAATCATTCACCCACAGCCCAACTCATGTTAGAGGGTGTTTATTGTGGGGAAAATAGGAGAGGGAAGGTGTGTTGAATATGTTGCCACCAGGGCCGGATTTTCCTATAGGCTAACTAGGCTTCAGCCTAGGGCCTCAAGATCAAGAGGGGCCTACATTCAAATTGTTAGCAAAATTAAAATTACACTTTCACTATAGGTGAAAGGGCCTCATAAGTGGAATAGCCTAGGGCCTCTTTTCATGTAAATCCAGCCCTGGTTGCCACCCTGAGTTATTTGTAAAAATAATAAAGGTGGGATACAAATAAATAATAAAATAAATACCATTTCTGCCCCATTCCCCCTTGGGAAAGAAAAGTCCTCTCAGCCTCTGGGGACTGCCATCAAATTGTTCCTGGCCTTATTTTCAGGACCAGCTGATATCAATAGAGAGTCAGATTTCTCTAGAGGGCATTTTTGCATCACTACATACATTTATCCAAACAAGAAGAAGGACCTAAGAAATTGTTATTGGACCCAAATTCCCATTATTGCCAGTTAGCAGTGCTGTTTAATCCATGGTTGACCCAGATCATAAATAGCTTTCCAGCCAGAAACCTGAGAAGGCAGTGTGCAGAATAAGGACTTGCCTGACCTCCATTCTTTACTGTAATGCAGTGGTTCTCAACCTTCCTAATGTCGCAACCCTTTAATACAGTTCCTCATGTTGTGGTGACCCCCAACCATAAAATTATTCCTAAGACCATTGAAAATATGTGTTTTCCGATGGTCTTAGGCGCCCCCTGTGAAAGGGTCGTTCGACCCCCAAAGGGGTCGCGACCCACAGGTTGTAATGCAAAAGCAAAATGTTTACCGCTGTCATCATGACCATGGGTTTTTTAAAAAGAAGAAGTTTAAAGGAATTCTTTTGAGGCTTATGTTAAATGAAATGTACCTTGATTTATTTGATTGTGTCAGTGTATTGTAAATATATGTTGGACTCTCAGAATACCGTATACCCAGTTAGTCTACTATGAGTTCATCTCAAATCCTGCCTCCCCATTTCATGTAGCATTATAAACACTAGAAATTGAACAGAGATAACACAGCCTATCTCTTTAATGGTTTAGGTTTAGGTTTTATTAAATTTGTATACCGCCCTACTCCCGAAGGACTCAGGGCGGTGAACAGGCACAAGATAAAATACAGAAATACAAAAGTTAAAAACAATTTAAAACCAAATTAAATAATATTTATTTTATTTATTTATTTATTTTATTAAATTTGTATACCGCCCTACTCCCGAAGGACTCAGGGCGGTGAACAGCCATGAAATAAAACATAAATACAAAATTTAAAATAGAAATAAAACAAGTTAGATAAATTTGGCTGAACCATATTTAAAACCCCAATAATTTAAAACCAAATTTAAAATTCCCATTTAAAAGAGGAGAAGTTTAGGTCAGGCCGGCTTGCTGGAATAGGAACATCTTCAGCGTGCGACGGAAGGTACGCAGATCCGGAATCCTCCGTATCTCGGGGGGGAGCTCGTTCCAGATAGTAGGTGCCCCCACAGAGAAGGCTCTCCCCCTGGGGGCCGCCAGTCGACATTGTTTGGCCGACGGCACCCGGAGGAGCCCCTCTCTATGGGAGCGTACTGGTCGGTGGGAGGCTATTGGTGGTAGCAGGCGGTCCCGTAGATAACCAGGTCCTAAGCCATGGAGTGCTCTAAAGGTGATGACCAAAACCTTGAAGCGCACTCGGAAGACCACCGGGAGCCAGTGCAGCTCGCGCAGGAGAGGCGTTACATGGGAGCACCACGTCGCTCCCATCACCACCCGCGCGGCCGCACTCTGCGCCAGTTGGAGCCTCCGAGTGCTCCTCAAGGGGAGCCCCATGTAGAGAGCGTTACAATAGTCCAGACGGGAGGTGACGAGGGCATGAGTGACCGTGCGTAACGAGTCCCGATCCAGAAAGGGACGCAACTGGCAAATCAGGCGAACCTGATGAAAAATCCTCCCGGTCACGGCCGTCAAGTGCTCTTCTAAAGACAGCCGTGAATCCAGGAGGACACCCAAGTTGCGAGCCCTCTCCGTGGGGGCCAATGCTTTGCCCCCAATAGTCAGCGATGGCACCAGCTGACTATATCGGGATGTCGGAAACCACAGCCACTCGGTCTTGGATGGGTTGAGTCTGAGCCTGTTTCTCCCCATCCAGATCCGTACGGCCTCCAGGCACCGGGACATCACTTCAAGGGCATCGTTGGGGTGGTCTGGGGTGGAGATGTACAGCTGGATGTCGTCAGCGTACTGATGGTACTCCACCCCGAAACCACGGATGATCTTGCCCAGCGGCTTCACATAAATGTTGAACAAAAGGGGCGAGAGGACCGATCCTTGTGGCACCCCACATATAAGGGGCCTCGGGGTCGACCTCTGCCCCCCTGTCAACACAGACTGCGACCGGTCGGAGAGAAAGGAGGAGAACCACCGTAATACGGTGCCTCCCACCCTCAACCCTTCCAACCGGTGCAGCATGATACCATGGTCGATGGTATCAAAAGCCGCTGAGAGATCTAATAGGACCAGGATAGAGGAACAACCTCTGTCCCGAGCCCTCCAGAGATCATCCACCAACGCGACCAATGCCGTTTCCGTGCTGTACCCAGGCCTGAAGCCCGACTGGAACGGATCTAGATACGTCGTTTCATCCAGGTACCGGGGAAACTGTCGTGCCACCACACTCTCAACAACCTTCGCAACAAAGCGAAGGTTGGAGACTGGACGATAATTAGCCAATATTGCCGGGTCCAGGGAAGGCTTCTTGAGGAGAGGTCTCACCACCGCCTCTTTCAAGGCGGCGGGAAAGACACCCTCACTCAATGAAGCATTTATAATCCCCTGGAGCCAGCCTCGCGTCACCTCCCGGGAAGCCAGCACTAACCAGGAGGGGCACGGGTCCAACAAACATGAATATTGGCCCACGACAATTAAAATCCCAATAAATTTAAAACAAATTAAAATTTCAATTTAAAATTTAAAAGAAAGGGGAGAAAAATTAGGCCAGGCCGGCTTGCTGGAATAATGCAGGTAATGAAAGCCAAGCCATGCTTCTTTGAAAAGTGGCCCAACAAAACTTGATTTCTAGTGAAGGCAGTAAAAAATTGCAGAATCTTCTCATCACCCAGTGATTTCCCCTTCCAGTTTGTCCCACACATTTCTTCCAACAAGTATTTCAAATGTATGACTTTTATAACTGGACAAAAAGCATAGGGGTAGGTAGTTGGAAAGGAAGAATTTTGATGAGGGGTGGTGGTGAATCTGTTCCTTCTACATTTTCTGATAGAAAATAAATTATTCATCCAAGCCCTATTTTGCAAAGAAGCAACTGGCCTTTAGAGGTATGCAATGATAGTTCCACCCTGACAAGCATGCCCATGTCTGAATGATCCTGGCCCAAAATTGTTCATATTTTTTTCCTCATTTTTCAGAGAGAAGGAGACCTTGGAGATAGCAGTCGAAAGCCAGACTCAACAACTTGATGCCTCCCATTTGGAGGTAGAGCGCCTGAAATCGATGAATGGAGAGCTACAGAAACAGCGAAAACTCCTTGAAGAGCAAAAAGAAGATGTGATTAAGGAAAGGGAGAGGACAAGAAAGGAATTGGAGCGGGGGTGAGATGCCACAGTTGTGTCTCTAGGACTGTGTAATGAAAGAGGAATAAGCCAAGAGAATATTGGTAGGCAGCAGTTACTAGAAGACAGCTGAGACATTCCATTATGTGGGTGGGAAAATAATCTGTGAAGAACAGGTCCTTTTCACTCAGTGGAAGCCCCAGACTCTTTAAGAAAGTCCCATCAAATTGCTACATTTTAGGGCTAGTTAATTCAGATTTTTAAAAAATAACTAAAGATAGAAAAATTGGAGATTCAGTAGGCAAAGAAAAATTTCTTATTTATGCAACAATTGTGGAATTGGATGCTGCAATATATGAAGACAATCATTTTAGATTTCTTAAAAAAGTAGATATTTATGAAGAACACAGTCAACAATAAGCTTAGATATGACTACAATTAATTGTTATTCCACAATCAGAGACGGTACAACTTTAATAGTTGTTACTGGAGAAAAACAATAAGAATATCTATTTGTCCTTATGTCTGATTGGAATCCTTTCCAGAGTCATGGTTGCCTAGGATTTAAAATAGAATGCTGGAGTGGGGTGTTCTAACAGATCTCATTATTGGAATCTTGTGACTACATCTGTATTCCTTGCTAAATGTAAGGATAGTACAAATAGTTTTGGCATCTTTTGGTCAATATGCCAAAATCCATTCTCCTCACAGACATTTTCATCCTGTTTTATGCAAGTTAGGATCTCTAATCCAGAGACTACCATGCAAGTCAATATACATATTCTCCAACTCAGATTCAGAGTACAAACATGGTACCTCCACGCATTCAGGAAATATCAACAATGTGTTCAGCATAATCTGCTATGGTTAGTTAAACTGTAAAGTCTAATTAGACTTTTCTCTTTCCATAGGCAAAGGTCTCTGGAGCAACTTGAGGAAAAAATGTCAGTCCTGAAGAAAGAGCTAGTGAATGTGAAGGAATCTTTAAACCAGGCCATGCTGGAAAAAGATGTACTGGAGAGTGCAAAGGAAGGCTTGAGCAAAGCACTTTCCAAAGTAAGGATTGCTTATTGATGTGTTTTTGCATGCAATTGGGCTCTTTTTCCCATCTCTTGCTCTGACTGTGGAGATGTCTTCACATTCAGTTCAGAAGTAGTCCTCCTGCAACATTTCACACTGTCACATTATCTTGCTTTTCTAAGAAATATTTTATGGAGGATTTCTTATTTATTTACTTATTTATTTATTTATTTATTTGTCAAACATAAGATAGCAGATATAGGTATAAACATAAACATAAACAAAGGAAGTAAGTACAGATAAATGGGGACAGTAGGACAGGGACAGTAGGCACGCTGGTGTGCTTATGCACGCCCCCTTTACGGACCTCTTAGGAATGGGGTGAGGTCCACGGTAGACAGTTTGAGGTTGAAGCTGTGAGGGTTTGAGGCTGTAGCAGCGAGTCAGATAGAGCATTCCAGGCGTTGACCACTCTGTTGCTGAAGTCGTATTTTCTGCAATCGAGTTTGGAGCGGTTTACCTTGAGTTTGTATTGATTGTGTGCCCGTGTATTATTGTGGTTGAAGCTGAAGAAGTCATTGACAGGTAAGACATTGTAGCAGACAATTTTGTGTACTATGCTTAGATTGGATTGCAGGCAGCACAGTTCCAGATTGTCCAAGCCCAGAATTTCAAGCCTGGTAGCATAAGGGATTCTATTGTGAGTAGAGGAGTGGAGTACTCTTCTCATGAAATATTTCTGGACCTGCTCAATCGTGTTAATGTCCAATATACAGTGTGGATTCCAGGCGGATGAGCTGTATTGAAGAATTGGTCTAGCAAAGGTTTTGTATGTCCTAGTTCACAGTACAATGTTACCGGAGAAGAAGCTTCGCAAGATTAGGTTAACAATTCTTAATACTTTTTAGCAATGCTGTTAAAGTGAGCTCTGGGGCTTAGATCGTTTGAGATAAGTACTCCTAGGTCCTTGACAGAGTGAGGATCATCTACAAGATCGTTTCTGCTCAACTTGTATTTGGTGTTCTGATTTTTTTTTGCCAATGTGCAGGACAGAGCATTTATTAGTTGAGATTTGGAGTTGCCAAATGTGCGACCATTCATTGACCATAGTCAATGTCGCTTTGTAGGGCAGCAGCATTGTTAGTGGTGTTAAATAATTTTATGTCATCAGCGAAGAGGACACAGCTGCTTTTAATATGATCACATAGGTCATTGATGTAAAGTAGAAACAGTGTGGGTCCTAAAACACTGTCTTGGGGGACACCGCTGTTAACAGGTGCCGGATTTGATTGGGCCCTCCCTATTTTGACTATTTGTTGCCTGTTGGACAGGAACATGGCTATCCAATTGTGCAGGGATCCAGAGATGCCGTAAGAACTTAATTTCAACAATAGTTTGTCATGCGCCACTGAGTCAAAGGCTTTACAGAAGTCTATGTAAATTGCATCTATTGCTTTACCCTGTTCAAGATGTGTGATCCAAATGTTTCTACAGTTGTAGGAGTTGCAGATTACAGGACAATTTTTTTCTAAAACCAAACTGCTTATTAGATAGTGGAGAGTGATGGATTGGTTTATAATTGATTCCATAACTTTACAGGTGATGCAACACAGTGAAATTGGTCTGTAATTATCTACTAGACCAGGGTCTCCCTTTTTAAAGATAGGTATAATCGTGGCTAATGACCATCGGTTGGGCAATGAGCTGGTTCTGAAGGATACCTCATAGATTGTGCATAGAGGTCAGCTAGGGCAGTGGCAAGCTTTTTCAAAAAGTAGGCACATAATTCTCAGGGCTAGTAGATAGAGATGGCTTTAGGTTACATAGTGCCATTTCAACAATATCTGCTGTTATCTATTCTATGTAAAACCTCTAAGAAGTGTTAAGTACTTCTTTATTTTACCAATTTTTGCTTGCAGAGACATAAAAAGATGTTGACACCAGCTAAGTAAACAAAAATAAATATTGACCTTAATTCTGTAGATTCGTATTGTACTTGAACCTGACCTTGAACCATTACTGCCCAGCTGAATGCTGACACCTTAGCCAGTCTACACTAATATATAAACTTTGTCCCTGGAAAAGGTATATTTGACTAGGGTGATTTGTACCTTAACTCCTATTTTTGTAAGCCACTTGGAGTTGAACTGTTTGAATCAGCATAGAAGCCTAAATAATTGGCCATTTGGGGTGGGAGTTCCAAATGGAAACCATCAATCAATCAATCAATCAATCAATTTATTATTACAGTCTTAGACCAGAGACCAGAACAAATAAAAATGCTCAGGTAAATATACAATTAAAAATTCTAGTATAAAATAATAAATAACTAAAATCTATAATAAAATCCAGTCTGTCAATTATACATGGTCTAACTGTACTACATTGGAAACTATGAAAGCATAGAATGAAGAAAGCCGCCTTAATTGCATCAGGTCTGTATTACAACTATAGAGAAAAGTGTTTGAAGCATCAGGGTTTCAAAAAATTCCAGAGAGATTGAATTGGATCTTGGAACATCTGACTCTGTTGCTGAAACTGCTCTTCTGAGTTCTGGTATAAGCTTTAAAGCCATAAATTATTTGGAACAGGCGATCTGAAAAACAATTTTCTATAATAGAAGACTACCTGAACATAAAGCTTTTCAGCAATGGCTTCCTTTATGTCTGCAAATTGTATCCCAACTGTGAGGATAGAAAAGGCGTTTTGTAAGTTGCAGGCCTTGGCTTCTTCCTAATGGCTTTCTGCCACTGCATAAAGATTTTTTTCTGTTCTGAAAGCCTTCGGTTTCCAGCAGATTAATTGGATTGCTCATACTTGGATACTGTTCCCAGCTTGCTTGTTTTTTAACATGTTTCTTATAATTATGGTGTTTAAAATATGTACACGGGTTTGTGCACAAGGAAAGGATTGATAGTATACCAAAACTTGCTCTAATCAGCTGTGATGAACTTATTTTGCTGTCCTAGAAAGTTTGGGTGATGGTTGTAGATTTACCAACTGGAGGACACCATATTGGAGAAAGCTAGTTTAAAATACTAGAATATCTCATTCTCTAATCATAAAGATCATAAATTGCTTTCCTGATGATGGCAATTAAACAATCTGAAAAAAAATACAATAAAACCATTAGCCTTTACTTTATTGCAAAGCAACAACAGAGGGAGGAAAAATAGGAAATCTGAAACAGGCTAATGCTGTAGAAGAAAACAGAAAAATAAACAAGTTTATTTTTCGCAGCTTTAGAGAGGAAAAAGCAGAAGTATGGATAAAGTGCCTTGCTGGCTGTCATATTTTCAGAGTTTAACATTTCAAAACAGCAATCTAAGTGCGAAGTTAGATCTCTTTTCTCGGAAATATTATACCCACTATGAAATATTATGAAGTCTTTGGGCAGTTCCTTCATGAGTAAATGTGTTGGTCAAAGACTTCAGTAAAAACTACCACAGCTGCTCACGTTGGCTCAGCTTAAGTGAGTAGCAGAATTTTTTTTTGCCACCCACTCTTTTGGCTTGCTTAACATTTCTGGAAGAGAAATGGCATTTTCCTAATAAGAATATTTCTGATTACATAATGATCTTAAAGAGAAATAGCACTTTCATTTCAACATACGGATCCTTCTCTGTTTTCCTTTAGATACAATTAAATTTGGGTAGCATTAAATAGGGAATGGTCTGGTCAGATTTATATTTTTAAAATGTAATTTTAAAATTTAATAAGGTCCTTGATCTTTATGTGAATAATTTTGTATAACCCTTATTTTAACCAACATCTGATCAAATAACTAGCACTCAAAAAAGTATGCATTTTCTCTGAGGTATCTATGCATTGTATCCAGGCATGGAGAGACACTGAAGTAAACATGCATTCAAAATTAAAGAATTCTTTACCATGTCCTGCAGATAGATGGAAAGTTTTGTATTACCAATTTTTCTTGGAAAAGAACAAAGTCATTAAAAAATAGTTGCCGTGCTTACAGTTTATCCATATAGTAAAAATTATAAGGTTGGATGTCTTTGTGAGCATAGTCTATTCTGAATATGCCTACAATTTTCACCTCAGGTTGAATCCAGCAACACTGAGCTTGAACTCTCCATACACAAGATGAAATCAGAAGATGCTGAACTAAGGGACTCGCTAGCCAGGATGGGTGCGCTAAACGAAGGATTAGCGAATGACAAAATCAAACTAAACCACATCATCCTCCAGGTAACAAGATACAACAGTAATTGTGCTATTATCAGGCATGAAGAATCAGGACCATGGATTAAGTTGCAGTTCAGATTATTTATTGCTCATGCCTATACACAAGAATTTTAGTCAACTAGCAGCACTAAATTGGCACTAGGTAAGAGTTAATGGAATTCAAGAAGGGTGGGACTTGGACCTCTTATGACAGTGTTGGCGAATCTTTTTGGCACCAAGTGCTGAAACAGAAGCGTGTGCTTGGGGGGGGAGAGCGCCAGAAACTGGAAGAGCAGCTCCCTGGTGCGCACACGCGAGAGTGCTGGAAATCGGAAGAGCAGTTCACCGGCTCACATGTGTGCACCAGGAAGGTGAGATTCCAGTTTCTGGTGTGAAACATGCCACCTAGTCTTCCGGTTTCTGGCACACATCGTGAATAAAGACCAGCTGGTTGATGCACATGTGCGCCCTGTAAACCATAAGTTCAGCTTCCCAGTGCGCATGTGCATGCCAGAACCTGGAAGAGCATCGGTTGACAGCTGGTATACCCAGAGAGATGGCTCTGTGTGCCACTTCCGGCACACGTGCCATACGTTCGCCATCACAGTCTTATGACTGATTCCTCTCTTGACTCCCCCAACCCCAGGCTCTGCCTCTCCTTTTCTTCTACAGCTAGGAACAGACTGTAGCAAAGAGCAATAACTGTATATGTCAGCTTGCTTGCGCTTAAAGAATAACAACTTTCAAGTGTTAAAGATTTAAATACTGACTGATAACTAATAACAGATTCTTAGATTAAAAGTAAGCATATTAATTCCACTTTTTTCAAGAGACAAGGCAGTTACAGTATATTCTTCAAGGTGATAGTAAGGAATACAGAAAAATGAAATATTGAAAAATTAAAAATAAAATAAAAAGCAAAACAGAAAAACATTATAAAGAGGAATTTTCAGTAGCTCATTTTTTCCCTTTCCTTTAATAATCCCCAATTTCTAATCACTACATAAATATTTGTACCTTTCTTGAAATATTGCAGATTGTTATTTATATTTGTTTAAACCATTTTGTTTTATATTTTTATAATTGATTTCATACCTCTTTTTTTAAAAAAAGTGTTCCAAATATCTAAACCTGGCTTTTTGTATATTATATAATAAAGGTAAGGGATCAATTCCTTGTGAATTTAGTTAAATAAATATACAGAATGAGTTCTGCTATTGCTGCATATTCTCTGACTTTAACGTCCCATTCTTGTATTATTGGCAAGGTTTTCCTTTTCTAATATTGTAGCAAATTCTGGTCACTGTCAGTACACATCTTATAGATTATGATATTTTTTGTTTATGCTCTCTGGAATTATTCCTAATAAAAATACGTGTAGTTTTAGTTAAAATTCTATCTTTTAAAAAAAAATCATAATGCTTTAGTGTTATTTCCTTCTAACATTTTGGCTTCACACACATACAGAAACACACACAGAAACATGAAACCAATGCAATATGTACTCTATTTATTATTGCATTTCCCACATTAATTATTTTTGATTTGCTCATCTTAGGAATCGGTAGGGAATGTAAGTAGATTTAACACCTTATTTCACCACTTGCATACATGATATTTTATAGATATCATGTCAGCCCTGTCAATGATTCCAAAGATGGACAAATCATACCATAATCAGTGCAAGAAATGCAATCATAAATAGAACATTCTAGAATGTGCATTGCTGTGTGGGTGTGGGTGTATGTGTATATACATACAGTACATACATACGTACACACACATATATATACACACAGATACATACATGTAAATAGTACAAATACACACACACACATACACAAACACACATATATGCATAAATTACAGTAATTATGTTGGAATAAATTTTTTTGAAAGTGATGCTAATGGTGAAATCACCAGTCTTATCGTTAGAAAGTTCCAATTTTTTTGCAGACTGTCTCACAATATCTTCTTCTTCTTCTTCTTCTGCTGCTGCTGCTGCTGCTGCTGCACTGTATCTTTCTTTCTTTATACCATTAATACCTATGAAGTCATTTCGCTAAACTGTCTCCTTCTAAAATTAATATTCTGTTATTTGGATATTTTATCCACATTATTATCCATAATAGACAATTTTCTTTTCAATATTGTAATATTATAATCTTACTCTATTCTCCACTCCGTATGAATCTGTTAATTGTCATTTCTACAAAATTTTATCTGAAATTTGAACTGCTGCAAAACTTGCAGAGAATGAGCCATTTGTGATAGTTGCTGTTTGTCATTGCTATATACTAATGTTTTTAATTTTGTCTTGGTCCTCTACATATAGTCACTTGCTTTGTGAGATAGGAAGCTATATAAATTTGACAAATAAATAAAGTATATATAATTCCTAGATCTGAGAGAGGGAAACTAGCCCAGAGTCACTCATGTGGCTTTCTGCCTAAGGCATAAGTCCAACTTACAGTTTCAGTTTCTAGCTTGGTTTGTTAACTATCACACCAAACAAAGTAAATTATTGCAGATGTTTTTAAAATTATAAATTGTGGATTGCTCCTAACAGGAGATGAGATTAAAGAGTTTATTTTTTTAATGATGTGGCTTCAATTATATGCACATGCACGGCGCACCTGCATCTGCAGTGGATCTACACTATGTCCATTGAAAGTAACTTCATTAAGGCAATGACAAATAGGAGTAGTTTAAAAACACTCTGTAGTGATCCTACTGCTGTATCTGCCCCTAAATTAATAATAATAATAATGTGGATGTCAATTACATACATACATGTCAGTTGGCTTTTAAGATTGCAGGTTGGACAACTGCAGATGGCTGGAGATGTGCAAGTCTCTGTGTAAAATTTAAATCAAATTTTGCCTAAAATGTTTTTCAACCCAAATTCCAAATCTATATTGACTAGGAATGCCCAATCAAATAACCAATATTTCTGTCCTATTGTTTATTTTCCATTTGACACTTGCACATTTGGTAGAAATTCATCAAAACACAGAACTAGGTAATCAGACAAACAACCTGACTTGGAAGAGAAGGCAAGGGAAAAAGGTGTGTATGTGTGTGTATACCAGCATATATCTATATAGATGTATATCTCTGTAAAATTTCTGATTCCTGATCCAGTGGTCTATGCTTATAAAGTTGCTCATTTATTCTCAAAGGCAGTTTGGAACTTACAAATAAAGTTACTGCAAGATTGTACTCCTATGATTTCTCAAACAAATATTTCCGCAACATTCCCTTATGGTGACATGACTCCAAGTTAAGCCTGCCATTTATGTTCCTGTCCACCTTCTGTCCTCCCTTCTAGAACTTGTACATCCCTGTGTTTCCTCTTTATTGTGCAGCTTGAAGATGAGAAGAGCAAGCTGGTAGGGAGGAAACAGGAGCTGGAGCACGAGCAAGTAGTTTGGCGAGAACAGCATGCACACTTTGAAAAGGAACAGATGCACATGAGGGCAGAGAAACAAGAGTTGGAGCAGAGTTGCCAAGCCTCCGAAGAGAAAGGGGAGATGCTGGAAGGAGAAATAGCCTTACTGAGAAGGGAAAGAGTCCAGCTACAGGACCAGATGATGCAGGTATGAAAAGATGAGGAGGCCTTTTATCACAGCAAAGTACTGTATGTACATAGGAATCGACTTGGATCAACTTGGTTGTTCTGATTCAGACTTTTGCATTTAGCTGGATAACTCTGGAAAGATGACAAACAGAGCTTGGTAAACAAGTAGACGCACTTACATTCTGTAGCCAAAAGAAAATGAATTTATGCAAATCACACAAAAATATTGTAGTTTTGGTTTTTTTGATTGCTAACATTATGGGGAGAGTAAATTAATCTATAACTTTGCATCCTTACCATCAAGGACACTTTTTATCCTCTCTTTATATACCCTGGCATGTTAGGTATATGGAATAGCATTGGGATACATGGATTGTTATGTGATAAGGATCTAAATAGATCTGAATAGATTTCTGCAAAGGTTCTAAATTTTAAGATATAAAGGATTCATTTTGATAATAGTTTCTGTGAGGGAATCCAGAAGCTTTTGTAGAAGTTTTGTAGAAGACTTTCTATAACTTTGCATTCAAAGTTGTAGCACAATGAACACAGGGGTGAAAAAAGTTTCTTTTTAGAAAAATGTAATGGATCATTTTAGTAACTGCATTTATATCCTTTTTTCTTTAGAATTTTTGCCTTTTTTATGAGTTCTTCAGCTCCTGCTACTTGTATCTCTCTCTCTCTCTCTCTCTCTCTCTCTCTCTCTCTGATGCATGTTTTTGTCTATATTCCTCCAGCTGAATAGCCAGAAACAAGCTCTAGGTGAGCAACTGGCCCAGAGCCACAGAGAGATCGAAATGCAGACTGATTCACTCATCCGTGTGCTACAAGAGAAGGAAGAGATAGCTAAGGAGAAGGCACAGCTGGCTGTGGAGCTCACTGCAATGCAGAGGCAGAAGAAGTTGTTAACAGAGGAGACAGACACTCTCAGGTAATGATTATTTCTGATGAAACAACAGTACACAAAACAGCACAGTGGCCTGCAGTTACATGCAAGCAAATTCTGAATGAACATTAGAAAAAAAAATCTTAACAGTAAAAACAGTTGTATATGTGTGTAGTGATTGAAAAACTAAAGAAATCTGAATAAACATGATGGTTTTCAACATTTTCCTCATTACATGACTTATGTTTTAGTTTATAATTGTTTTAGCAGATAATGGTATCTATGATACACCCATGTAATTATAGGAGTTGTGTTCAATTTGTAAGTGACTTTATCTTTGCATTGATATCCTGCATCTTCTACAAAAACAAAAACTAATGTTTATAGTTCTCACAGTTACAGTATCTTTTCCCACAAATACAGTGGAGAAATCTTCTTCTGGATTTCACATGAGTGAGTGGTATCAGCCCTGTGTTGGGTTGTATTATCAGTACCAACAAACTGTATGTACAGATAGCCCTCAATTTATAACCACAAGCTGGCTGGGAAGGTTACAAATGATGATCACATGATTCTGGGACAATGAAACTGTCATAAATACATGCCAGTTGCCAAGCCCCCAGATTTTTATCACAGAACCATGGGGATGCTGCAACGATCAGAAGTGTGAAAAACGGTCATAAGTCGCTTTTTTCAGTGTTGTTGTAACTTCAAACAATTGCTAAACAAATTGCTGTAAATTGTAGACTACTTGTAAATACTAGCTGAACAATAGCCTCTTTTTAAAATCATTGCTTTGTGGGTGTCTACAGATTCAAGGTGAAGACAGCCTAATTGATTGGCACTGATTATATCCTAATGTGCTTTTAGAACGGAGAAGGAATCCCTGGAAACCAGCCTTTTTGAGGCACAAGAGCTGACAGCTCAACTTGAGGCCCGCAAGGAACAATTAGAAGGAGAAAATCAAGGCATTGATCTTTCCAGGAAGGCAATTCAAGGTACAGTATGCACAATCTGATTCAACAATTCATTTGGATTTAAAAATTCAGTAAATCTGAGTTTTTCACTGAGTTTATTTATTTTATATGGTGTGCCAGAATATAGCATTAGCTGTTGTTTTTATTTTTGATACTCATGCTGCTGCTTCTTCCTGGGAGGTCCTTGGGAGGTCCAGCACAGCCAGAATGTGTAGACTATTTAGTCACAACAAAGTCACATTGCCTGGGGTGCACTACAAGAAGACTGCATTGCACCCATTTTCACAGAGTGACAATATTTCATAAGAGGGATTTTTTTTTTCAAATTCTGGGTATTTTAGCTTTTAAGTTCACTGTGGGCCAGGCAAGTTTTAAAAACTTTTGTGCTAAGATTATGCTTAACACGGGTTGGTTGTTAGCATTCTCATAAAAACTAGTGAAAACACAAAAAATAGAGAGCAGAAGTAAATAAACATTTTCATGCTAGAACTATATGCAAAATGAAATCTTCAAGAAGCTATTTTGATACCAAAGCTTTTACACTGTTTATCAGTTGGATTTAGGAGTGAACCAGGGGTGGGTTCTACTTACTTTTGCTACCGGTTCACAACGGGGCCGCATGTGTGTGCTTGCTTCGCTCGCGTGCACGCACGCTCTTCTGCGCATGCACAGAATTCTGATGACATCGGGGTCGGTGGGCAGAGCCTTCTGCCGGTTTTACTAGCGGTTCTATAGAACCGGTGCAAACCGGGGGCAACCCGCCACTGGAGTGAAGAGTTAGATGAGTTGCAAGATGATGTATCAAAATGTTGCAGCGACATCATACCAGAGATTCATTTTCAATTGGTAATTTTTTCACAGATATATTACCATGTCTAGATTCCAGTAAGTTGATTTTCCAGGTGAAGTTCTTTTGCTACCACATCACACTGCTAATTCATATTCAGTCTGCAATTAATTACTAGTTGTTCTGGTGCTTTTTAATTAACAGTCACATTATTTGAACAGAAAAAATACTGGCTCAATTTCTTAAAGTAGCTACAACTTTTTTTCTAAATGGTATTGGAAAATCTATAATCAAACTTGCATTTAATGCATTTTCCAGGTGCAGTGCCAATTTCATTATTCATTTTGGTCAAAAGCAAAGACAGTGTTCCAAGAAATAGGACAAATACTTAACAGTCTTCAACAATTAATATGATTTTTATGGTTCGTTTTTCTCAGAACATCAGATTCTGCAACATTAGAAAATCAGTTTTGCTGTAGCAGGATATTGAAAAACTAAAGTACATCTTTCTTTTGGATCACCTAATATTGGTTGAAAAACACAGCAACTCAAGTGTCTTGAAGAAATGAAGAATTTTTAATGAAAGATTATTCTAGTCACATCTGATTTCCAGATTGCACCTGTCAACAAATTAGTTTTTGGACAGCAGTGTTGTATATTCAAATATGCAAGGCTTGCATATGTTACAATGTTATCTATCTGCTCCAGATTATAAATAGATTTTTATATATATATATATTAAAATGGGGAAGTAGATGGTCTTTTTTTCTTTTGTGCTTTGTATCTGTTACTCTTGTTCTTTTATTGGTTTTTATTTTCAATGTTTATTGAAATTAACATTATAATTTTTTAAAAAAATTGATGAGGTATATTTTAATCCCAGAGAGACTTTATGCTGCGTTCTGAATAGCAGTTCTTTTGAAATATCAACTTCTGGAAAGCAGAAAATGGCTTTGACCCTTATATGCATGTTTTTGGGGTTCTTGAATGTATTTGGTAGCACACTATGACACATAATGCTGAATTGGATTGACCATTAGCCTGATCTAGAAAAACTGGGCTAATTTGTTGTTTTCTCTATTTTATTCTGGCTTTCTGGCAGTTTTAGCAAGTTGGTTATCAGTGGCTACAACCAAATTCAAAAGCAGATACACAAAACACATCAGAGCAAACAATGTTTAAATATGATATTAATAAAGAATAATTAGAGGATGGGATTATTATCTTTTGGAGGAATAATACCAGTGAATTAAAAGACAATGGTGAAGTCTGGTATGATTGAAATCTTTTTCAACACTGTGTGTATTGGAGGATACCTAAGAATCTCTTCTGAATAGTTTGTTTTCTTTCACAGCGGAATTAGGAAAGGTTCGGCAAGAACTTGAGCTTCAAGAGAGTACCCTAAGAAAAGAGATAGAGATGTTGAAGCACCAGTTGACTCAAACAGAAGAAGAGTGTCAGCTATCTATGAAACATCAAAAGCAAGCTTTTGAAGAGGACCTTGGGACTCTTAGAAAAGAGAAGGTCAGTGATGCAGGTCCAAGAAGTGAATAGTCCTAGATCAATTTGTAGTGATTGGTATCAAATAGCCCCTGCCTCCCTAAACTAAAATCAGTTCTAATATATCATATCAAGTTCCACAGTTGGTAGCTGTGTTTGGAATAAAAGCAAAAAACCAACATGTGGCAAAATTTATATTTATTATATATTATATTTATAAATACATGAATTTATTAAAATACTGTTTAAGGAGTTACAAGAACGAATGTTGGATTTATAAGAATACATTTGCCTCAGTACTATAATTTAAATAATACAAGAATTTTGAGATTTTTCAGCTAAGTTTACATGTATACCTGCTATGAAAACATGCCTCTTGCTAGGATTGATACATAGTCATTATAAGGATACTGATCATCTCAAACTTTCTGAGAGTAGTATCTCTCTCAGATACTCCAGTATGCCATGGAGTTAACATAAGCAATTTAGGATTCCCATTAAATGAACAAAATAAAATCAAAGAGTACTATTTAGTTTTGATGCAAATGTGATAAATTCTCTTTGCATATTCTACCCTCATTATTTAGGAGTTCCTCATATAAGTAACTTGTTAGAGAAAATTATATAATTACATTTTCCTTTGTCTGCCGATATAACCTAGCTTCAACCTAGTTTATATCACAAACAAATGTGTTTGAAAAGGATGATTGTGAGATGAGATGCATTTTGAGTTGAACTTTATATTTCTAAACATAAAAAGTCCAAGATTAGTAAGAAATCCAAGATAGTAGAGAGATATCATAATTAACAAGCTTTGGCTGCCAGATTCATGTTTCTTATGAAGATTAGGTTATAGATCTTCAGGTATAGTTGCTGGTTTTTAGAATGACAAAAAAGTAGCTGAGGGTTAAACTGTGAAGTCTTGATGTTCTCTGAATTTGTTTGTGCGCTTGCAGACATTTTATTATCCAACTAAGTAACATCACCAATAATATCATCATCCACAATTCAAATTTATTTCCAAGCATATTGTGCATGGATGAAAATAGTCCATGGCCCAATACTCCATTTGCAAACACTGTGAGAGTGCAAAATAACAAATTTCATCAGTGCAAATATTTGTGCTTTAATTTCAGAAATGTGACTGGTATGAAAATAGAGGACATTAAGGAGATCTTTAATTCCCATCCTTGATATCTTGTGAAATGGACTAATATGTGCAAAATCCAGCTGCACAATACCCAAGTAAAATGTAAATATAAGAATGCTAATAAGACTAGGGGGCCTTTTGGAAGTAAACAATTCTCATATCTAGGTTTATGCCTCCTCATCCCAAAACTAAGCAAGAACTAACCCACCAATTTTCTGATCAACCCATTCCAGTAACATCACCTTTATTATTAAATTACCTTTATTAAATGTCTAGGGAGATTCTCAGTCATCCAGGTCATGGTTGTCCCAAAGATGCTTTTTCAAAAGGCAAATGGACTTTGTTTTTTCTTGAAGATATTTTGCTTCTCATCCAAGAAGCTTCTTCAGATATGACTGAAGCTTTTTGGATGATAAGCGAAACGTTTTCAAGGAAAAACATAGTCCAGTTGCCTTTTGAAAAAGCACCTTTGGGATGCCTTTACTGAAGTTCATTTTCTGTATACTCTGAAACTCTCTTGAGATCAAAATCTCCACAAAGTCCCAGGAGACAGGATTTTAATCATATTGAATCCAAATTCAATAATATTTTAGTTGATAAACACAATACACTACTGATACCAGGAGATCCTGCGTCTGGCACTAATGGAGGAGAAAGATGAAACTGTCAACTGTCTTCAGCAAGAGAAGGAAGAACTGGTGTCCAAGTATGAAGCTGAGAAGAGGGAACTCATGGAGGAGATCCTCACTTTGCAGCAGCGCAGAGATGAAAGCCTCCTTATGCTAGAAAATGAAAAACAAAAGGTGAGGAGAGAGAGTTGAAAAGTTATACAAGACAGAAGAAAACTCTGTTCCCAATCTCTCCCGCGATATTATCCACTGAGGATATTACATACTGGGATTTACTCAGAGCTCAATGAACAGGGACTGTCAACATGCTCTGTAATGGGTAGTATTCAGAAAGGAAGAGAAGGGCATTTTCATCAAAAAAAAAAATTCTGGAAGTGGTAGAATTGCATCTGGTTCTGTTATCTGAATTGAAAACTTGAGAATTTGTTCAGGTCATCTTTTTAAGGCAACAAACCTGATTCATGTTTTCAGGGCTAATAAGGAAATTGGGATATGTTTTATCCTTTCTTTTTCATACATTTTTTAAAAAAAGAAGTAATGTTCTTATTTTAGCATTAAATACATAATATCTGTGTTTTGTAGGAAAGTATATTCAAATGTTAATTTTCATACTTTTTTGTAAAAAAAATGCAGATTGAAATAGAAGAGAATTAGAACTTTTTGATGTGTAAGCATGAAAGAAACTGAAAGAGACTGATCCAGGCCTTCTTAATATCTAATAGCTTTCAGTATCCTTGAGTTATTTTGGTATCGTTTGCTACAAACCTTGTTTTAATGGGAATATAATATTTATTTATTTAATATTTACTATACAGTATTACTTGTATAAAATGGGAAGCAGATGGTCCCATTGCCATTCCAGGGAATCACCCCTGACCCTTGGAGTTATTGCAGCTGGCTGACCTTCTATGCCAGATCTCTTTTGCAGTTTGGTACTACAACTGGACACATAATACTATCCAATTAGTGCTTTATTTTAGTTACATTTTGTTGAACAAATAAAAAGCTGCTCCATAAATCATAGTTACAAATCACCGTAACATCTTAGCCCAAACCAAACAAAACACGTATTGTAATGGCTTGAGTTAAGTGTAAATTGAAAATTGCTAGCAGCCGTTGTTGGGTGCAACATAGAAAGGCAATTGAGGTAAACACAGAGAGGTATCAAAGAAGAATTACAGGACTGACAGGCGATGTACTTCTATAGAGGAAAAAGTAAATGAAATAGTCATGTTTCCTGTCCATCCATCATATGTGATTTTGTTCCTCCTGACAAACATCCCCGAGAATTTTGCTTTAAGATAACCTTGAAAAAGTATGGTGTCCTGATGAATCCATGGACACATCCCTGCATCATTCTTGGCAACAACACAAAAGGGCTTTTCCCATGTCCACCTTCTATGATGTTTTACATTATCCCAGTCTAGCTCATAGCTCTGATACTTCTTGATGGTTTTCCATCTAAATCCTAAACTGGTCAAATCTTAATAGGTTTCTGAGATGAAATACTATTTTAAAAATACGTTAATAATATCAACATTGTTAAAAAATAAAGGTCATAAAATATAGTCAGGACAGTGTAAAGGTGATAAAGCTGATGAGGATGTTTGTTCTCATCATCTTCAGATAATCTCTCAGAAAGAAGCTGAAAAGAATCACCTTGTGGAAAAGCTCAGTGAGTTACAACGAGAGCTGAAGTACACCAGGTCTGAGATTGAACAGGGGAAGCTTGACAGTCTGAAGCGACAAGAGCAGGATAAGGTACGTATGGATTTTTTTTCTGTGACATTGAGGGCAGAATTTTATTCCTCGCAGGTCTTTCAAGCCAAAGAATGACTAGGACCACACACACAGATCAGAAGATAACTTCTTATCCTTTCGTGTCTAGTAGGTAGAAGGATTTGCTTGTGACTCTCCATATGTATGTCACCTTTTATGGAACTCTCACAATAAAGCCAGCCTGCTTTGGTCCTTAAGGGACATCCAGAAAAAAGGTGAAAATGTTTTTGTTCTGCCAGCTATATGGAAGAAGTGGATTTTTATTCTTACTGCTGTTAAAAGTCTGTAGAAATTCTCAGTTATCCAGGTCATGGTTGTCCCAAAGGTGCTTTTTCAGGAGGCAACTAGACTTTCTTGCACTACTCAGGTGACCCTAAGGACACAGCTAAACCTCCAAATGCTTTAATGACCCTCTAAAAGGATGCAAATTACCAGCTGTCTGCAAGGAACATAAATCCTTCCATTCCCCACTATTCTGTCAGAGCTGAAGAAGCTTCTTGGATGAGAAGCAAAACATCTTCAAAAGAAAAAAACTGAAAAAGCACATTTGGGATTACTGCTGTGTTATTAGGTTTATTCTGTTGGCATTGATAACTTCATTACTTTTGTATTGAATTCTAATGCCAATGATTCTTGACTTCTTCTTTTATAAGTAGAAAGAATGTAAATTTAAAATGTTGTTGGTTCCTTAAGCATTTTTTAAAAGCTAAATAGAGCAGCTTAAATATTTTTCAGTATCATTATTGGAATGAAAGATAAAAAGGTTAATGGAAATAAAACAATACAGGCTTAAAACCTAAAATTTTGAAATCTATTTTGTGAAATTATTTGATTCACAGCACTGTATATTCAGCTCAGCAGGAACCACAGAAAGGGATGGGGTCTGACAGATTTTCTTTTGCTTATGCTTTGGTGGAAAAATGTAAATTTCAGAAAAGTGTTAAATTGCTGTAAAGTTTTGTTTTCAACCACAATTACATTGTTTAAAGCCTCTTATATTACTGACATGCAGTGGATCTCTAGGCAGTATAGAATATTAACATATATTTCATGAAATTAGAAATAAAACATATAAAGAAAATTAAAACATAGAAAATATAAAAGTACAGACAAGCAGTGGAGGGAGAGCATCAAATGGAGATTTCATGTATGAATTAATATTGCCCTGGGTTACCTCCAGTTCTCAGTCATGAAAATCATACAGATGCCAGCACTTATTTATTGTTGACATCTGTGATAAAATATTTATTTCCAGCTATATATAAACTGAGATTAAGAAAAACACCACAGATTAAGTAAATTTCACAGAATTCATATTCAACAATTTCTAGGAAATCTATAATACCATAAGAGGGCAGTGTTCTTGCAGAAAATAAAGTCAGCTCTTTTTTCCCCCCTTCTGCCCAGCCAGATGAACTAAAAATGGCAGCTTTTTTGAAGCTCCTTCTCATGATCTTGATATAAATGAGGGTAACAAGGAAAAGAAAACATGTTTGTAAGCCATCTGTGTGTATATGCAGCAGCCTATGAGAACTATTGAATACATTTAGTATTATACAATTATATGAAATATTATTTTAACAATATTTAATATTCAAGTGCATTTTAGATCTTTAATTATTACATTTAGGGTCCTCCTTTTCTTTGGAAAATGAAAACAGTGACCACGAGAAAAATAACACTTTGTGGTAATGGGGTTAAGAAAGAGTGACTGCACTCAGCTCCATGGTCAAGGTGGTCAATTCCCTAATCCCAATGCAATATCTTTTCACTCCCTTGGAGAAAGAAAATGTGGGAGAACTATAGACCTCCCCACTGTCATAAAGTACCAAGAGCTTCTCTGTGGGAAGACAGCTATTCATGGGGAAAGGACCACCCATTCTTTCTCCATAGATGAAGTACAGAGATGTGGGATTGATATAGTGGACCAGTTTCTCAGGGCAGAACATAAACAACCAAAGGACTCCTAGTTACAAGGCTGAAGTTTGCAAGGGAAAAATATCCAGGTGTGCAAATGATAGAAGAAAATGTGCTGGGTATAAGAGGGGACTGGATTCTCAAGCTGGCCAATGGCAATTAAACAGCATGGGCAAATAATTTTTAACATCTTTCCTGAACCATTGCAGCCCTAATTTGAATCAGAGTTTTTATGGTTGCTTTTAATATTTTCTTTTTTTTTAATGCAAGAAAATTGATTCATGGATTTTGTGATTCTGATGTCATCAAGGTTCTTTTTTAAAAAGAAAATCTGTACTCAGAAAGCATTGGAATCTAACTAATTGAAATTCCAATTACTTGAAATTAATGTGGCATAGCACCGAGGATGAAATACTAGCAGCTCTAGGAAGTTTTCAGAAGGAAAGATCTAGTGCAGAAAAACTTTGCTTTTTTGTAAATAGCATGGAAAGAGATAAGTAGATACTGGTGATGTCATGAGGACATCTAAAATAGGGACACCATGCTGACACAGACATTCTTTGATTAGGCTCCATTCTCCTGGCTCCACATTTTGTTTCTCATAATGCATATCTGGGTTTTTTTCCCCTTTTTTCAATAGCTTTTTGTGGGATTGTTTGATTCTGCTTTTAAATAAAAACACATTGGCAATATCAGCCAGAGCCCTCTTGTATCTCCAGAGAAATCTATTCACAAGCTTGCAAAGCATAGCCTCTTAAGACAAAGCAAACAAACAGCACAACAAGGGTGAGAAACCCCACCAGAACAAATCTGAAAAGCATTTCAGCTGGAAAGATTGACTGAGAACTAGCAGAAAGCCAGCTTTAAAACAAATACATTCCCTGAAGGACTGTAAACAGTAACTCCACCCCAATTGCTTAGAGCAGCGCAGAATGACAGAAACGGGCCCTGTTGCTGTGATTTCCTGGAAATCTTATTTCTAGCCCTCAGTTTCTTGCTTTATGGAACAACTTTAAACCCATTGATGACTGTGATCCTCCTGAGACTGGACCTGATTCAGTGAGCTATTTTCTGCAAGGTAGTACATGCAGAAACAGAATAGGAACAGAGGCTGGAACAGAGAAGGGCGAGGTAACAAATGCAAGCCAGATGCTCCTCCCCAGGGCAAGGATGTTGCAATTCATAGCTGGAAGCCGCATGGCTGTGTTCCACGCATGGTCCAAACTCCGTCCTCTTGGAGAAGCTTATGAGTGGCTTGCAAAGCAGTGAGCAAGTTCTTGGCTCCAGAAGAAAAGATCTTGCCCAAGAGCATCTCATTTCCTGGAGCTCCCCCTCTCTGAATCCCCGGAGGAGCTCCCTTCAGCCTAGATGGCAAAACACAGCCTCCCAAACACAACAAGGGAAGCAGAAATCATCCTGCTCTACTCTGGGAACTGCAGTGCCTGCCAGAGGTTTCCTGCCCCCTCCCCCACACACAGAAGAATGGAGGGATTCTATGATGTTACTTCTACCTTTTCTACTGCTTTCCTATCATTTAAAAGGCTGATCGATACGATTTATTCAAAGAGAAGCCAACTGTTTTGTTAACAAAAATCATCATCATCATCCTAGGTCCTTGGAAAAGATTCACTAGGTGAATAGAAATGACTATGCAACTAACAACAACAACAACAACAAATTTCCCCTTCAGAGTAACAAAACACAGAAACATGCATATGTATGCTGGCTAAGAATTCTGGCAGCTGCATTACAAACACATCCAGAGATCACAAGTTTGGCAGTAGCCTTGAAGTGCTTCAAGATTTACCCGATTAAAATTTGAAGCAATGTATGCAATGAGGTGATGACAAGGAATATGCTGGCTAATCTTGCCTCACATGTAACATTCCTGTACCAGTGTTGCAGCCATCTATAGACATTATTTCTGCAACAGGCAGAGTAATGAGCATAGAAACTGGCATAAAAGTCAGCAGGCAAAGCTAGTTAGCATGTCCCTGCTCTCTAATCACATTATCGGGCACTTGAGGTAACATAACTTCCTCTGAAATAAGTTTCTCAAGAGATCACAGTTCTCCTTTAGCCCAGGAATTCTGGAAATTATAGTTCCACACATCTGGAAGTCACAGGGTTGAAAAGTTTGAACTATCCTAAATCAGAGGATCAGAATGATCAGTGATGTTTCCTCCAAGAAGTCCTGTGATGTGGGTGTTGTTTCCAATTATAAATGGGATGATTGAAGAAGCCAGATGTGTTCAATAATGTCCTGGGGCCAATACCTCTGACACTCATTATTAAGTAATTGTTAAGTGAATTATTATGTATTCTAACTATTTTAGCCTATACCACTTGGTTAACTCTGGAAATGGTTTTGCCCTCCAGATGTATTGGATTACACCTTCCAACAGCTATAGTCAGGATGACTAACTATATTAGCTATGGATAATAAATTGTCAACACATCTGGAAGGTATAGGATTGGGAAAGATTGATGTTCTTGAGGAATCTTGGGTGATGCACCTATATAGACTATATCCTATCATCAGGATTGGGCCGTATCTCAGACTGCTGCTTCTTAGATAGCACTAGGTGGCACTAAGTATCCACAAGTCAATTCCCAATGTAGGCAAGAGACTTTTATTATAAGAATAAAGATTAAAAATGGGGGGGGGGGATTAAATATAAGTCCATGGCAGCAGAATCTAAGTCTTAGATAGCATACGCAAAGCATGTACAGGAGTAATAGACCAGAATTCATCAGAATACAGATATACTGATTGTCCCGAATTGATCAGGTTGAAACAGTGGAATATCTAATGTTTTGAATAATATTTTATTTAAAAAGTAAGGGTTCAAAGGGATAGATGTAGAAGAGACAGGCAATATAAACATAGTTAAAATTAGTGGAAATTTGGATAGTAAGATATAAAATATATAGTAAATTATCCCAGTTTGATACCACTAGACAGCTAACAACTGTATAAATGAAAGTATGTTGTTGTGCATTTTGAATAATAGTTTTAAAAATGTTTTTTTATACATATGGAAACTGAATGTTTAATATCATCTTGCCATAGAGCAATGCACAGATATCAGACCAACCTGCTTGATTTTTAACCCTTTGTAACCCTGTAGTCCATGATCTATAATTTGGTTCAGTAATTATCTCTCTTCTCTTTTCTATACTATTTCAATATGCAGAAAGGCACCACTATTTATGACATATTGTCAAAAAAGCAAATCGATTAACAAGATAATACAAATATATTCAACACTACATTATAAATACTCTCTAATACCCAATCTCCCTTTTCTGTGTTTTAGACAAATCTGGGCACATTTAACTCATGTCTTCAGATTTGCTATTGTTGTTTATTGGGTTTATTAGGGTTTTTCAAAAAGGTTTCTGTTTCAATAAACAAAAGTCTCTATGTGCCTAACACAGACTTCTTTTCTATCATAGCCAGTTGTTATTCCTTTAGCATTTCACACCAAATTTTCTTTCCATACCCATGGAAATGATCTGCCATGCAAGCTATGAATCCTGAACTATACCTGAACTGTCAGGGTATGTAGATTTAATAGCTGTAAACTGATAGAAGGTTGTAAGCGGAAGCAACTGAAAGCTGATGCAATGGGAATGAGGCAGCAGGGTTACTGCCACTTTAAGAAGCTGGGTAAGAAGCTGCCTATATAAGGGAAGCCATTAGAGGGCATTTCCTTCTCCTCATGTTCTCTCTCTCGTTGTGTCAGTAGCTGTATGATAAGGTATTTACCATGTATAAGTCTGTATATATTTAGCTGTAGATAAAATCACTGTTAATTACTCCTGTCACCAGGAGTTGAATTCAATTTGAAGGAAGTTCACCTTTTACAATGCTATAATGCAGTGGCCCCCAACCTTTTGGGCACCAGGGACTGGTTCTGTGAAGAGAGGTTTTTCCATGGACTGGAGGGCGAATGGTTTCGCATGCTGCCTGCATCCCATGATTAGGGCTTCACTTGTTTGCATGGACCGGTTTCTGCCATGCCACAGTCTGGTATCAGTCCACGGACCGGGGGTGGGGGACCCCTGTTATAATGTACAATGTGTGTTTAATGTGTGTTAAATTGTATCACACTGCTGTACAAAAATTGTTCAACAGTTATTAAAGGGTATCTGGTTTTCCATTTGTCCTCTATGCCAATGATGCTCTAGTCCAGTTGCAAGTCACATGCCAATCCCACCTCAAATTTTGGATAACAACCCCCATTAAATGAGCCACTAAAATGTGTTGTTAAACTGATTTTTTAATTGTAAGTGAAAGGAAATATTAAATATATGAGAAGTAAGTCATATTAATGGAATTAACCTAAAATTTGTTACTTTTAAATTAATGATAATGTAAATATAATGTAGTTTTAGTAGGATACTGCTCTTTTGGTTATCCTGGCCCTGGTCTTGTTCTAGAGTATAGTCCTTGCTTTGTTACTGAAGAAATATAAGTTGCATGTTGCTGCTTTATTCTATATCTTAAGTTTGCATCATTTCATAGTAACATAGCAGAAGTAAGACTGTAAGCAGCCCATTGCTGCTTACATTTCCCAATTCCCATACAGCATCTTGGCTTTAGTTTCCAGTATCTTCCTTTTCTCTTTTGCCAAGGGATTCATTTCCCATAAAAGATACAAATGTTCCAATTAGTAGTTTTTACTAGATGACTGAGTTGCTTGTCTCAATTCTCCTACACGATCCCATGCCATAGAAGAGGAAGAACATCGAATCCATGAGTTGTAATAGGGAAATGTATGGGTATTTTTATTTCACCTTTTCTGACCCACAGAAAGGGGCATTAATTCAGCCTATTGATACTTTGAATGTTTGTCAAAACTTTTGGACAAAGTTTGTTTGAAGTTGAGTATAGGATTATGGATATTTAGTAGCAGCAAAAGATCAACTCATCAATCTTTATGTTTCTGCTGAGCTTATTTGAGATCAAAACATATTCAAATCATACAATAACTCTAGTGAGATCCAAATGATTTCTGTTGCCCATAACTTCATCAGAGTGTTGCTGAGCTAAGCCAGGGTAGCATATATGATCTAATCACTCACTTTCAGTTTTGGCATATGATGACTATGAAATACAATTTCATACAATCATTAATTGCCAGAAAGCAAAAATAAAACAAAACTTTCAACCAAGGTTAAAATTATGGAAGGCAACTTTAATATCATACAAAGTTCTGTTGGTGAAAGTTGTTAGCAAATGTTTAGGTTTAGAGCAGCCTTCCCATTCTGAATCCTTGGAACTTTCCAAAGATGTGGATTTCAAATCCTACGATTCCCCAGTCAGTGTGGCCATTGCTGAGAATTCTGGGAGAAAATCCACACTTGGGGGTGGGAGGGGATATCCAAGTTGAAGCCTACAGGATCAAGAGAAGCTTAATGGCATCTGCAATAGAGGTTTGTGGGCTGTTTGGAAAAGGAATGGGACTCTTTGCTTAAGGCAACTTGAAGTGTCCCCCAACTCAGTATGTTGCAAATATCATTCAGAGAATAGGAATAATTATGGTTGTTTTAGTTGGTTCATATCTCACATTAAGCATAACACGGTTTGGGATGATTGAGATATTGTTATTTGAAAGTAATGTTATGTTATGCAAACATAACATTATGGCTACTTTAACCAAGCTTTGGTTATATAGCTGTAACTTAGAATGATTGTAAGCTGTAACTTAGAATCTTTTTATAACATAATTAGAACATTTTATGAAATGTTGACTTGCAAAGCATTGGCATCCTTTGGTATACGGTGTTTGCCTGATATTGGACTTCTTTCTTTTATTCTACTAGTATGCAAGTGAAACACTCTTGAGTGTTTCAATGTCAGGTTCCAATTAATGTACCCATCACAAATCGAACTCCGAGGCATTCCAGTTCCTCAAAGAACAAATTTATTAAGATAATAAGATCTCAGATGTTGGAATTCACTTTCCAAGAAGAGAAAGAAGCTGTCACTGAGGAAAATAAAATTAATTGCTTTAGTAACAGTATATTTATGGAGAGTAGTATCCTTTATTAAAAGGATTAGCAAACCAGATACTGTTTCATTCTATGACCATAAGGCTTCTTTCATGATATGGATAGGATAGCCAGATTTCACCATTCCAATTTCTTGTTTAATTTAAATAATTGCAGTTTGTCTAAGTGTGACATCTACATTTCTAAGGGATGTAAATATCAAATATTGTACATAGTGATTGATAGTTATGTCCCTTTCTATGCACAAAGCACATTTTACCACTTAAGAAAATTGTCACAAAGTCACTGAAACAGGCATGGGGTAGGATCTTTGCTCACTAATACAGCTAAAGGGATCCAGCCTATACTGTAGTGATAGAACAAGTTGCTGGCATAATGATGCATTGTCTCAGCTCTTTTGGCTCTCCTCTATGTTTTACTATTGGCTGGAGTTCTGTGATATAGAAAACAGTGAGATAAGGCTACATAAATCATGGTCTGTGCTCAAGGAAAAGTGAATATCAGGGGAACAGAAGGTAAAATTAGTTTCCCCCGGCCATTCTGAAGATTTTGTGAATCACTAAGGAAGAAAAGTTTACAGTTCAGTTAGTAATGCAATTTTCCTGCTCTGATACTTGATACTTGAACCTCTTGCAGGTTCTAACAATCTGTGCTTCTAGAGATCTTATGAGACGGATCAATCCAAGTAGTTGCTAAAGGAAAATGTAACCCTATTTTAATTTGCGTTGAACCTATAAAGCAAATCTAGCTCATGCCATACTTTTTCCTGTGTCATTTTCATTACAGAACACAATTACCAGCATCAACAAAGAATTACAGACCTTCCAGGCACAATTTGAAGATGCAATGGCTGCACACCAGAAAGAGGCCAAACGCTTAAATGAACATATAAAGGAGCTGGCAAGAGAGAAAGAACTTAGTGGGCGGGAGGTATGTATGCCTCTTTAGCTATCACTTCTGGCCATTTCTTCTCTATCCTTGTTGAATATTGGTACCAAAAAGTGGATTGAGTATCCATTTGTCAGCAAGAGCTATCAGTTCAGGCTGGGAACATAAATAGATTTGAAATCTAAAGTCTTCTGCTCCCATAAATGTTAAGAGTGCTAAATGTTAGCAGAAATACCTGACAAAATATTTAAGGAAATCGGTGTTGGAGATGTACCATTTTTCAAATGAGTAATATGTTTAAGGAGGAGGTTCTAATATGATATAAATTCATAACACTGCCACATCTAGACTAGCAAATTTAGCAAGCTTTGGAACACTGCAAACCTCTCTAAAAGCACATCAGCTATGTCCAAGAGCAGAATCAATCTATTCCTAAATTTGCTGGGCTGTATTTGAAACTGCAGTGGAACTTTTCCTGAAGAACTGTTGGGCAGTCTGTTTCCCCTTTTGCAGAAATTTTTACCCAGCTCTTTTCTCTAGCATATTCTCTGGGTTTCCAAGACAGCAGAACTTGAAATTATTATAGGTCAATTTCACAATGTCTTTGAGGGTTTGGGGAATGGAAATGATTATACAAATGGTGCCGTGTTGTTCCCTGGATGAGCTTAGACTCCAGCCAACGGCTTTTATCATAGCACGTTGAACTTGTTGAAAAGCTGTCATCTGCCTGTATTCTGGATGGATGTGGCCTCCTGCAGAGCATGTGGAGTATCCAATGTGTTCCCAAGATGGGTATTGGCTAGAGAAATTGGCACTGATCCAGCTAGTCAGTGCCTTTACTCCAGTTCCAACACCAGCTTGTCACTGGTTAAATTGGAAGCAGAAATCACTGTCCACCCTGTCATGTCCCCTCTTTTTAATATCCAACTCTAGAGGGTGGTTTTTTTTACATTCTTCCAAATATCTGCAACTCTGAAAAACCTCCCCAGATGGTAACCCTCACCCACTGCCAGATGTTTCCAGGGTTCTAATTCTTTACAAACTGAGAACGCAGAACAAAAATGACCCCAGCCTGAGGGAGGAAAGAGAAAGAAAGGGACGGGGTGAGGGGGAAATAGAAAATTAAAGGACATAAAAGAGGAAGAGAGAGTAATTTAACATGACAGGCTGTTTATTTTGGCAAAAAATGGCCTCTTTTCAACAGATTTCAAAGTCCAGCCCCAGGAGGGACCACACAAGCAAGAGAAGAGGGTTGTTTCAGAGGGCAGGGAGGGCAGAAGGAATGGGGATGGGGCGAAGGGGGTGAGGAAGATCTCAGAGATGGAGGCAGGATGGGCAGAGAAAGACTAACACTGGATGGGAACAGAGACAACAGCACGCGAAAGAAATAGGGAGAGGGAGAGAGGAGGGGGAGAAGTAAGTTGAGGGACTAATATAACAAGCCGAGGGCAAAGAAACACAGAGCAAAATCCTCACAGGCGCCAGCATTGACCTACTTATCACCATGGGAACCATAACATTTTCACAGCCTTTTAACTTGAGGAAGTCAGCCTTGAGTTGAACAGACCTGCCTTCCCATATGTACAAGAACACTGACACGGACTCTTCTGTGCATGCACACTCCACACAACAACAGTTAAACACGGCAGTCTATTTTGGCAAGCCGCCAGTAGCATGTTGCTCACCTAGACATTGTTGTTCAAGATTCTCATGTACATATCTGTTCTTTTTATGTGAACTCAATTATTTGAATTCACAGACTATGTATGTGTGTGGAGTCACACTTCAATGCATGCTCACTCCTACCCATGCACATACCACCACCACACAAACACGTGCCTTTTTCTCCCACCCTAGATACCTTCTTCCATGTATCTTCTAAGCCTCAGCTGGAGGTTTGGCAACCCAGGCATGATTTCAGAAGAGGCTGTTTATAAATGTTAATCAATATATAATTATAATAATTTCATTATGAGCTTAGCTGCAATATTCTTGTGAAGGAGAAAACACAAGAGAGGAATTAGCCAGGAAGGAATGAATGTATGGGGGTGGGGGGAGGAGAGTTTTGTGTGATGTTTTCTTTTCAGTCCCATCCCCTGCAAACCCCCTCTCCTTATCCTGGGGAATAAAAACAGTTTATTTTATGATGGATCGCCCTTCTCTTTGGTCACTGACCTTTCTTCGTGAATTTCTATTGAGCTCAGCAGAAAAATGCTGAGTGCATTTGTGGATCCCATATGTGGGTGGGGGCTGGTAGAAAAAGGGTCTCACCCTAATCCTTCTCAAAAACAGAACAACAATAACACAGAGCTGGTTGGAATGAGCCCGGCCAACAGGGAGGATCTGGATAATGTTAGAGCTTTTCAGAGTAAAAAGAATTTTTAAAAAAGAGAGAAAGAAAACTCAAAAGAAAAACATAGGACATTGGGGTTCTTATACAATTCTCCTACCCTTCCCCAAAAATACACAGGGCATAAACAAGCACAGCTTTCCAAGGAAGGCTGAATAAAATCCAGACCATTCTTTCTTCTCCATTTTAATTCACAATGCAGTTCATGGGAAAGCTGTTAAGCTAAGTTGCTTCTGTGTCTGTCCAGCTGAAGTTCAAATGGTACATGTGCACTGCTACCGGTTTAATATAGGAATTTCATCCATGTTGTCATTAGCAATTATTCAGATACTTCAAAATTGATCTTCTGTTTTTACTGCTGTCGTTTCTCCCAATCTTTTGCTGTTACATCCTTTGTTGGTAGATCCCATCCTCTCCTGCAGACAAGGTGGAATTAGTCATCTTTTATGTCATTCAAGAGTGGGAAAGAAATCAGGGGGAAGGAAAGTTTTGAGGACAGATCTGTAGGCTACATCAAGTTGAAGTAGATTGCTATATTTTTGCAATATAATTCCCACAGAGCAGATACAGTCATCGTTACTATTTGCAGATTCTGTATGTTCAAATATATTTATTTGTTTAACTGTATTTGTAACCCCAAAATCAATACTCAGAGCACCTTCATGGTCATTCACATATATATGCAGAGTGGCAAAAAAAAATTGAGTCACTCAATGTGCATATTCCCAGCTGAGGTCGAACAAGGTGACACGCTGCCTTCTGGGTCTTGTATTTCCCTTAAGATCAGTGATTCGGTATTTGCTAATTCAGAGCTCAAAGCAACTTTATAGAGCATAATTATCACGAATAACAAAAACTGACTGCGTTTTAAACAATCAGTGTAATTCTCTTAATATAGACATACAAAGTTTCTCAGTATAGAGTATATGAAACAGAAAAGCCAGTCACTCTTTCTTAAACCAACCTACTCGTCATGGTTATTGTTCTTCTTCATGACCAAAATTTTGCCTCATTCTCGCCTTCTCTTCCTCTCTCTCTCTCTTTTTTTTTAGTTTTCCAAAACCAGCTTCATTTGTTCTTTTCATGAGCTGCTCTAACTGATATTATCCCTGCTAGTGTGGGGGATGCACAAGAAAGTATGTCAGTTTAGAAGGAGATTTGTATCAGAAAACCATCTTTTAACAATCAACTCCCATAAGACAACATTACTGTCCATTAATATTATTTACCTGACAAAAATATTAGCCACGAGCTACCTTAGTAACAATATGAAACGTAGGTAAAATTTTCATTAGAAAATTTTTGTCTAATATTTCAGACAGTGATATATCATCATGACTCATTTCTCACTTAAAAAGGAAGTCAGTAAAATTCTACAGTATAAACTTAACATTCAAAAGTAAGTCCTAGTGAACACCTTTCTTCTTAGTAGACATATATATAGTTCTAGTATATGTAGATGATAGATTTTTTTATTGTTACTTTCCCCTTTAGTTAATATACATTACCAGTTCTGTGTGAGGCTTTAGATTAAGACTATATTTCCCCAAAACTTACATTTTAAATACTTCCTTTGTTCAAATATAGATAAAATAAAAAGCCCAATGTACCTTGTTTTCCCAAAAATAAGACCCTGTCTTATATTTTTTTGAACCCTGAAATAAGCGCTTGGCCTTATTGCCATGCACTCAAAAGCCCTATTGGGCTTATTATCAGGGGATGTCTTATTTTGGGGGAAACAGGGTAGTTGGAGGGCATCCAGCAGGGGCAAATTGTACTTAATTGCAGATGTGTGCCTTTCCCTCTGGTGATCAAATTTTCATCTCCATGTTTTAATCAATCAACCAAGACTACAATTCACTGCATACTGACCATATGATACAGATAGAAGAGAATTTTTGTGGTCCAGGGTTGAAAAGTTGAGTCCTTAGTACTTTCTGAGCTTGACTGTTTTCTTGCAGATGTTTCATTACCAATTAGGTAACATCATCAGTGCTACTCCTAGTCCATCCTAGCACTGATGATGTTACCTTGTTTAGTAATGAAACATCTACAAGAAAGCAACCAAGCTCAGAGAACACCAAGGACCCCATGACCATATAATGATAAGACTTATTTCTGGATAGTAGATGCCTAATAACATGTGCATGGTGCCTTTAATTGTGTGTTTTGCCTACAAACTCACCCTGGAAATACACTAATATCAATTTCTCTGGAGTAAATCCTCTTGAAGTCATTAGGATTATTTTCCAAAGTGCCCTAAAATTGATGTAGCTTTTTCTTAAAGGCAGAACAGCTCAAAGTCCAGCTACGCTTGGCAGAAGATACCTATGCAGATGTTCACAAAGAACTCACTGAGCTTCACCAGAGACTGCAGGAGTCAGAAGAGGCTTGTGATCAGCGACAAAAAGAGCTACTGGAATTTCACAGGGCTGTAGCAGATGAGAGCAGAGAAAAGGAAGCACTTCAGAAATCCAATGCTGACCTCAGAGCCACTGTCAAAAAAACAGAGAATGAGAAGCTCAGGTCAGCAGACTTGGCACAGTGTCAGGCTGGGAGAAGAAGCTTATACACATTGATGGAACAGACATAGTGTTTTTAGAGATGACTGATAATAAACACTTAACCTCTTGTAGACTGCAGAGAATCAAGGAAGAACGAGAACAGAAGATTGCCATTCTGGAAGAAGCAAAAGCTGCAGTTGAGGTAGAAGTGGGAGAGCTCCGAGTAAATCTACGGGAAGTAGAGAAGGCACACATGGAAGCCAGAAGAGAGCTTCAGGAGCTGCGCAGAGAGGTAGCTTACAAACAGACTTTCTCGTTGTTCAATTCAGATCCAAGAATGTAACAGGTTAATGGAGAGAAACACTTGACATGATCAATGGAGGCTAGGAAGGATGTATGCAAGATCATTTGACATTACTGTTAACTCCTGAGATTGATACCTAAGTAAACTGAACTATAGCAAATGTAGTAGAACCATCCCAAATGTAATTGCTATTATTGAAAATCAAATGGAAAGTATCCTGATATCACTTCTGCATGTAATGACTCTCTCTTCAATTATGATGTAGTTTTGTCCCTAGAACCTCTTTTTCAGGCCTTCTTGATATCATGATGCATATACAACAAATAGACAGCATGTTCTTGCTGAAGAATCTGTTAAGTTTTCTATTAGGCTTCCTATGATTGGAGTGTGATACAGTCAGTCATGGCAGTTAGAAGCAGTTGCCAATTATGGCAATACTTCTTTTATGCAGAAGAGTCCACATGTAAGTTGGGAATTTCGGTCACATATTCTGTATTGAAGAATAGCTACATTCAAATTCTTCCTGCACAGGTAAAGTCCCTGGAGAGCAAGAACAGTAAGAAAACTCAGGAAGTTGCTGAATTACAACATCAGTTGCTGCAAAAAGAACAACAGGAACAGCAGAACAGCAAAGAGGTCCTGGATCTTAAACAGAAGATATCTACTCTGGAGATAGGCCATGATTCTGCTCACAAGGAGGTAACAATGGGATAATAGCAAAGAGTGGTTATTTAATGGAAGAAGAATTGAAGAGTAAGTTGTGACAGTGAAAGAAGGCAGCATTTTGTGGAAGAATGCAATGGAGATAAGATGTGGGATAAACTGCATATTTAATGGGATTAGGATGTAATTGTGAAGACCAACACATGTATAGCAATATAGTATTTTTATGTGTAGTGAAGGTGAAGTGTCCTTTTGAGTTGAGATTGACTTGGTGACTTATAGAAAAACAGAAACATAGAAAACTGATGGCAGAAAAAGACCTATGGCCCATCCATGCAATTTTCTTAGCAATAGTATATGCCAAGAAATAATCTGTCACTAATTTTCCCCCCATTTCCCTATCTATACTACTGCTCTGCAATTTTCTGGAATCTCTCCTCTGTGTATACATTGCCATCATGTCTTTGTTTCCTTCCAGGTGTTGAACTTGCAGAAGAAGCTGTCTTCTGCAGAGGTAAAGTCCCAACTTCAAGAGCAGGATTTAAAGCACAGCCTTGCAGAGAGTTGCATCAAGGAGAAGAAGTGGAAGGATGAACTCCATAGCCTGGAAGTGAAGCTTCAGGAAGCAAGCAGGGCAAACGAGAGTCTCCAGCTGCGCCTCAGCACCTGTGAGGGATGCATCCATGGCTTAGAAACAGAACTAGCCAAAACTGAAGCAGCCAAGAGGGAGGTTGAATTGAAGTTAGTGGCACTCCACTCCACTCTCCGTCGCACACTGGGACTTGGCAGCAGGAGTCCATCTCCCCAACGATCCTCGTCTCCAGTCAAAGGTTATTTTTAAAATTCTTCTCACTGCTATGGGCTAAATTAGATTCGCCACTCAAAACCTGTTGGAGTGGGCAGCTATAATAGATTCATAAATTTAATGAAATAAACAAGCAAACAACTGGAAAATTGTTATATTTTGATTCTGGAGAATGAAACATTCTAGGGGCCAGTCTTTATATTGTATAATATCATAGCTTTAAAATACGATTTACTGAATAAATCCATAGTTGATTTATGGCACTAATCCATAAATTATGATTTACAAACTACAAAGGCAGAATTTGAAAAATATACCAATCAAAACTATGTATTTAATAGCTACTTATCTCATATACCTTAACCAAAAAGAAACATCATAGCTAAGAGGCAGTTTGAAAGCTTTGTGGACAGTGGTGATATAGCCATCTGAAAAGATGTAGGTACATAGCTAATTATGGTTACATCCTCTCCTTAGGCAAGAGAAAGCCCCTACCAATAAAAAAAATATGATATGTTAGATAACCTTATTAACTAAATGAATGAATAAATCCTAAAACATGTAGTCTGTGAAGTCTTTTCTTCTAGAAATCCATTTCAACCCTGTCTGTTGGCTGAAACCAAGCAAGTATTTGGTTTTTTTATAGGAACACCTGCATCTCGCACTGGATCACCTGAGAGGAGCCGCTCCCGTTCACCATTTCATCAAACTTCTCCCCTCAGGAGTGAACAAACCACAAGTGAAATTGATCCAGAAGTAGTTCGAGATGCTTTGAAGGACTTCCTTCAGGAGCTGCGGGACACCCAAAGAGAGAGGGTAAGCAAGGGCTTCTCTTTCAAATATTTCAGTTACCTCCAGAGATCCAGAATGATATTGAGATTTAGATGGCATAAATTCGTGAACTTTGAAAAACTCATAGCTATGAATTTTATAAAACTATAAGAGCACATTCACTAATTTATCACAATCTGAGTGCAGGACAACTTTATTTTAATAAAGCTAATGCTAAGGAGTTGTGGCAAAATAGCGCCTTTCTTTTTGTGCTTCTGTTCATATTTTACTGTCGATACGAAGAATTTAATATAGATAGCAAACATTAGTCCTCATATCAATTGAAGGACAAGTTAAAAATAAAACTTATAATTAGTTGATTACTAAAAATAGGTTTTAGATTCCATCATCCATTGATTTCCATTAGATTATCCATATTATTTCAAATCTTGGTTCAATTCCTTCATTCATTGGATTTATCCAGACAAAGTGGAATATTCTAAGGTTGAAATTCAATATACAAAAATTGAGACTTGCTTATGGATTTACTGAAATAGTAACATTTAAGTACTAGGAAGTATGCTTAAGACATAACTAGAATAGGTCTGGAATTATGCACCAGAGTCTCTGTTCTGCTTTTCAGCGTATGTACAAATGCATCCCTTAAGCATGTGTTTCTAGGCATCCACTTGAAATAATATGCCATGCTTTTTTTCAGCATCCTGTTAGCTTTAAGGGCGTTTACTAGAAATTATTATCAAAGTTTCAGCGTGATTATTTGAATGCCTGGAGAGCATTATGCACATAAATCTACCTAATCATTCTGGATCAAAGCCAATAATGGCTTAAAATATGTTACAAATAAATTAGTCCATTTCTTTTACTCACAGAAAAAAGGTTTTATTTTATATAATGTTATGTTTTAGCAGTGATAACTTCCATCATTGTTGTCATCGTCATCATCAACATTTATAGAGCATCAAATCCTTAAGGATTTTTGATGATGTACAGATAAGATATATAAGAAATAACAAACAAACATGCAATAAAAAGACAATATAAATAAAAAGTACAATACTACTGGAAAATTAGTAATTATATTAAATGAATTAAACTAAACTAAATAAACCAAGAAACGAATCTGAGGAGCTTCTGGAAGGTAAGCAGAGTGGAAGCCAACCAGATTTCCATTGAGACACCATTCCAAACAGCTGGTGCAACCATAAAAAATAGCATAATCATGTTTTGCCACTTTCACTTCCTTAAATTCCATAACTACTGTAGTAGTTTTTTCTGGTAAATCAAGCTGGCCAGGCCCATTCCAGTGAGAGAATGCAGTTCTGCAAATAACTAGGCACCAAATTATGGATTAATACCACGACTTTAAATTGCATCCAGACACCTCGTAGAACCAGTGCAGGGCTTGCAATGAGTTGCTCCCATCAGCAAACAATGTCCAGTTGTAGGCCACTTTCCACTACACCAACTACAGTTTCTGAGTGATCTTCAAGACAGCCCTATGTAGAGCACGTTGTTATAAACTAAGCAGGTGGTGATAAGAATCTAAGTCACTGCAGCATGATCCCCCTCCACTCCATGAAAGGTTATAACTGGCTTACTAGCCAAAGCTAGGAAAAGTCTTCCCACCTCACCCCCACCCCCAGCAGTCACATTCTCAATTTGCTATTCCTGAAGAATCCCCGGTCATGAACCTGTACCTTCAGAAATAGTACCTTCCCATCAAGTGACACCACTGGAGCAGACAGAAAACCCCATGGAGAAACAGTAATTCCATTTTTTAAAAATTCAGTTTAAGTCTATTCTCCCCCACCCATCTTTCAGGGACTGAGGCTTCAGTGATATCACCAGCCTGGGGTAGCAATGTAGAGCTGGGTATTATAAACATAATGATATTGCAAAACTGCCAGCTAGGCTGGCAGGAGGGATCAAGTGAGGGCCTAACTTATTGCCTAGTTGTGAGTTGTTGTGTAGCCACAAACAGCATAAACATCACCTCCCTCCAAATCCATAAAGCCTTATCTGGTCAGTTTCAGAGAAGGCAAGCAATCTGGGGAGATTCTTATGGCACTGTATTGCAATGCAAGCGATGAACAATACATTTCCAGCCTGAGGTTATTTATGAGTGTTCTGGTTGCTTGCACCTGACATTTGATGACACCAATCCCCAAAAACTCTTGATGATCTTGCCTGGTGCCTTCATGTACCAGTAAATGTTAAATAGCAGAGGGAAAGAACTGACCCTTGTAGCACTCCACAAGGGATTAAGCACGATCTCTCCTGTCCCACTAGCACCAACTGGAATTGTTGATAAAGAAAGTAGAGGAACCAGTGCAATACAGCGCCATTTATATAAATGACATAAAATAATTTATAAGCATAAGATCATGTTATGAACTAGAAGTAAATAACAAGCTGTAAAAAGAGCACTGTTGCTAGGTACAAAATGTTACTTTTGGGAATAAAAGACTTTTGTTCCAATTCCACCTCTGCTACGGTTGGGTTGATATATCACATGATACTAGAGATATTAGAGATTTTGTTTGTTTTGGTTTAGTATGTAGTATGCATCTTTCCACTATAGCTAGGGTTTTTTTTTCAGCAAATAGTTTATGAAGGCATATTGTTTCTTAAAAATTGCATCTGCAGTTTTGTGAACCAGAGAGGGATATACAAAATTCCTTCCAGTTCATTTACCTAGAACTGAAAATCATCTAGCTATTCTAACTCCATTTTTCAGGGATCATATGAGCCAATTTAACTTATTGTGACCCCAAGTTGACTCCCAAGACATATGTTTAGCAACATTCAAGGGCAGTTCAGCCCTGTCTCTGTCATGTGCTATTTATTGCTCAAAAGCATGCCTTTTGTAAAAATGAATAAATATTTATACTGTACCAGAATAATTAAAAAAACATGGCTTGTCACAATAATCATAGCATCAGATCATCCAACAGCCTTTCTGACAAATGAAGAAATCAGTTAATTCTGGGCTACATCACATTTAAAACATTCCTTCCTTTGTTGTCCTGTCCACCAAAATCCTGGAATTTATTGTTAACTTGTGTAAACGAGAAAGGAAAAAAAAAAAAGGAAAAAGTATCTACAAACAATAACAACATATTTCAGTTAACACTTTATCAGCTACAAGAAATTCAGTGTTCTTAATTTTACCAGTACAGTCCTGATGCTTATTTACATATTTAGTTGTAAAGAAAGCTATGTAGCCTCAAAACTGAAGGTATTTTGATTGACTGAAAATATGTTAGTAATAATTGTTTCCAAGGCCTCTGGCCTTGTCTTCAAGGAAGAAGATTCAGAGCAGGATTTGATTTGTATAGTGAGAGTTTTTTGATAATACATAGATTGAAATTGAGATATACTATCATTTTCCAGTGCCCATGAAAACAGACCCTTTTGGGCAGGGTTATGCAATGATGGAGGATGGTAGATACCAACCTTCACATTGAGGAAAATAGGATAAAACCTGAATTTAATTTAAATGTAATTAAATGTAATCAATTAAACAGTTAATATTTCTCCATGCCTCTGCAGATCCCCCTCTTTTTATCACTTCCAAATCCAAGGCATTTTGGCTAAGCAAACATTGTTGATAAACTGTTTAGTTCTTTGGGGGTAGGCAAGGCCATACTTTCAGAAAGGAAGAATCTGCTGCCAAATTAAGAGTCTGATGTACATACCAGGTAGTCTACTTCTGTCTAAGACTTGAGCGACACTAACATTTCTAAAATATTAAGGTCTATTTTTTTCATACCATACAGTTCAGTAAAATGTCTTCAGTTAAGGGGTGTGGAACATGAAATCAGGTTTTTGTAAGACAAGAAAACTGTTTGAGTTAACTTTAGAGTATGACAATACATATTTAATGCTTATGTATCAAGAGCAATAAAAGTATGAACTAGTTTGGTTGAGAATTATTTCTCTGGGAAATTATTGGCAATATTATGGGTCATGTTATCGATAATAGTCTGATTACCAGTGATCTATCATTTGTTGGAAATGCAGTCACTTTGCTCTAATTTTAAATATTTGTTTTATCTAATGTTGATTTTAGGATATGTATTCTTTGTAGTTGTTTTTCAACTAGTTGTCCATGTTAAAAATTTATCCTTGTGACTTAGTGAAGCAAATTATAGACAGTATAAAATAAAATTTAAAAATACATTTATCCGGAATGAGTTTTATATCTTTCCTGGTGACAAGCCAAGGATATCATGAATATCTCCTATCTCTTGTTTCCAGGATGATCTAAGAATTCAGGTGATGAATATGAGTCATCAGCTGAATGAAATGGAGGCTGACCGCGACCAAACACAAAGCCGTATCCTGCAACTTCAGAAGTATTTAGCAGACTGTGAGGAAGGTCTGTTCTTTTTCTTCTTCTTCTTCTCCTTCTCCTTCTCCTTCTCCTTCTCCTTCTCCTTCTCTTTCTCCTTCTCCTTCTCCTTCTCCTTCTCCTTCTTCTTCTTCTTCTTCTTCTCCTTACTTTATCCCTTCATCCATAAGAATTTCTTCACCTATCTGTTTTCTCACCTCTGGTTCTTGCTTATTTAGCTGGATAAAGACAGTTATCGGACAAATTGTATACAAAGCAAGTGAAACGAATCCCTAAACTTCTTAAAAAGCTGCTTAGGGACTGCTGCTTTAAGCGAAAGACTAGTGATATCAGGGCAGATGTTTGATCTCCACGCCAGATGTTTCTCTGCTCTGAATCTGCTTTTTTCCACATATGGATCAAGATTTTGTGGATTTAGACATTCGTATCTGGACTGAGCAGCAGATTCAGGACATGGAGAGAGGTCAGGAAGAGGATTAAGTTTATCTCTGCTTTAATTGCTTTTCTTCTTAAAATGGTAGCTCAGAAAGGCTGCTTGTCATTTAAAAAGCAAATGCTGGGAATTAGTTACATATATACATATGTAAATCATATCTACTCCTCATGACTGTAACCAAGTGGGCTTTCCTAACAACTTTAAAAACAAAACAAAATCAAATATCACATAGGACCTGTGCTTTTAATATACCAAAAGACTGTAAGCAAATGTCAGGCATTCTAATTCTTTGTCAGCTTTGGAAGCCATTGTTATTAGATGGGAATCGTAATTGTACCACAGTTAGACATGTGAAGCTCCAGCTTAATTTTCTAATGCAGGTAGTTACAACCATTTGTTTAGCGACTATTCAAAGTTGGTGCGGCACTAAAAAAAAAGTGACTTACAACGAGTCCTCACAACCATTGCAGCATCCCGATGCCATGTGATCAACATTCAAGCACTTGGCAACTGACATGTATTTATAATGGTTGCAATGTTCCAGCTATCTGGAAAAGTCGCAAATAGCTATTTGCGACTTTTCCAGATAGCTTTTGATAATCAAAGTCAATGGAGGAAGCCAAATTCACATTCATGTGATTCCTTTAAGAACTGCAGTGATTCACTTAACAGCCATGGTAAAAACTAAAACTGCACAACTCACTTAACAAACACGTGGCTAGCAATGGAAATTCTGGTCCCAATTGTAGTTGTAAGTGGAGGAATATCTGTATAGATGGGCACTGAAAGGTTTAGGACGGGTAGGCAACCTTAAACATTCAAAGAACCACAAAGGTCCTAACCAGAAGCCCCGTTCAATTCTGGAGCCAACCTGAAGTCCAGTTCCCCCACCATAGAGTCTCCTCCTTTTTCCTCTACCTGTCCTAACCGAAAGCCCTATCAACTGTGGAGTCGACGGGGAGCCTCAGCAGAGGGATGAAAGAGCCACATGCGGCTCCAGAGACCCCTGGTTTAGGAAAAGGTAGGGCCATCTGAGGTCTTTTTCATGCACTGCTGCTTTTACCATATAGCCTCATGAATAAATGAATGCTGTATTAACTTGGAGATTCTGCCATTCATGAGAAATGACTAATTATAATTGTTCAGGTATCACAGAAAGCTGCCTATGGTTTCTATAGTGTGTCTTTTTTTCATTAAAAACAACCAAAAGATGTCACCATATTTATTCATCGATGGTCATAACATGATTTCACATGATATGGGTGGCCTTTATTGTCCAGGAGTTTATTGCATTATTTCATATTCTAATTTATCGGGCATGTACCACTACTAGACAACACTGTATAGTGGGTAGGCCATTTGGTGTTCTTTTGATGTTTTGGATTACAACTCCCAGAATCCTTTATCATTAGAATGTTGCTTAATGAGACTGAAGCCCAAAACATCTGAAGGCCACAGGCTTCCCCACTCATACTGCAGAACAGTATTTCTCAACCTCAACACCTTTAAAATGTGTAGACTTCAATCCCAGAATAGCCCAATCACCATTCTGAGAATTCTGGGAGTTGGAATCCATACATCTTAAAGATACTGAGGTTGAAAAACACTAACGTAGAATAAATGATTTTACTGCTTAATGCTTGCATTTTGCAACTTTCTACATTTAGGTAAAAGGGGAACAGATGGCCGTCTGAGCAGTGCGCAAGTAGCACTGATGCTGCAAGAGGAAACTATTCGCAAAACAGAAAAGGAACGTCAAGCATCTGCAGAACAGGTGGTCAACCTGGAACACAACTTACGTATTTGTCAGGATAGGAACAAAGAATTACAGGTGGGCATATTTGCTCTTTCAGTTAGGAAAAACCATAGCCCAACTTCCTTTTCTATGACATTCTGCTTGTTACTCAACAGGCCAGCCAGCTCTTGAAAAGTAAGTAAATATACAAAGAACTTGCAAAAAGAACAAGATTTAAAGAAACCCCCAAAGGTTTAACGACAAAAGGCATTATGAAAAGTTGTTAACACACACAGGATACATTGTGTAGCCAAAGATGCTTTTCTAAAAAATACATATTGTGAAATACAGTAGAATTTACTTCTGAGTAAGTCCACTTCATAATGTGAATAGGAGACTGAAATGGAATGACTAGTACTGAGTTTTGGAAGTAACAGATACTAAAGAATTTTGTAAAAGCTAGTCCACGAGATACATTTTGAAGAATTATCATTGTAAGAACAGTAATATTATCTCTTTGAGGGGGGGGAAATTGTAGAAAAGCAATTACATCCTCATTTCTAATAGAGGATGTATAAATGAATGCAAAAGAATCTCATAGAAGAATTGCTGATTTTACCATTATATCATTTTTTTTATTCAAATTGGCATTCAGTATAACAGTTTGCAAGGAGTTTTATCTAGTATCATCTGCCTTTCTAACACTTTTTATTTTATTTTCATTACTCTAATGCTATCATAAGGCTATTATGTGGTAAGTTTTTATATAAACTGTTTTATTGCCACAGTGATCTTGGCTGTATGGTAAACAAGGATGCTTTTATCTGGAGAAAAAATGTAAAGGTGCAATGAGAAGCTGCCTGAAAGGGGACCACCTTGAATAGTCACTGCCCTTGAGTTTACGACAGTGTTTCTTAACCTGGGGCCCTTTATGATGCTTTGCTGGCTGAGGAATTCTGGGAGTTGAAGTCTGCATATTTTAAAGGGCCCCAGGTTGAGAAACACCTCTTTACTATATTATTCACTATTCATCATGTTCTAATCTATGTAACATTCTTAATTTATAAAAAACAATAATATTGATGTAAATATTTTTTTAAAATATTGCAGTTAATTTATTTCAATTATGATTTATCTATTGCTCATTTTGTTAATTAACATAGAACATCCCCAAACCCTTTCCCCTTTTTCCTGATAAGATTTCTCTTTTTATTACATCTTACATTCTTGTTTTGATCTGATATATACAAACCATTATAATTTTGCTGCCCATATTTTGTTCCCTCTTCATTTATCTAAAATTAAGAGATTATGTAATGCACTGCACACAGTTTTAGTGAAATCTAGGGACAGTGACACACTTGCTTTTCCTTGTACTGTGTAGCCAAACAGAACAGCAACTCATATAACCTTAACCATCAGGAATTATGTCCTTTCTTAATTTCTAATGAATGACTTTTGCTATATTGTTTTTATGGTTTGTAAAGAATCCACAAAGAGAACTTCCTTATTAGGCAGACTAAGAAGCAAAAGTATTTAGCGACGTAAACCATTGCCATATCCAGATTCAGTATGACTAGTCCCAGCAACTTTCTAAAAGTAGAAGCCCTAAGTGGTACCTACTAGGGGCCAAAAAACTCAGAGTGGACAGGTCTGCAGGGCAACAAATCTGCAGCAAGAAGAGAGTCCAAAATTGCTAAGAACCTCCCAAATGCATTAAAAGATTGAGTGGAGAGACTTCTGGCTCTGCTGAGAGAGAGTCCATAAGAATAATATCCATCTGGAGTGGGTAAAGACCAGGTTCTCTGAATTACTGTTCTCATTGTCAGATGAATGGGCATTGCATTAGTCTGCATCAGTGGTGAAATTTTTTTACTACTGGTTCTGTGGGCATGGCTTGGTGGGCATGGTGTGGCTTGGAGGGTGTGGCTTGGTTTGCATGGCAGGGGAAGGATACTGCAAAATCTCCATTCCCATCCCACTCCAGGGGAAGGATACTGCAAAATCCCCATTCCCTCCCCACTCCTGAGGGAAGGATATTGCAAAATCTCCATTCCCACCCCACTCTGGGGCCAGCCAGAGGTGGTATTTGCCGGTTCTCTGAACTGCTCAAAATTTCCGCTACCGGTTCTCCAGAACCTGTCAGAACCTGCTGGATTTCACCCCTGGTCTTCATTCTTTGATTAGCTATTGAATGGTGAAAATTATGCTAGTAGTCAGAAAAATGAGGCTTTAGGTGACATCTGTAATAGCAGTCCTAAATATAAGATGTTCCCATAATTTAATTTGAGGTAGTCATGTGTCTCTTTAGATATGTTTCCCAAGAGGGGAGGCATGGATAGGGCCTTCTCATTTTTACATTTTAGAATTCTACTGTGGTACTTTTGTAGTTAAGATTCTAATGTCACCTGGCTTTGGTGGCTAGTCCACAAAGTTTATCTTCCTCTTAGCTGCTCTTCTCCCAAGCTTGTGGTATTCAAGATGTTTTTACATTATAGGAGAAAGTCAAAGCATTTAAAACCAAGGAAGCCAAACTGGAAACAGAAAAATGGAAGCTAAAAGAAGTTCTAGAAGCAGCAGAGAGCAGGGCCACCAAACTGGAGCTGAGCCACAGAGCAGTGGAAGGAGACTTACAACGAGCACAGATGAGCTTGACTTCAAGGGATGAAGAGATCCAGTCCCTGCTGGAGCAAATCCAGGAAGTTCGATGCCAGTTAGGAGACAGGGAGAACAAAACTGCACTATTGCAGCGAGAGCTTGACCATCTGACTCATTCACTAGCCAGGACTGAAGGCACTGAAAGTCACTTTAAAGATAGGGTACAAACTCTGTCTCAAGCACTCTCCAGTGCTACGGCTGGAACGTCCTCCCTGCAGGAGAACATCTCACAACTCCAAAAGGCCCTGACAGCTGCAGAGCAAGACCGTCGGCTACTCCAGGTAAGAAAACCCAGTTGTTCCAAACAATCGGTCATCTCAATTAAACATCTTACTGTCTAAACTCCAGCAAAATTGTGTTGTGCAAATCAGTCCCATTCCAATACTGGGTATCTGTTACAAGTCCCCTGCTTTCTTTGAAAAAAAAAGCTATGTTCCGAAGTATTTAAAAGAATCAGCTGATATCAGAATCCAAATTCAGTTGGGTAAGCCCCCGCAACATCTCCTACATGTAACACCCCTTCAAAATTTCATTGATATTATGCTCTTTTTTCTCCAATAACCCAAATTCATGTCTTGCTAATGTGCTTTGTCTTAAACCATAAACTGTGATTACTAACTTTTAAAATATCTAGGAAGGTATGTAGTAGAGGACGTACTTTGCATGCATATTGACCCAAATTTAGTTCTTAGCATCTTCTGACACAGCTAATCCCCTGCCTGAAACTTACAGCTGTCATCAGTATAAGCAGTTATGAACTTGATGGGTTAAAGATCTGACTAATTAAAGGCGATTTTGTGTGTTCCTAATCATTTCTGAAAGAATAAGTTCAAAGAAAAAAAACCATACTTTTCATTACTTATTGCAGGACGGTTTGTTCCTTTCCAATGGTCTGAGCTGGGATGGAAGCAATGGAAGGGGCAGGCTGGCTTGCCAGATTATTTTTAATCATAGAAATGGTCACTACTACAAGCATTGTATTATTTAACCAAATGTCCTTGAATTATTCTTTCAGCAGATTTCATTTCTGGTTGAATAACAATAATAATATTTTCCAGGATCGCTTTGATTCCATGCGACAGGCATTGTCAGATAGCAAGAGGCAGAATCATAGCTTGACTAATACTGTGCATTTGCTACAAGATCGGCTGGCTGACATGGAACTACAGTACAGAAATCTGGAGAAGCAGAAGCACCATCTCCACGAAGTAAGTGATGATGAGAGAGGAGGATTAATTTAACAAAACAATCTTATGGCTGCATGTTATCTTGAATCAACTTCAAGCCAAGTGGGACTCCATCCTTAATTGAAGATTATATGGATTATAGTAAGCCAAGTGTCACAGAAAGGCTCCCTTTGAAAAGTGCACGTGCCGTCGTTGTTGAAAAATGGCAGAACCTTTTTCCTTAAAGCTGTGCACTTTTATGAATTATGTTTGTATTTCCGAATTTATTGTGGGCTCTTATTTTCCCTGTTGAAATATTCAGCCAGAGGAAACCTTAACAGTACTTTTAAAAGAAAGAAAGAAACTGCACTCCCCAAATTCTAATATATATTAGAATTATATATCTAACATTTCACTGTATCATACCTTTCTTTACTCTTCATAGTTAACTTCTCCCAGTTCAAAGAGCATCTCCTGCACGGAAAAAATATTTTTTTTCTTAGGTTCTTATCTACGTTTCTTGGCAGAAAAGGCAACTTTAAAACTTTCACAATTTTTTGTCAAGAATTGTGGTATTTCCCATCTTGGAGAAGCAAGACCCAGTTTTATTAGAGGGAGAGGGTTGGCAAAAGAGTTCCACAATTTTCTTTTCTCTGAAGTCAGGGTTTGTCCTGGATATGCTTCTTGTTTTGAATTGTTCAGATAGTAAAGCAAACAGATGTAATCTGCTAATTCTTCATAACAGTTATTAGGTTCTTTTTAAATGCAGTCACTGCATTACAGCATTATTAATAACTAATGCTTTTTATTACCATTATAAAATATACCATAAAATAAACAATATACAAAAGGAAAAGGAAAATTGCACGTAATAATTACTTCTACAGGATTATATGTTTAGTGTCCTAACAAAAGGAAAATGGCTGCTAGAAGTAAGACGGACATCTGCATGTGGCTTACATTTCTGCTGAGGGCATAGTGAACAAACTGACTTGTTCTCTATTATTCATTTTATTCTTAAGCACTATAAGATAGCAGCAAGTAATTTAAAAAACATGATGTTCCTATTTGCATCCCTTATTGACAATATATATCCCTATTGACAAACAATATTGATTGTCATTGGGGTTTGGGGTTTGATTATTTTTCTTTTCTTTCTTTTCTACCTAAATTCTACCTAATTGTCTTTGGCATCATTGTAAGCCACTCAGAGTCTTTTTTGAAACTGAACAGCATATCAATTGCAGGAATAAAAAGATAAAGTTATTATAACATGTGAAACATTTATATTGTTTTAAACAGAAAGATTTTATAAAGAATTTTTTTTTTTTTGCTTATAGGAATAGAATTTCTATTCTTCCTGGGAAATGAAAATATTTGCAATCGTTGTTTTGCAATTCCTCTCAGATAATTTTGCTATACATAGATGATTACTGCTCTGATGTTCTTTGAATGTAATCCAAATAATGCACACAGTATTCTTCCTTAAAGTGAAGTTTCAGATTTCCCTTACATATGTACATCTTTAGGTTATCTGCTTTCCTTATCTGTCCGGAGAAGTAACTTAAATACAGCATCAAGGCACTGGTTCAAATTCGCAAAACTCATTTGTCACACATATGTTTGATATCAGCAGAGGCACTCTTGGATTAGCCTAATTAGCACTAGCAATGGAAATGCATAATCCAAACCATCCGGTAGAACCTTCCAGTGAAATTAATGTGAGCCTCTTCTAAGTGACCTTTGTACATTCCACATATAGCTCTCAAAAAAAGGTTATATCTACCATCATTCTCGTCCCATTTGCTACTCTAATGCCAATAAATCTGTGCAACAAATAGCATTTCCTCATTTTTTTTTAACTAGGTAAAGATTGTTTGAATATATAACTGTCTGCAGGAGTAATTGCAAGGTACAGTAAGACGTCAGGAATTATGTGTAATTGGATATCAGATTTTCACTGTGAATTTTCTCAGTTATATAGAGAAGCAGATATTAGTATGTAGCTCTTATTCACATTTCTGGTCATCTGAACTAGAATTGATGTGGAATTATGGTCAGCAACCTGTTCAGAGACACATGTTGGCTGTCCTTGATGTAAATCGTGATGTGAATGATTTCCTTCATTGTAGCTCTGTTTTTGACTTTGTGACAAATCATGCTAGGCAATGCATTGTTTATACAACATACTAAGATAAAACCAAACCTATCATCTAGCATGATGTATGGATGCAGACCCTGATACATTTATATAAACCATCATACATGGCTACACAAATACACCATCTCGAGGTGATGATACCTCACTCTGAAACGAATGCACAAACAAACAAAAAATCAAATGGAACAAATCCAGAGACACTGTTTGACTCTGCAAAAGGAAAATGTTAGGCATGCCACTTTCATTCAATTGTCTATTCACATCAGACTCTAGAGCCAGCCCTGTTCTAATCCTCTGTTCATAACTGCTAGTAGTTTTTATTCTAATAGAAAAGAATGTAACTCGTTATTTCACAGTTGATTTCTTCATGCTCTCTGAGCTAGGTTGTTTTCTTACAGACTCAACTGGTTACCATCATCAGTGTGGGAGCAATGGGGCTTTCTGGTTGTTTATATATAGTATATTACAGGGGTGGTTCTACTTACCTTTACTACAGGTTTGCCTTGCGCCCGCATGCTCTTCTGCGCATGCGCAGATCACCTATGATGATGTCCGGGTCAGTGGGCAGAACCTCCCGTCGATTTTTCTACCGGTTCTTGCGAACCGGTCTGAACAGGGAGCAACCCACCACTGGTATATTAGCTTGCCCTGCCACTCTTGGTTGGAATGTGGCTTCCTCCTTTATAGTTCCTTGTTAATGGTAATGTTTCTTTCCTATATCTGGTACTTCATGCTTATCTGCAGTGTTGGCTGCTGTTGGGGATATGTTCTAGGCCAGTGATGGCAAACCTTTTAGAGATCGAGTGCCCAAACTGCTACCCAAAACCCACTTATTTATCACAAAGGGTGATAAATAGAATCTAGGCTGTTTATTTCTTTCTTAGGCTTTGGATTGTGTCTTTTAATTTAAATGATATGTAAATAGCATTCATTTTACATGTGTATTGATGGCTGAGTTATCTGAATGCCAAGCTTCCAGGAAATCCTTAGCATTTTTGGATTTGGTTTGGTTTGATAGTTTTCTAGTTGAAACTATGGTTAAGCCTGACCATGTGTTGCAAGATTAAGGAGCTTTCATCTTGTCATCTAACCACCATTATACGGTGTTCATTATATGGCCTTTCAGTCTTCTACCTGTCCATTCTATGTAGTGGCTGTTATCATTCTTACCCTATACCTTATAGATATCTTTTGAGACTTTAGACTGAGAGGACACTAAAGGAAGCAGTGTTCAGACCTGGTTATCATTCTGAGACAGCAATAGCTGCACTTACTGAGGGATCAGAATAGTGGCAGGTGCGTTCATTTTGTCTCTTCTTTACATATCACAGCCTTTGATGCCAATAACTGTATTATCCTTCTGGACTAGTTTAGGGAGATGACTATGGGAGGCACAGTGTTGCAATGTTTTTCTCCTACCTCCAGCATTGGTTCCTTGTTGGTTGTGATAGAGAAGAACAGCCCTGAACATGTAAGATCTGTGGAATTCCATAGGGTTCTATTGTCTTTCCAGTTTTTTAAAAATATCTACTTGACACTGCTAGGTGAAATTATATGAAGGTAAAGGGTTAGGTAGCACTATACGCTAATGACATTTAATTCTACATCTCTGCCTCAGGCCTACCAAGTAATATTATCAAGGTGTGTTTTAGTGCCTGAAGAATAGGGTGTGGATTGGGAGGAACAGGCTCAGTTTCATCACTGGCATTTGAGTAGCTGTAAATTTTGGGACTATTCACAGGCAGGGATTTATTTTTGCCATAGAATGGATTAGCCTTTCTCTAGGAGGTATAGCTGGTGTGCAGTCTGAGATTTTTCTAGACTCCTGATTCCTGCTTGAGAAGCAGGTGGTACTATGGTTAGAAGGGCCTTTCCATACCTCCATCTTGTGTGCCAATTGTGCCCATTAGTGAACCAAGAGATCCTGCACTTTGGTTGCCTACAATGTGAATGACTGTTATCTGTTCTACATAGGGTTACCTTTGAACACCACTTGGAAGTTGCAGCTGGTCCGGAATGCAGTGATGTATTTTATTTTATTTCATTTCATTATTATTTTATTATTTCATTAAACAAATAGCTGCCAAACTCACATACAATGACTCTGACAGTTTGCAATACTAAATCAAACCATGTAACACCCCTATTCTGCACACTGCACATGCTGAATTCCGAGTGTGACTGAAAGTACTGCTCATCATCTATAAAACCCTTCATAGCATAAAGCCAAGTTATCTGTGGGATCACCTGTCTCTAATTACGTCTTCAATGACTGACCAGGTTGACAGTACTTGTTTGATGGGATTGTTACTATTTTGACTTATTTTTTTTAAAATGTAGGACTCCCTTTCGTGTCCCTTTCAGAAGGAGGAAATCCCTCTCCCATTTTGCAGCTGTTCTTACATTCTCTGGGTCCAAAGAATAAATTTTAAAGAACATGAATGCAAATTCTGGTTGACTACTTTTTAACCAATGGTCCAATTTCACATGCTAAGCCAAAATAAAGTTAGAGTGCCATGCAGAGCAAGTCATAGATATTCCTTATGACTATGCTTCATATCTGCGTAATTTTTTTAAAAAAAAACTGATTAATTTCTTTTGTCATATGTGCTAATTTAAGGCTTTTGGGCTTAATTTTTTCTTTAAAATTTTGAACTAGAAGTTCTTGTGATTTTTTCCTTTGCTCTACGTGTAAGATTTTTATTTAAAAAATCCTGAACTGCCTCTGTAGCCATGATTATTCTATTTCTAGCTGTTGTGAGTATCCCCAGAAAGGGTTAAAAAATGTTATTGCCAGGTCCCTCCAGAAGTGATAGAAAGGGTCAGGCCAAACATTTGTTGGAAATTATTTATTGTTCTTAGTAGATTTTTCTAGCTGGAGAATTGAAGAGGGTGACGAATGTGCTATTTTTCTGTTATGGCAAAATAATGTTACAAGCATTTGTCTCTGCAAGCATAAAATAGCCATATGTATAGTGCCCCAGAATTCCCCCATGCAAAACCTCTTTCCCTGGGCTGAAGAAAGGGTAGATTCTGGTTAATGAGTTCCAGAACATCAGGCCAGCGAAGGTAATTCATATCAACCTCATAAAACTCTTTATTGATGTCTCCAGAGGGGAAATCCGGATGTGACCATTTATTTATTCTGGATTTTGGCCATGTATTTATTCTGGATTTTACCTCTCTCTCCTCTATTTAACATTTTCTTCTAGTGAGTCTTAAAGGGACAGAAGATCCCTTCCTCCAAGCTGTTATTTGGAAGTTTTTTCATCTTCCATAGCAGCATATTCATTAACTCTTGCAACCCTCAGCCAATTCAATTCTTTCCCTCTGTGCTTCTTTCAGTTTGGGAAATATATTTTGCAACATTGGGAGGGGTGTTCCCCCCCCACCTTTGGATCATGGTCTCTGTATTGTTCAGAATGATTGAACTAATGCAAAAATAAGGCTTGAGGTAGGATGTCAAGATACTTTTCCATTATAATGGGGTTATCTGTACTGGTAGATGTATGGTTACCTCTTATGTGATTTATTAGAGCAAAATACAGCTATTAAATTATTGCAAAGAGATATAAAAAAACTTCTCTTTTCTGCAATACTCTGAAGTTTGGAAGCCCTCATACAATTGTTCTACGTTTACTACATTTACGAAACAGATATGAATCCAGATTTAAGGGATGCATCATACAGAAAGACAAGGCCTTGTTCCAAAATTTTCCTTTTTTCTCTTTAAGAAAAGTAAGCTTATGTATTAGCTGTATGGCTTATGGTAAGTCAATCCCTAGGCTAAACAATAAAGCCATATCCAACAGAGAAGAGTCAAAATCCCCACTTAAGTTTAAAATGAAATAAAGCAATAGACCTGGCTACTAGCATTAATCAGACAAAAACACTTAGGAATGTTATGGATTCTGATAAAGCAGTTCCATGAGATGCTGCAATGGGATCTGCCAGCCTCCTAAAGATAAAACAAGTTCATCAAACATGTGTCCAAGAGCAGCATCCAAGAAAAAAAAAAAATCAGCCAATTTTGATAGCCAGATCAGATGTCTTCTAGGGGATTTCTACTGTGTGTTTTTAGCATGATGCTGAGTAATATGAAAATCAAATGAGGATATAGATTCATATAGAACACATCAACTCCACTTGCCAACATTCAAATAAACAAGGATCAACACCAGACAAACAGACAGAAAATAATACCTAATTAAGAAGCCATCAGGAAAGAAGCTTCACCAATACCAAAACTGGCAGGGCAAGCTACTATATATAAACAGGCAGCGAGCCCCACACTCACACTGATGGTGTTACCTAGTTGGGTAATGAAATATCTATAAGCAAACAACCAAGCTCAGGGACTACTAAGAACTCCATCGTAACTGAATCTGAATTATCTTTCTCATCCATGCAGCAATATCCACAGAGAGGGTCAAAACAGGAAAGGTGTCAATTGTGGCATTGTGATTGAATCCCTGCCCATTTATTTGTAGATGTAATGTTGATAAATGTATTAGAGGAACCATGCTTCTTAATGATGTCATGACCACCATCTTGCCTATTTTGACAGCACCAGCAAATATTATCCCTTTTCCCTGCTTCTCCTGACCATTGAACACAAAACATCCATACTTCTTACATGTGATCCTGTTCAATGTTCCTCTTTGTACCTTAAATGCTCATTCCACTATCATACTTGCATCAAACATTCTCCTAATTTGCAGTGCAAGAAAGATGAGAAGGGAGAACAGAACCAATTATGACCATTAAGAACCTTATGGAAAACAATTGTTGTATACTAGAGACTATATTATTAAAACAGAAACAAGCAAAATGGAATTAAATGTGTATGATCAATGTGTATGATTCTAGTGCCAAAATAAATCTAAAGTATATGAAAGCAACACATGGTTGAGTACAGATATTGGGTTCGATTGGCTTGGTTCACACCAATGTTAAGCCACAAATTATGGTTCATAAACAGTACCTCAAAATTATGTTCACAGATTGTACCAAGCAAGAACCAAATAATTCCTAACTTAACATTATCTTTAAATAAGGGATTTTGGTGTCCTTTTTGTAGGCAGAGCGTGAGAAATTTGGGAAAGAAGATGATACTTTTAGACTCAGTCAGATGAGAGGACAGCTGGATCGATCTGTGAGTAGCCTACAGCAGGAGATGGAAGACATCATGATGCAAAATGAACACCTGCAGGTTTGTTGGACTTATTGAACGTGAAGGTTTCTAGACAGATTAATTATTCATGAAGTAGTGCTACAGAGAGCTTTGTAAAATAAAAACATTATGTGTACTTCTGCATTCTTATTTGCTAGTCTGAGAAACATAGCTTGTTCTAACAGCCCATTCACCCTTTAGCTGGTATGTTGATGAACAGCATAATTTACTTTTTATCACCTCTTCACAGTTGCTTCAAGCACAATAATTTGAGGAGAAAGCAGCCAAGGCTCATACCTAACACTCAATTTCTTTAAAAGGTCATGGATCATATTCTACTGCAGAAGAGAATAAATAATTTCTCTAATTATTATAAACTAAGTTATAAAGACAGGGTGAAATGAAATTCATGAGCAACTGGCAAGCAAAGAATTGTCTGCGTGCTTTGGGGGATGTTTGGTGGAGATTAATATTCATTCTGGTGAATTATATTGAATGGCAAGAGGAAACCAGCTAAACAAGTTCCAGTTATACTTTTTTCTTGTCTATTTTCCATTTGTTCTCCAAATGCACTAAAATCTGACATGGAGACACAGATTAAAAAATCCAGCCCATGTAGATAACTGAGAGAAGAAAATATAACACTTATTAATGTAGGTCATCTTCTGCCATGAGAGACCAGTTTAGGCTCAGGGTGAACATGCCCTGTCCCTTACCTGCTGCCTGCAAAAAAGAAAGAAAAATCACTTTAAGAAAACAGGAGAAGAATCAGAAAAAGAAAGAAAAGGTATTATCAGAGACAAAAAGATCCCACCCACCACTTGCTTTCAGGTCAGACTATCATGTTAACAGAGTACAGATAGTCCTCAACTTACAGCACTTCATTTAGTGACCGTTCAAGGTTACAATGGCACTGAAAAAGTGACTTATGACCGTTTTTCATACTTACAACATTGCAGTATCCCCAGTCACATGATCAAAATCCAGATGCTTGGCAACTGGTTCATATTTATGACAGTTGCAGTGTCCCAAGGTCAGAGGTTTGTAACCTTCTGACAAGCAAAGTCAATGGGGATGCCAGGAACTGTGTTACTAACTTAACTGCAGTGATTCACATAACAACTGTGGCAACAAAAGTCGTAAAATGGGGCAAAATTCACTTAAGAAATGTCTCGCATAACAAGAGACGTTTTGGGTTCAATTGTTCACTGTAAATCAAGGACTACCTGTACTTTGTGGCGCAGTGGTTAGAATGCAGTATTGCAGCCAAACTCTGCCCGAAGACTGGAATTCGATCCGGACAGACTCAAGGTTGATTCAGCCTTCCATCCTTCCAAGGTCAGTAAAATGAGGATCTGGATTGTTGGGGGCAATATGCTGACATTGTAAGCAGCCCAGAGATTGCTGTAAAGCACTGAGAAGTGGTATATAAGTCTAAGTGCTATTGCTATTGCTACCTATGAAGACATGCGATCTTCAACAACAAAGCAAAAACATTGCTAACCCCTGAAGTTATGAAGCTCTGGAAGCCAACTTTACCAACACGTTCAACATCACAGCCCCATGAAGCTACGCTGTATTTTTATGCACTCTTCTAGGTCCAGATTGCAGAGCTGGAACAAACACATGCCCAGCGACTGATGGAACTGACATTACAACATCAGCTAGACATGGAGCTAGAAGCAGAAAGACTACGCAGTGCTCAGCTCCAAGCTGAACGGACATTGCAATCCCAGGAAAGAACCCATCGGCAAAGGGTGAAAAATTTGGAAGAACAGGTACAATATAGGTGTAGACTGAGTAGTTTTTCTTAATCCTATTCTGTTGATGTCTAAAATCTGTAAATAGAATACTGACATGCACACTGAAAGGTTTATATAAACTTCCCATGTTTCTATGAGTTGGGATAGTGGTTGAAAGAATGAAAAAAATCCCGAGGATTTGGTTTGTTTAAAGGCAAGTGAAGACATCAAGAAAAAAAAAATTGTTGTTTTTTCCAAATTCCTCTGTGAATGAATATCAGTCCAAATATTTTAAAGCAGGGCAGGAAAAAAATCATTTTGTCCATTGGATTTTCTAGATGAATTTATTTATTTATTTATTTATTTATTCGAATTTCTATACCGCCCTTCTCCTTTCGGACTCAGGGCGGTGAACAGCCAGATAAAAAACATCTATACAAACATCACAGTTAAAAAATAAAGTTAAAATAATTTATAAATTTGGCCCATAATTTAAAACTTGTCAATTAAAATAAATATTAAAATTTTAAAACTAACCCTAAAATCAGGACAGACCGGCTAACTGAAAAAAATAAAGTTTTTAGGGCCCAACGAAAAATCCGGAGGTCGGAGATCACTCGTATCTCTGGGCGTAGATTGTTCCATAGGGTAGGTGCCACCACAGAGAAGGCTCTCCTCCTGGGGGTCGTCAGCTGGCATTGTCTGGCCGATGGCACCCTGAGGAGGCCCTCTCTGTGGGAGCGAACCGGCCGGTGGGAGGCTATTGGTGGCAGAAGGCAGTCCCGTAAGTACCCTGGCCCTAAACCATGGAGCGCTTTAAAGGTGATTACCAACACCTTGAAGCGCACCCGGAAGTCCACCGGAAGCCAATGCAGCTCGCGCAGGAGAGGAGTCACATGGGAGTGCCCCGTCGCTCCCATAATCCCCCGCGTAGCTGCATTCTGCACCAGTTGGAGCCTCCGGATGTACCCCAAGGGGAGCCCCATGTAGAGAGCGTTACAATAGTCCAGACGAGAAGTGTCTTACAATAGGAACTGTAACTGTACTTGATATGATTCTGTTTTGTGATCCTAAACCAGAAGCATCAATGTACTGGCATTCAGAAGGTTTGTGAGTATTTTAATATTCACAATACTTGAGCCATTTCCCAAAGAGAGAAAAGAGCATACATTCAGATCTGGATTTACTCTAGTACAATGTGGATACTAGAGTAAATTCAGATCTGAATGTATGCTCTTTTTTTAGCTTGATCATACAGTATTTGATCAGCACTGCCTCCTAATCATAATTCAAGATAATTATCAACAAGAGGGAATAAAATAGAAGAATCTTTCACAACAGTGTAAATACTTATAAACAATTTACTATAATTTCCTATCTGAAGCTGTTTCATTCGTAAACAAGTTTTTAGAAGTGAAGAAAATGATGGAATGAAGTTGTAGAGAACAATTAAGGGTGTTAATTAAAACAATTGAAGGTAGTGCTTATGCTATCCCTACAACTTTGATTTCAGGAAACTGAATGAATGTGAAGATGAAGCATCAGTTTAGGCCAGTGAGAACTGAATCTAAATCCTCATTATGGTCATGAAGCACACATAGTAATTATGGCCTCATTGCTATGTCTCAGTTTTAATACTTACTGGGCTTGTGAGGTCAAAATCAGAAAACTTTAAGCACTAGAAGAATGTAGCAAGAAGGATGATTTGTCCCAAAAATTCTTTATGCTGCTCTGATGAGCCTGATACTGGTTGCAATTGAAGTCAGAACTCTGAATTAAATTATCTATTTGTATTTATCTTTGCCTATGGTTATGTTTTTGCAGGTGAATTCTCTGAAAGAACAATTGGATCAAGAAGTGAAAAGACGGCAGGTGTACCTGAGCCAGGTGCTTCATACAGTAAAATGAATAAGCATTTTAAACATTGCACCTGGATCTCAGATGGCCCAAAAGCAGATCCATCCTTCAGCATAATCCTTACACTCAAGATTTGGATTCATTCATTTCTTGCATTAGCACACTCAACAGAAGCACAGTCAGAGAAATTGGAGATCCAAGACGAGCAATGCTGGCATGCAGTATTTCCCCACCCAAATAGCACATACTCTGAACACTTGGAAGGCACAGTAAAGATACCAAATAACTAGGCAGCAAACTGCCAAGAGGAAACCCTGCTGTGCGGGCAGCTGTTCTCTTTAAGATGCTTGAAAGCCAGGGCACCAGTGCTTAACTAATTCATTTAGACCATCTGACAGGGAGGGAATTCTCATTTGTTTGGGTCTTGGGGTAGTGTATCCCTGCATGATCTCTTGGAGCTTTCAGTACTGGCTGTACAAACTTTGAAATTCCAGGTGCCTGCGAGGAGCACCCTGCTATTTATATATCTCTGCATTTCCATCAGTTGTCAGATTATTTTTCCCTCCTGCTGGCAAATATTGTTTGATGCACTGTGCAAAATTATAACTTCCTCTTCCTGCATAGTTATACATGCGGCGGCGATTTGATTGCAGTCACTCAGTGTCACTATTAACCTGTGCATCATACGAAATCACAGTTCTGCTGGCACCAAATGTATAACACAGTATAGAGAAATTAGGAAGAATAGTGAAAACAATACCCCAAGAATTGATCAAATCGTTTGCTGTGTGTATGAACAGAGAGCCATTTTCATGGTGGCAGGTGGCTGAGATTAATTCAAACCTAAGTCATTTTATGACATGTTGGACTCCAGATATGTCAAAGTGTTAACATTTGACATCCACCCACTCTGCCAGCTGACAGGGTCCAAGAAATCCCTTCTGGAATCAAACACTGGTTTCCCTGGGAATGACAAGAAGCCATCTTGGAATTGCTGTAAACATCACCTGTTATCATTGTTTCACATTTTTTCCTTATGAATATTTGATTTTCCAAATCTAGTTGGAAAATGCATGTTGCCAGTGAGTAAAATAAAGATGTAAAAACACATTTCCTAAATTGAGGAAAGCAGTTTGCATTATTTTATAGAGAAATGAGGTATACAGTATGTTTCCACTGGTTTGCAATAAGTAGTATTTAAGATGTAGCCCTGAAATATGGACAACTTTTAACAGCAGAAAGTCTTGTGGCAGATTTATTATAGTATAAGCTGTCAAGCCGGCTGAGGATCACTTCATGCATCTGATGATGTGGATGGTAGCCAATAAAACTTTTGTGGCAAAACAATCTGTTTGTCCTTCTGATATCCCCAAATCTCTTTATTAAAGTATTCTTGCTACAACAGTTAAAATAGCCCCCCTAAAACTCCCTATTGCGTTAATCTCTTTCTTGATTAAACACAGCATAAAGGACCCACTGTCCAAATTGAATCCCATACAGTGCGTCATACTTGTATTACAAAGTAAGATCCCAATGTATTCATCTGATATGATTACTAAACAAATAACCTGATACTTCTATAAAAGGGGGCTAAGGATTGCTAAGAATTACTGGAATTCTGAAAATACGCTTCATGGTTCTTTAGAGAAAATCTTTGATGGCTAAAATCTGCTTAAAACTGACTTACCTAATGTTACATGGTGCACATCAAGAACAAGATGATGAAAATTGAAGTCATTTTTATTAATGTTGATTTGTATACATATTGCTTTGACTCCAGAACCTGATACGTACCATGGTATATAAAGGCACCAATGTGCCTGCACATCCTTTCTGCCAAATTTGTGCCTCCTAAATCTCATGTTCAACTTGAAATCTAGCATCTAAAAAGCTTTAAAAGCAGGAAAAGTTAGAGTAGGAGGAATACCACTAGCAGCACAGTTATTTCCACAGATGCCTCTACATTCTAGAGTACAGATTTCAAACTCGGGGTGTCACGTTATTGTCGTGACGTTTCACGATGTTTTTCCCATTCGCAGAGCTGGGGGAGGGGGTCGTGACCTGCATGTGACGCATCCATTCCACAGGCTGCCAATTTGACACCCCTCTAATCTAGAGGGATCCTATTCACTTGAGGCGTAGCTCCTTGCTTTGTTTGAGAGTATGTTCACCTACCTAGAAAAATAGGAAAGATAAACTGGAATGGTAGAGAGTGGGTAGTAGAAGCATTCTAGTGAACTGGTGCTTTTTAATCTATTATATTGTCTGTGACTTCAGTTTTATGACACCATTTTATAGGATTGAATACAATATTTTCTCCTAATTCCTGAGACTCAATATAAAGCAAAAGATGTATATACCCATAAATTTAGACCTACTTCTTTGCTGCTATGAAATCCCAATTCCATTCATTGTTTATGAAATGCAGACATGCATGTGCCCATAATGTGGCTGATTTATTCATTCTTTAAGCTTGTCTAAATCAAGATTAATTTAGCCAACCTCCAAGGAGCACTTTCGGCCATCTCCCATAGATAAGACTTGAGCACTAATGATGCTTCTTTGTTATTTTATAAAATAACATAAATCATTACCTTTAATGCTAGAACACTAAGTGCCAAGCAGCAAGAGGGAGTTTGTTCTATTCCTAATTTCCACCACCTGGTTTTGACCTACAGTACGCATGGGCAAAGAGCTGGGAATCCCAGAAAATAGGTATGCATTGCTAACACAGTCAGTTCCAATGAGGGAAAGTTTCCATGGGTGAATTTAGTTAATCTGATGCTGTTCCTTCTGAGCCCTGCTGTTCTTTTTCTGCTCAGTTTCAGTTCTTTCACAGGAATCTGTTCCTTGGCCTCCATTCAGCACTGAAACAGACCTTGCAATAATTACCACAGCAGATATTTCTACTGCTTTTTCAGTATTGAATACAAGCAGCTTCAAAACAAGGTCCCTGTGGAAAAGAGCTTTATCTTCCAAACACTGAAAGATAAACATTTCCCTTGTAGCTACCAACAAACACTGTAACGTTTTTGTTTTTCAACAAAATGTATCATAGCAGTTGCAATTGTGTGGATGTGTATTTTTTTTAAAAGGTGAAAAAGGATTAAAACAAATATCAGCTTTGCTAAGCCATTTCACACTCGTGTTCGATCATGACCTTCATAACAGGGGTGAAATCCAGCAGGTTCTAACAGGTTCTGGAGAACTGGTAGTGGAAATTTTGAGTAGTTCGGAGAACTGGCAAATACCACCACTGGCTGGTCCCAGAGTGGGGTGGGAATGGAGGTTTTGCAATATCCTTCCTTTGCCACGCCCACCAAGCTACGCCCACAGAACCGGTAGGAAAAAAAGTTGGATTTCACCCCTGCTTTATAGTATAGTTCATAATTCAGACTACTGGAAGTGGAGCTTTCAGAGGAATCTGATTTACTTTACATGAAAGCAAGTCCCATCAAAAAGCAACCAGAGTTACTTGATACAAATCCAACAACCGTTTGTTGAAATTAAAAAATATCTTACAGATATGTTCCTGGAAGCATGTCCCAGTGGATTCATGGGATCTATTTTTGAGACTGTTCCTTTGAAAGCAACAGAACGGGCATACAATTATGTCCTACTTTTAATAATAAACAATGCCCACATTTCAATAGGTTTGTTTCTAGGAAAGTGTATGATTGACATGTTAGTCGTGATCAATTTAACTGACATAGTACAACTCAGCATCTTTTGTTGGGTCATGTAAAACATATTTCATGTGAACTAATCTGTCAATTTACTTGCTTGTTTTAACAAGATAAAAATGCTAGTAATTGCAGATATTATATGAAGTACTAGGGACAACTTTCTTTGCAACCACATGAGTTTCCTATAACTCTGCTTCATAAACACATTTTTTTTTTGCAAACTACAAGAAACACCTATCTCCCCTCCCATCTTTTAAAAGGGAAAACTCTTCAGGGATCTGAAAAACAGTGTATAATGACCAAGGAGCATGGCATGTAGTCATAAGAAGCATGCTATTATTTTGCCACTTTGACTCATAGAACTCACATGTCCAGAGGGGTGGGGATAAAATTATCACCTTTTTCCATGGGGTGAAGGGCTGGGATGAAATGGAATGGTTGGGCATGTTTAAAGGGACATGGGTGTATCCAGCCTCACAAATTTAAAGCAAAGTTGTAAAAGAACCAAAATGTGAGGCCACCAGATATGGGCTCTGTTACTAAAATTCACCAGTGTGATGTGCAAATATGAGGAAGGGTTACGTATAATTCACAGATTATGGATTCCGATTTCTTTGCTGACCTAAGGGAACATTGGGATACAAGCATCAACAAAATCGCTTAGCACCAGTGAGAATGATCTGATTACCTCCTCTGGCATCTTTTCCAACTTGAATATGACAGCAATTTCATGAGGTTTATAACCAAGATAAATGCAGGAAAAGAACAACATGGAGCAAACAGGAAAGGGAGCAAATACTTGTTAACTAAAGAGGCAAGGATTAAAGATTAGTTTGTTCTTTGGAAACAAAGTATGTACTTGCTTAAAGGTCCACTGTTTATTCAGCTAATTCTTGTGCAACTTTGTCAATTAGTTTATAACTTTTATTCCCCTGAGTGGTAAGCTGCATGGGTGGATCTTAATGAGCTTTTGTGTATCCTCTAAAATATGTCCCTAGATAAAGCTGGAATTAAATAGAAATAAGCCTTCCTTTATATGGCAGGATAGCCGAGTGACATACATACATACAGCTCAGCTGTGATTCAATGAGAGGAGATAGTTGCATTTGCAGGATTCAGCTGAATCTGTTCCAGAGCTGTATGAATGACAAACAACATACAATGCCACCACGGTATACAATCATATGTATAAAAAGGAAATGAGATGATCTCATACTCATGGCACTTGTTTCCCAGGAGAGTGAAGCCACAAAGTGGAAATATTAAAACTTGCTTTTTAAGTTAACTTTCACAGCACCACATGTTGGAATGAATATATTGTTTTAATTAATTCAGTTTCCAAGACACTAATGAGAAAAATAATTGTTATATGTACAGTATGTTCTTAGCCACGAACTTCCTATATGCCCTAGAAGATTGTTTTCCAACTTCCATGGGAAGGAATCGCTTCTCAACATGTGAATTGCCAACTTAGCTGTCAAGAAGAAAAATGGTCTAGCTGGCTGTGATGCTTCCTATTAAAATGTCACAGGAAGATGGATAACCTACGTAGTTGTTTATTTGAGAAGCTATATTTGTCCTCATGATCTAATCTGTTGAGAAATGAAGATCATCTCTACACTCTAAAATACTGAGCTGCTTCACACATACCACTAAGCCATGGTTCATTTAACCAAGATTTATTGCATAAAACATACTTGGCTAGGTTTGCACATCACATTAAGCATTAACTGGTTGCTGACAAACCACACAGTCTGGGACTACATGTCTTCCGATTTATAATGATAGATAGATACATAGATAATTGTCTGTTAAGCCCATTAAGCTCTAAGATAATGATTTTCAAACTTTTCCTTCATTACCCCAAATTGGGTTTTTTTACCCAAATGTAGATAAAACACTATAAATCAATGTAAATGCCCTGATTGTGATTGGGTAATGGTTCTTATGTCATGAAAAAAAGGAAAAAAACAATTTTACTCAATTTGGGTAACTTATCCAGGTTTGGGAAGCACTGCTTTAAGGGAATCTGATTTTTTTAAAAAATCATACTACATAATATCATGGTATGTTTGGCTTGGTGAGATATAAAGTATGAAAACGACATTTTAGAATCCAGTCTGGGTCAGTCACTGGGACCAGAGATTTAGTCTTCTGAGCTTTCAGATTCGTGCTGGAGCCCATCCTCAGGGAACTTCTCTCTACTGGAATTCTCTCTACACATTTTGGTAGAGAGAAGTTCCCCAAGGATGGGCTCCAACATGAGGCCAAAAGCTCAGAAGACAAAACTTCTAGTCCTGGTGACCAACCCAGTGTCAGACTTTGATGCTATCTCAAAATAAATGAATTTCCAAACTGCCAATCTTTAAGGAAATCTTTTCTTTATTCGAGCACAGCAACCGGATCATGACTCGATGCGGACAAGACTGACCTTTTGCCCCCAATCCCTCCCTTTCCGATCCCCAATTATCTGCTTCTCATTGGCTATCTTCCAAGTCACTCTCCTGACTTCTTCTCGTCATTTCACAGGAATGCTCCCCCTCCATTTCCACGGTGACCGAGCTTCAAAGGGATTTAGCAGACAAAAGTCCAGGGCTTACCTTGTAATTGCAATTGTACAATCTTCCTTTCTATGTCAGCGGTGAGACGCTGACATCCGGCCCCTCTCCCTTCACTCTCTCCGTGAGGCCTGCGCGAGATAAACAAGTTTAGCACCCTTCCCCATCTGAGGGTGTACCCCACCCCCTCCCGGCTTGTCCGGGTGATCTGCATGGAATTTAGCTATGAGGCGGTCAGCTTGGACGTTTGTGCTCTTCACCCAGGAAGCTTCTGACAAGGGGTAACCCTTCCACTTAATTAAGTACTGGAGGCACCCTCTGTGCCACCTCGAATCGAGAACTTGCTGTACTTCATAGTGGGTCTGGCCTCCAACAATCAAGGGCCCTGGGGGAATCACGTGGCACCGGCCTTAAAGTTGACCCTACCACAGGCTTCAGGAGGCTACTGTGAAAAACGAGGTGTATCCTCCCTAGTAACCGGGGCAACTGCAATTGTACTGTGACCGGGTTGATTATTTTTACTATTGGAAATGGTCCTATCTACCTATCTATTGAACCTGTGTGTATGTGTATTGCTGTCATTAATCTTATTCTGATCTAAATGTGTTCATTGATGTAGCCAAAGGTTTAAGATTTTCCACAAGTACCCTGGAAATTACATTTTTGTAAATATCTTGATTCTTAAGAATTAAATTCACTAAATCTGAAAAGAAAAAATGGTAAGACTGGTTTAAATCTTCAGTGTAGCTCTACTCTTCTAGGGAAGATAAGATAAGATAAGATAATTTTATTTCTAAAAATGGACATTTAAACTATGACAGTTAAACTAGACACAATCAAATTGATGCTTGTCTAGCTAAAGTTCAGTGAAAATCTCATTATTGAGGAGCCTGTTAATTTGTTCAAAAATTTGGTCATCAAATAAGTATATCAAAATTAGTGGGATTATGATAATGACACAAGTCATTATGGATCTAACCTAAGTATTTCCTGGAATTCTATTTGTAAGTTATTCCTTTAGAAGGCTATGCCAGAAACCTCTAACTTAGCTAGAGGCCATGGCCAGAAATACAATGTTCATTTTAGGGGGGGGGATCATTCCTAGCTATATTCATCTTGTCCTTGACAGATGTCAAGGTTTCTAGAGCTGATATGTCTGTTTTAAATGTGGTTGTTGCCATATAAGAATTAATGAAAAGAATGTACATAAGAGTTATCAAAAAGAAAGTAAAATTCTTCTAATACAGTCTTCTAATACTGGCAACGTTGTTTTCTTTTTTCTTCTTGAAATGCTAAAAATAAGACCAGGAAATTCTTTCTAGCAATATGTATTTTAAACTACATGCCATACTCAAGTAGCTCTTTGTCTTAGCTTAAAACAAGGTCAGCATTTATCTTAAGGAAATTATTTTATCAGACAGGGTCAGAGAAGTTTCATTCTGCCTCAGAAGTAGGAAAGCCCAATAGCACTCTCAATTATAATACCAAAAAAAAACAAAGAAAAAAAAATCTAAGGTCCATTTAGAATCAAAGCAGTCATTTTTATACATATTGATAATTAGAAAATTGACTAAAGATGTGAAGGTAAACAAATATTTGAAGCTGATCTAGGTTGCAGATTTTTTTTTCTTATAATTGAAAGCAGGATTAGAGCTTTTAGATATAATATAATCCCTTTTAGTTTTATTTTCATATTATAACCAAGTCTTACATATATGTGTGTAACTTGGTAAATCTCTGCTCACTTAGAAAACCAAGTATTTGAAAGCTTGGAAAGTTAAAACGATATTCTGTCCTGCTCTCCACTCTTCTTTCTGGTGTTAAATCTGTGTTCATTATTCTATAACACAAAGACAGTTCAATCTGCCCCACGCAATGCACAAGTATTGTTGGATTTTTGATGCTGTCTCATCTTGCTTCTCTTTCTGGAACTGTTTTCATGCACTGATGATGTACCTAGCCTGTTAATGAAATGTGGTACAGGAAGAAAAGCAACTTCAGAGAGCACCAAGATGGCAACAATTCAAATTTGAGCCACATATACTCTTCACTGGAGTAAGTAGGATATTGTTGTTACATGTTATCATGTTTGGAGCACAGAGCTTTGGTTTTGTGATTGACAGCAAAAGTGACAGGGACATATACTCCAGGGGTAGGTTCTATTTAACTTTACTACCAGTTCGCAACGGGAGCGCATGCATGCGCTCCTCTGTGCATGCACAGATGCTTCTACGAATGCGCAAATCATCCATTATGATGTGTGGGCAGGTGGGCGGAGCCTCCCATCGCTTTTACTACCGGTTCGCAAGAACCAGACAGAACCAGGAGCAACCCACCACTGAAATACTCCTTTCATTTCTGGATTCTGGGGATATGTACATTTTTTAGCTTTAATGTGTCCTTTAGGTCTTCATTGTATTCATAGAGCTACACAAGCATGGCTACAAGAATTAGATTATCAAACACTGAGATTTAATTGATAGGACCCAGAGAGTATCTACAAATCAAGGAATTGACCCTCTGGGCTCAGTCATTGTACTAAACTGCATTGTGGGTTATCTGATTTTACCTTAGTGAGTTGTATACATCCATTTAATGGTTTCCCATTCAGTAAAATGCAGCTTGCTACAATATTTAATTCTAAACTGCAGGACAGTGAGGGAAGACAGAAAAAAAAGCAGAAAAGTTAGAAGAAGCAGTGGGAGGAAATAATTCAAGATTGGCTGTTGAATAGCGAGTGGACTAGGAAGAGATTACCAGCAGCTTGGATGAAGAAAATATTTTACACATTTTTAAAGTGATATGTATTAAAGATCTAAGTGGCAAGGATTGAGTACTTACAATATACATTTAAATAACAGCTCTCCAGATTATCAGCCAAGGTGTTGCTAATCCTGACTCAGAATTCGGGAAGACACTGCCAAATATATTAAAAAGTAAGGTATGGAGAGAAGCTGACAAAGAAACAAAAAGCATAGATTCACATATTATACTATGATTTGTTTGGTTCTGACTTTAAATATTATGTGAATTCAACTTTTTATGTTTTCAAATTTATAGATTACTATTTCTGAATGCAGACATTTGGTTTATTCAACAAAATATAGCTAAACTACAGCAAAGCTCAATGTGTCATTGACTATATATTTGCAACATACCTTTGAAACTTCATATTTTCCTTCAACCCCTCAACTATCTTCTTTTTGCCATTGTCCTATTCATAAAATACACTGAACCATAAACTAGCTCACCAGTTATTAATCTAAATGTTGTGGAAACTCAGACTGTGTAATTACTTTATAGTTCATGCAATAAACAGAAATTTGAGTTAAGTAAATAACAGTTATCTATGGTTGGTGTGTTTAATAGCTGAGATAGCGGAATCTGCATTCTTCTGAGTATAAATTGGAATGCAAAATCAGACAGCCCATTGGACATTGTAATCCTTTCTTTTGAAAGTAGAAGTAGACAAGCTATGGACTCCAAGGGCCACATGTATTGCTGATTTGAAAGGCACAATTATGCACTTATTTACATATATACAACATTCATTCAACAGAAAGTCACATATAGTAGTAATCTTGTTCTTCCCAGCAATCCTATGATAGATCACTGCTTTCACACATCCATTTGCTTCAAGACCACTGGTTTCCTGGTATCACTAGTAGTCAAACACAATAGCTTCTTCCTCTCAGTCCAGGTGATGAGACTGATAAAGTGAATGACAAGGAATTGCAGATGGATGCAAGAAGTCATTGCATAAGTGAACAGAGTCAGATTCACCAAGCAAGTAAATCAGGAAATGTATTGGAGATATTTGATAAAGGAGATCAAACTAATTGTCTTCAAAGACAAGTTAAAAAGAATAAATGAAAACTTTCCATTGGTAGGTCTGCCATATTGACATGTGGCAAACACTAGTGATGCAAGAGCAATGCCAGTAGAAGCAGAAGATACTGGTAGACTCATACTGTATTTGTGGGTAAATTTGAAAAGAAAAAAGTGAGTGTGATCCACAATGGGACTGAGGTCAGAGGGGACTTCCACATAGGAAAGTTGGACAAACAGACAATGCTCATCCTCTAGTTATTAGGGAGGAATGTTGAATTCTCACAAGCAGATTTGGAACAGATGATATATACCAGGGGTGTCGAACTAGATTTCATTGAGGGCCGGCCGCATTAGGGTTGTGTTTGCCCTCGGGGGGGGGAGGGCATGGCCAGGGTGGGCATGGCCAGCTCAACATCACTCATTGAAGCTCCATTTTCAGCGGCGACAGCCTCCTGCAGCCCTCGGCCAGTGAAAACGGACCTCAGGATGCGGCCTCCCAGAGCTCATTTTTCACTGGTAGAGAGTTGCAGGAGGCCGTCACAGCCAAAAACGGAGCCCAGGCGGCCCTACCAAGCTCTGTTTTTACTGGCAGAGGCACCGTGGGCCAGATCTGTTTCCAGGGTGGTCCCGAGGGCCAGATCTAAGCACCCTGTGGGCTGCATCCAGCCCGCTGGTCTTGAGTTTGGCACCCCTGATATAGACAGACTAAAGGAAATCTGCATATCTCATCTGCATTCTGGCACCATAAGAATGGTGCCGGAATTGAAAGAGCTATTCTACAAGAAACTTTACAACTGGAATATGACAAGGTAGAATAAAGCAAAACTTGACATTTCAAAATGGAAATGTTGCTCTTTTACAAATGGAACTTGAGCTTGTTAAGAAGTTCTAGGAGGGGTATGTGGCTATCTTATTCTTATACTCTTGACAAATAAACAATATATTGTTTATTATATTTGGGGTGGTCTATCAAGCATGCAACTTCAAGAGGGAAGGGGATGCCTGCCTAGCCAGCCCACTTAGCCAAGTCAATTTATGGCCATATATAAAATACAGAAAGAGAAACAAGGGAAATTAAATTGGATGTATGAGAATAAACAGATGGAAGGAGCTGGACCACTTTAAATCAGATAATTACCTCATACACTAATTCAGAGCACGAGATCAGGAGCTGGAGCAAAAATGATATTGTTAAATGTATGTTCAGTTATAACTAGTAAATTACAGAATCATATCAATTAGAATTAATAGTTATTCAATTAACACCAGTGTTATGCAAGACTATCCAGCAAATCATACAGTAGATGCAGTTATAGACACTGATAAACTTTATGGAAATTATATTCAACATCAACAAAGGATATAGTTCGTCTAATGGATGAATGGGATACTAGCACTGAAAAAAACAAAGGAATCCAGATTGCAGGAAAATTTGGATTAGGTAAAAATGCAGGTGATAAATTAATAGAATTATTAACTTAGTATAAATTTAAATGTAGATTCTATAAATGTAGACTGTAGAAACTGGAATAATCAGATGCACAACATCAGAATAGACTGAAAAATAGCTTCTATCTAGGATAGTAACCATATTGAATTCTTCTGTATAGTGCAATATTAATGCAATATTAGGGGTTTTCAATTCAATTGCACAGAATGTGAAGGATGTGTGTTTGTCTTTTATTTTTAGAGTTATAATCAGTGGTGGGTTTCAAATTTTTTTACTACCAGTTCTGTGGGCGTGGCTTGCTTGGTGGGCATGGCTTGGTGGGCATGTGACTGAGTAGAAATGGCCAACTTGACATCACTCACGGCCACGGCTACTCAGTCACATGACTATCCCACCTAGCCACATCCATAGAAAAAGGAAGGAAATTTTTTTGAATTTCTATCTATCTACTTATTTTCTGCCCAGGCATGGCCTAATCTATCAAAGGCCTCCTCTTGCATGCTGCCCCATCCTCCCTTCGCCAGTTGCACGCGTCGCCCCGTTTCCCCTCCTTCAGCAGCCCCGGCCTTAGCCCCGCTTCCTTCCCAACCACCACCTCTTTTTTCAGGCTGCTTACCTTCCTCCTGCGGTGGCTGGTGCAGAGTCCGGAAGGCAAGGTGACCTCCAGTAGTTTTTGGCAGCCTGCGGCCAGCCATGCCTCTTTGACAGCTGCTTCCCGGCAGTGGTGGCAAATGGCTGCAGGCTGCCGAAAACTACCGGAGGTTGCCGAAAAAGCTGCTGCCATTGCCGCCCTGTTCTTCATGCCGGCCGTGCATGTGTATCCATTGCCTGCTGTGTCGCGCTTGGACTGATGTAGCAGGCAATGGGATGTGTCAGTCCGAGCATGACACAGCAGGCAATGGGATGTGATGGCAGTAGTTTTTTCGGTGACCTCTGGTAGTTTTCAGCACCTGCGGCCAGCCGCTGCAGCTGCAAAGCAGCTGTCAAAGAGGTGGCAGCTGGGAGGCTTTTTCTTTTTCGATGCAACTGCAAGAAGCCCCCCAGCCACCGCCTCTTTGCCAACCGCTTCCCGGCAGGCAGGCAGGTGGGCGGGGAAAGCGAGCGGCGACCAGGCTACCGGTTTGGGAGCGTGGCCAGCCAGCGGTCACTACCACTTCAGCAATCCAGGCCAAATTACCGTTACTGGTTCGCCCGAATGGATGCGAATTGGTAGAAACCCACCACTGGTTATAATGTACACTGAAGATGGCATCGAAGTTCATTGTACGAGGTGCAATGACAATAAAGTAAACTAAAAAAAAAAAAGAATAAAATAGGAAACAGAAAATGGGGAACTGCAATTAATCAAGGCACTTCTAGATATAGATTGTGGAAAAGGCCATAAATAACCTGTACCAAATATACAAATTATCCTTAGATCCCAAAAGTGCTTTTCTAAAAGGTAACTGAACTTTCTTGGTTCTTTCCTTGAAAACTTTTCGTTTTTACTTTCATCCAAGAAGCTTCTTCAGTTCTCAGAACTTCTGAGGAACTGACCCTAAGAATCATTCTTCCAAATCAGGCATTGATCCTTTGGAAATGGAAAAACAGACACTATGGGATAGAATGCAGAACGATGGATATCTGAAGGGCAGTGGGGGGAGATACATGACCCTACAAGAAAGCAAAGAGGAAAAAAATGACTTTCTCTTAGAAGGAATTAAAGCTGACCAAACCAACTGGTTGGTAAAGAACAAAAGTTTTAAAAAGTAGCAGAACAAGCTACAAGAGTGCCTCTTCTTGCAAAGAACAACTACAATACTATCAATGAACTTTGAAGATCTAGGAAGGGAGTTTTGCTCATCGGTGTTCCTTCCCCATTCACAGTACTGTAATTATTTGGAGGAAAAAATAAACTTCTCAGAGAGGATGAAATTTAACAGACACACATGGAAAGTTCATTACTTAGAAAACTGAAATTAAACAACAGCTTTAGGATGAGAAATACCTGACAAGGGTTTTGTTTTGGTTTTTTTTCTTTGAGGACAGAAGTGCACATTATCCTCAACCTACCCCCAGACCACCACGAAGGCAACCTCCCTTTGTCTTTCCTTACTTCTTCATCTTACAAATAGTTGTTCCAACTGTTGCTGGCAAAGTCTGCTGTGTGTTCTATCTGCTATACTTCATCGTAGGCAAATGTTTCCAATTGGCTACCGTGCAACAGTTGCAGAATGTCCACTTCCTTTTGATCACGGGTCACTGTCTTCCACGGCCATTTTGTCCCTGGCTATTAACTATTTTCTATTTATTGCTCACAGTGCACCTTTTCCTTTTATTTTTATTTTTTTTAATTGGTGGATTTGTAAAATAGAGAAGCTGGGATTTTTGTTTGCTTCATTAACCTGCTGTTGGACATTTTAACATTTAAAAATTCCAAAGCATTAAACACTGGTGGCGCAGTGGTTAGAATGCAATATGGCAGGCTAACTCTGCCCACAGCCTGGAGTTTGATCCTGACGGGGCTCAAATATGACTCAGCCTTCCATCCTTCCAAGGTCGGTAAAATGAGGACCAAAATTGTTGGCGGCAATATGCTGACATTGTAAACTGTTCCGAGAGTGCTGTAAAGCAGTATGGGGCTGTATATAAGTCTAAGTGCTATTGCTATTGTCAAAACAAATACAAGGGAGAATCAACAGCAAGCAGGTTTATTCAAAAGATCTCTAAATGGCAACCATATGCCTGCAAAGCCCTGATGCGCACTGCTTTTGAAGCTGTAGGTCACTGGCTCCTATCTATATGCAAAAGTGCCTACCAATCATTAAGACAACCAAAGGACCAGTGTACCACTTAACTTTGTAGAACATACATTCCAGTGAAATGAATCTTCCTTCCTTCACAAGAGTTCTGCCAGTTCCCCCAATTGCAACAGGGCTGTGATGCTATCCTGACACTTGACAAGGCATGGCCTGATAAAAATGTTGATTGCATGTTTGAACCTCTTGAAGCAATTGACTTTTTCCTGTCAGTGTGAAAGTGCAGTTACTTCTTTTATCCACCACATTTGAAATTTGGAACTCTTTTTCTCTCACCTTTCCCCAAGGCTTACACTTTGATTTTAATATCTCAGGCTTCATGCTAGGAAGCAATCAATTATTCACATAGCCAACATTCCTGCTCTGACAAACTGGAGACGAATATGAATCACCAGTGTAATATGGTTTTTTTTTTAAAAAAAGGCAAATGTAATTTTAGGCTGCATCAACTGAAGCATGGATCCCAGTAATAGTTCTGCACTGGTCAGCTCCTGCCTCAAATATTGTGATTGCCTATGGACTATACTGAACATTAAGAAAAATTCAGACAAACTAGAACAGACATGGAAATTGTAATGAGATGATCAGAGGGAGAGATAGGAATTATGTCCTATTCAATGTGGTGAAAGAAATTGGGCATGTGTAAGAGGGAATATGAAAATACACTTCAAATATCTGAAAGAATGTCAAACAGAAAAAAGGTCAAGTCTTCTTTATCATTATATAAGACATGGAATAATTGCTTAAAGTAAAAATGCTCATTCGTATAAGGTATGGAATAACTGATTTAAGGCAGATTCCCATTAGTAATACCGGAAAAAAGCAAAAAAACCACTTCCCTACAGGAAATGTACTTCAACCATAGAATCACTCACTGTGACAGGTGATGGACACCACTTTAATAGCTATGTTCAAGCAGAACTTCTCTGTCAAAAATACTTTGATTAGATTCCTGCACCAAGCAGAGTTGGGCTCAAAACATAAATGGCTCCTTCCAATCTGATGATTCTAAATGCAAATCTCAGGCTAGTATGGCCCATGACCAGCAATCTGACATCCTTCTCAAGATATACAACAATTATGATTTCAAGGGAATGCAAAGAGTATGGAACTGAACTTGGGTGGAACAACTGATCCCAAAAATAAACTTTGAGGGAATATTTCTTTCCTTAAATAATATAGATTAAGAAATACACACAGTCATACTTTTCATAAGCTTTCCATTGGGATATCTATCTAAGAAGCCAAGGGTTGACGGTAAGGGTAGTGTTGATCCTGAAAATGCTCCCCCACACACACATACCAATGAACATGGCTACATTAGAAGACACAAAAATGGGGTTTGAAAAATAGAACAGCCACAAAACTTAACTAAAATAGAAACACTTGTCTGGTACTCTCTCAGATTTGGTTAGTTGCAAAAGCCATTAAGAGATTTCAACATGTAGCACTTCCAACAAGCACCTTGAATTTCGCTGTCCTTTTTATTCACACCACCATTCATAAGATCTTTAATAGCAATATTACTTCTCTATAGAAGAACTCAGGTGAGGATGCTTTGATATGTGAAGATAAAGTAATACTTAATTTTAGAATCTGTGTTTGCATTGATTCTACAGATTCTGAGCTCAGTTAACTGAACTAAGCAGCCTGTCTTTCTGTAACACCACAATCATAAACTCACACTCAGTGGTGGGATTCAGCCAGTTCGCACCACTTCGGGAGAACCGGTAGTTAACTTTCTGAGCAGTTTGATGAACTGGTTGTTGGAAGAAATAATTAGGGCAGAGAACTGGTTGTTAAATTATTTGAATCCCACCACTGACCACATTGCAATCTAATGTTTAGTGCCAGTTAGTGTAGTGGTTAAGATTTCGGTGCCCATTTAGTGTAGTGATTAAGATTCTGGCCTAAAAACCAGGATATTCTGAGATATAATCGTGCCTTAGGTATGAAAACCAGCTCGGTGACATTGGGCCAGTCACTCTTTCTCCACCCAGGTTCTTGTGGGAAAGTAGGAGGAGAAAGGAGTCTTAGGTATATTTGCCACCTTATTTAAAAAGTGATAAAAGTGGGATAAAAGAATCTAAAAAATAAAATGTCTTTTACAGTTGCAGGACATGCTTCCCTGTTATTAATACAACCATGTTTTATTCACTCCTATATGCTATTTTATAACAGCAAATAACAATAGGCTAACTTGTACTTGACATGCTTGCCAATTTAGACTAAAGCGGCTTAGATTTAAATTTTCTCAATTATTATGCACCCTTAGTCGTGATGGGTCGGATATGACTTAGCAACTAACAACAACAACAATAACAAATCATGGTTAACTTTATCATGGTTAACAATTCAATTTTCATAGCTTCCATGATACTCTGAACTATAAAAGTAATTACACAAGCTGAGTTTGCACAACTTGCTAGACTAAAACTTGTGGTCTGGATAATAGTGTAGTGGCTTTTGCATGTCCACCTATGATACCAGTAAACTGCAGGTTAGTCTTAGAATGGTTTTACATCTTGAAACACTAGAATCTGTAGCTGGGGCTAAGGCCAAGAAGACACTGGCTTGGGGATCCAAAGTTTAGGGGATGCCCAACATTACCCCTCCTCCCAAATTGCTCTCAAAATACAAACTTTCACATCATCAGGAGATGACGCCATCAGTCACTGTAGCTAAAGGCACTATATACCCTTGATTCAGCATTGATTTGAAAGATCCAGAAAATAGCAATAAAGTGAAGAAAATGAGTGAGTGTCATCTTTTGCTGGAAAGAAGAATGTTCTTTGATAGTTGATTCTGGGAATAGAATAAAATATTTTTTACATACACCTTTGCTTCAGTTAGATCATTGTTGTCAATGATTGGGAGACACAGACTCTGTGAGGTTTTAACCATCACTTCCATAACAATGGAATCTGGAAGCTTTTTCATGCAAGATGCAGTGAGAAGTAGAATTGGAGTCTGGCAGAAAAAAGTTCTCAATACCCCCCCCCCAGTCTTAATAATGGGTATTTTAGGCTATAGTGCCTGATTTCTGAGCACAAGGAGCTCCTATGGCCAAAAGACAGTGCAGTAATGTTGTCTTTAAGCAGTCTGGATTCATCTGCGATTATAAATGACAAAGCAAATTGCTTCAAAGTGCTTATCCAGTTTATGGTTCGGTGTAGCCCAGAAACCTTGCTTTTGTATCCTCCAAGCCAGGCTTAAAGTATAAAACCAGTTTGGTGTTTTGGAGCAATAACTTTAAAAGGATGCCAAATGCTAACCCACCCTTGTGACTTACTAAAGGAGGAAAAAATGCGAAGTGGCATGCGGTCCCATCCTTCTTTAGGAAACTCACTGGGCACGGCCGCTTAAGAATGCAACTCGGTGCGCCTGGGAACTAACTTGCCTGCCTGCCACGCATCCTGCCGCCGCCGCTGCACCGGCGAGTCCAAGCCTTAACTGTCCCCGACGGATCTTCTTAGCGCTTTAAGAGAAGGCTGATCCTTCGAACTCCGCCCCTAAGTTCCCGGGACGCCTCCGTCAGATCCCATCCCGATTGGCTGACTGGGATATGAATATGTATGTCCTGACCTGTGTGAATGAGGCGCTGTGCCCTCCCTCGCCGCCGCACAGAGAGGCTTAGGGAGCGTGCGGGACTTTGCTGAGCAATCGCTCTTCTGGTCGCTCGCGGCTCTGGAGCCGGCGTGGTCCTGTTGCCACAGAGCCCCGGGAGCTCCTTGCTTCTTCGCTGCCGCTGCCAGCCTCTTCCTCCTGCCAGGCACGCTGCTTCTCAGCCGGCCCCGTCTCCGCGGTCCTCCTTGCGACGCCTGCCGAAGAGATGCGGGGCCTCTCCGGATGGATGGTGCTGCTGGTGCTCGGCAGCTGGTTCCGTCTGCGAGCAAAGGGCGCCGTGCCGCTGCCTGGCTTTTATCCCTTCGGGCCGGCGCAGGGGGACGCGGCCACCCCTCAGCAAGACGACGGCGGTTCTGGGCTCCAGCCCATCGCCGTCAAGTTCCCCTTCTTCGGTGCGACTCACACAGCGCTCTACGTGAGTAGTCGTCCCGTCGGGGCTGAGGAAAGTGCGGGCACCGCACTTGCTCATCTCTGCCGTTCCTTAATGAGAAGTCGTATGTCCCAAAGGTGCCTTTTTTTTCAAGAGGCAACTGGACTTTCTGGTTTTTCCTTTGAAGACGTTTCGCTTCTCATCCAAGAAGCTTCTTCAGCTCTGAAAGTCCACTTGCCTCTTGCAAAAGCACCTTTGGGACAACCATGAGCTGGATGACTGAGAATCTCCATAGCCGAGAAGTAGTATGCTTAGTGTGGAGTAATAATGCATCAGCCCTAGCCCCTTTCTATAAAACATAATTTAGTTCTGAATATTTGTTAACTGCCATGCTTGCCATTGGGAATTTCCTCCCCATGATGTGCCTGCCAATTAAGTTGTACTGCTATGTCAGATGTTTGCTTTTTTGCTTCCTGCTCCAGGATGCTCTGTCTTCAAAGCACTGGGTACCGATCCTAAGTGTCTTACCCAAGCACAATGGATCTTACCCTTAATTGTAGTGCTTGGGACCCCAGCCTTTGAACCATTTGAACTAGTCCCAAAGGAAACTCAGATCTTAATTGACTTCCTAAAGATTAGAGCTGGAGGCTGATAATAAAAGTTTAAGTATCTTGTTTAAAACTTCCGCATAGTCCTCTTCTCCCCACATCCTCAAAGAGGATGCTAGAAAGACAATGGGGTGTTATGAAAGACTACATACCAATCTTCCCTGGACTGCTGATTAATGATCACGGAAGATGTAGTATAACACATTAGAAAAAAAAAACAAGTTAGGAAAGCTACTGAATTCACACAGAATCACCCATATTAACAGCCAGTGTTTTGATTGCTCAGCCTGGCTAGGTGGTGACACACAGCTGAACTTGGGTGATCTTAAAAAATTGAGTGGGGCCAACTCTGTTAGAATTTGTATGGGAGATCATTAGGGGAATCTCAGGGCCAAAAGTTGAACTGGAATTTTTTTTTTTGTTTAAAAAAAATCCAGGGAAAAAGACAGTGGCAAATCACTTCTGTAATGATATTAAGATAATTACACAGATGTATCCATGTGTCCAGTACTCAAATTTGACTTGAGAGAGATTTTGCATTTACTGGATGATTAGGATAGAGAGATTGTTCCACTTACTATGATTGTCACTTAATATGACAACTTGCATGCAAGATAGTCAACTGTTATAATAAATTGTTCATAGTAAGAAAGTGAATATATAAGAAAGCAGTAAGAAAAGCCATCAATGGTTTGCAGGAGAGATGAGACAAAAAGGAGATCCTGGCTTCAAGTCCCAGTTTGTATTGAACAGTGCTAATCCTAGAGGGCAATAGGTTTTGTTTTAATGTAACTTATTTAAGTATTCCAATTTGAAAGACTACTCTTTGAATAATGTCATTTTTGGTGTTCTAGATTAAAAAAATAACACATGAAGGTTCTTTGCTCCTGATTGAAGTCACTGCTCCAGATCTAGTTTGACTATTAAAACAATTTCCTGGAATCTGCTTTTTCCTTTTCTCTTATGGGTGTTTTCCAATCAGAGGACAAACCAAAAGGGTTAAAATTTAGGAGTTGTAAATTAAAAAAACCTGCTCCCTTTCAGTTATTTTGGAAAGCATCTGTAATCAGCTGAGATGTTATAGTTGGAGCTGGTAAGAGTTGTGCTCCAAAACATGTACAGGACAACCAGCTTGGCCAAGATAAGACAAGATGATGCTATAAAATCACTAAGGAGTTGTTTAGCTTTGTTTTTTAAGAGAAAACAAAAGAGGCAACATATTTGTCTTCTTGGCATCATACATATTGTATTTCTCATGTTGTAACAGCTTTTCAACTGTCCAGTAATTGTGGAAATTAAACTAGAATTCCTTCTCTTCTCATACCCCAAAGCAGATTTGCAGAATAAATATACTACTGAGTGCTTTGTAAATAATATGGTTAACAACTGGAGGTTGTGCAATCAACAAAAATCAGTATTAATCATAGCTAACCAAATAGTTGGCATAGCTTGGTGTTTAGGTTGATTTTCACAAATTGGTGTTCTTCAAATGTACTGGAATCTTGCTGGTTGAGATTTGTAGCTCCTATACAAATGGAAATTTATTGTATTTTAAACGTTGAGATTATTAGGAATACAGTGTGAATTAATGAATCCTTCAAACTAAGCTTGTTTTCCAAACCATTTAGCACTAATCATCATCAGATGGAAAAGCTATGATAGTTTATGATCTAACCTAGCTTTCTGGTAGCAGCAACAATACTATGGTTTGTATAGTGCTTTTCAAATTCAAATTCAAAAAATTTCACAAACAGCCCAGAAGGTGATGTTCATAATTTTTCCTGAGAAAGGCACACTTGGCCATGCTCCCAAAAGCAATTAGTAGGTCAAGGACTGAAATTGAATTTGATTCTACTCCTTTAAAATATAAATAAATTGTAATAGTATATAATTAGTAGAATTGTTTTTCAGTCAGATACTAATAATTTTTGCCTTTTTTTAAAAAAGTATGTGTTTCAATGCACCTTCTGGGAACTGGAGGAGCTGTTTTTAAGGCTGTATGTTACCTGGTGCACAATCTAATCATAATATTATACAGCATACAGTGTGGCAGTATTATTATTCCCATAATACAGATTTGGAGCAATAAACTGGAGGAGAGGGGGAAGAAGAAACAGTGTTTGGTAAGATTATCAGCAGGTTGAGATTATCAGCAGTTTGAGATTATCAGCAGGATGAGACAGGGGACTCCTAGCTTTTTATCTATCTCCTGTCATCTTTCTCCAGGAAAATAGGCATTCAGTTCCAATGCTTTAGATAACTGTACCTAAAGAACTTCACAAAAATAATGTTTTGTGATTCCTGTACAGTAGTCTCCTTTTCCCTTCATTATTCCTCACCTTACATTGTTGAAAGACAGACCACATAATCAGAAGCTATTTGAGGTTTATGGAAGGATGGAGGGAAAAGAAAATGATTCTTTCATAAGTATCCTTTAATGTAACTTATCCTAGGATCAATATCTCCAGCAGCCATTGTTTCTCAGGCTTCAAATTTAAATAGAAGGCTGGACTTGGCCTCTACAATCTCCCTGAAAACGCTTAAAGGATAGGGGATCCCCACCCCCATTCCATAACAACTCCAATCTCCAATGTTAGAAATGAATAGCTTTATCTGCCTGCTAAGATTTTTGTCTCTGCCTTTTTTTGTTGTAAAGTCACTTATATTATTCCAAAACCATCTGGATTTACTTGGGGACAGTCAAACAGTCTAATTTAATTTAAGGCATCAAAGCTGTAACAGGATGTTGAGAATCGGAGTGTCTTTGCTGTATTAGGCAATTACACTCTGCAGCCAAGGAGGCATAATGGCCTAAATATTTTGGGTTCAAGGAAAAGCATAACATAGTCTTTCCAAATTCTTCTGCTACCCAGATTCATGGGCTGATGTAACTTGAGATTCTGTAAATTTGGAGATGATTTGCACTCCAGTATGATGCTTTAAAATTGTCACTTTCTCTGCTTTTCCTCATTGAAACCGATTCCAATAGTGCTTATAAGACTTCAGTTTTTAGGAGCTTCTATCCTCTTTGAGCTCCTTTTCCCACTAGTTTCTTCTGCCATGGAATGCTACTTATCATTGCTCTGGGAATATTAGAATTTAGTTCCTTGAAGTTTAAGATGTTTTCTACTGAACTTAATATTCTTTAACTTTAAGAACTCTACATTGCATGATCATGTCTACCAATGTGCCTGCTATTCCACCTCCTAAAGGATAGTTAATCTTATTGTCTTCCTCCATTCCCTCACTGTTTTCTTTTACCTGCCCATGATAGGAAATAGGAAATTCTTTTGTGGTGCTGATCAAGCAAAAGTTAATTTCCTGGACAAAATAATGAATGTTAACATTACTTCTGCTGAATTTGTTACTGCAGCAATACACAAATAGACTCAAAAGAAGTTAGGAAATGGATCCGAGAAAGAGATTCCTTTAACTAAGTCACCCAAAACCTTGACTCTCTGGATTTATTGTGATGCTTTAAATTTGACAGTCTGCCCACAGATACAGCTTTTGTCTTGCTTTTGTGATATGTGCCATAATTGTATATGATAAGCAAACAGATTTCTTGTTGTATTTATATATACATATCCCAGGAAGTATTCCAAGTAGTGATAGCTACTGTATCAGGGTACATGAAATTTGTGCGCATTTGAAAGTCCACAAAAAACATATTTTGCAACATGGAGGTGATAAGTGTATTCAAAATATATTTTTGCAATGCTGTAATGGCAATTGTAGCATCATAAAATGCACTGAAATATAATTGTTATGCTATCCTCAGGCCCTTGAGGATTATCAGCTTGTTGACATTTTCTTTAGAAATATGTTTGTTTATAAGGATAATT